CATTCTCTCCTGACTGGACCTCAAGGGTCATGGAGAAAATGAGGAATTCAGGCGGAGGATGATGGAATTGTACGAGAGAAATACCACTTTATACAGTAATCAGTCGGGTGAAGCGCTGAAGGTGAAGAGATAGATTTCGTATACTACAAGGTAATGAGTCTAACACGGCTTGCCCGAGAAAAAGTGTGATCGAGTTCCTTTACCCACCAGCCTTCTTAATGTTACCATTCCAGGTGGGATAGCCAATGTACCATCCAACGGGTTCACCTTTCGGGTACGAGTCTAGTACAAGGCGTGGCGGATAGCAACAGCTGCGAATTGTTGTTTCGAATTGATGGAATATCGTACACAATGGAAAGAAGTAAGAAAAAGAAAAAAACACATGAAAATCTCCCTCATGATAATATAAAGATTAAACCCCTTCTCATCGATGAATTCAGTATTAGCCTCCACCTCGCGCGGCCCGGGTGCCATGCCACCCCCCAGTGTTATGCCGTTTCTGGTGCGAGAGGACCCCTTACAGCAGCATGAACGCGGCACCGGCGACGAGCAGGAGCGAGCTGGGAACGGCGAGCGAGGCGCCGGCGGCGGGGACGTTGTTGCCGCCGCCCTCGGCACCGCCGGCGCCGGGGTTCTGGTTGTTGTTGTCGCCGGGCTGGCCGTTGCCGTTGCCGGCGCCGGGGGTGGTAGGCTGGTTTCCGCCGGGCTGGCCAGCGTTGCCTCCACCGAGGGCGGCGGCGGCGGCCTTGTAGTTTGCCAGGGTCTTGGTGTTGTTGCTAGCGGGGCTGGAGAGGGTTGGGTTAGTCAAAGTTCACGAGAGGGGGGCAAGGTGCCACGCCGGGGGCGGCTCACTTTTCGTTGATGACCATGGACATGCCGCGCTGGCAGTGGGGGCCCTGTTGGCAGTAGAGCCAGATGGGCTTGGTGTCGTTGACCATGATGCTGAAGACGGGGCGCTGGCCCATGTTGGCCGAGGCGGCGACGGGGACGTAGCCAGAAAAGATGCCCTCCTTGGGGGGCGAGTTGGGGTCGGTCTGGACGATGCCCATGGGCTGGCAGGGGTTGTCAAAGGTGGACTGGGTGACGGTGTGGTTGCCGCCCATGAACTGGAACTGGACCATGCTGCCGGGAGGAGCAGTGATCTTCTCGGGAGAGAAGGTCAGGGAGCCGTTGTTGGAAGCAACCTGGACGGCCTGAACACCAATGGCTGGTCGTCGTGTTAGTGGTGCTGCTATACGATGTTTGGTCCGTGTGCAACATAACATACCCTGAGCCTGTGCAGCGCACGCAACGGCGGCAAGGATGACTGATGAGAACTGCATCTTGAAATGTGTTTTTTTTAATGTATGTCGTTTTGACGTGTGAGGATTTGACGTGAGGACGATAAAATGCGTCGTGAAAAAGATCGGACCGGTCTTCCAGAGAACCACTGCAGTACAGAGAATAAAGCGGCTGGCGCTGTGGTTGCGAAGGACTAGCTTCGGCGTCGAAGTGGAATTAAAGGTGGTGGTTGAACGGGTGTTGAGGAAGTGAAGGAAGACACTGATGGAGAAGAATAAAAAGAAAGAGAAGACGTGAAAAGGAAACAGAACTCGTCAAGGTCACTGGGTTGCAAGCAGAAGAGAACGAAACGGCTGTGATGTGAGAGCAGCAGAAGGCATGATTATAAGCAAAGGTTAGGATCGTCCCCAGGAAGGGGAGGCCAGACACGAACCCCTGCACATCTGCCACGGGCGATGCGTCTGAGGTTCTGGGCGTGGGCCGTGGACAAGGCCGGGGTGGGTGGATGGGGGGCAGGGGACCGAGGCGGGTGCATCGCCGTTGTGACAGACGAGGCTCAAGCTGGGCCGAGCTGGGCTGGGCTGGTGTTGCAGGGTGCCGGCCGCAGGGACGTGCTATGTAGTGAAGGGCAGGCCAGAAAAGCGGGAGTCGAGATGAAACGCGTTTGGACCAGGACTGATTCGATGTCTCGAGGCTGGGCTGGCGCTTTTCTCCAGCTTTTTCAGCATCAGCCGGAATCGACAACACCAAGGTAGTTGGGATCCATGGGTCTTGCAAGCTTGACTCGCCGGCCAAAGCAGACTATCAGGCGGTTAACATCTTGGAGGCATCGTCAAGTGAGGAGAAGGCGATGAAGCCACAAAGAGCCAGGGAAAAGGCACCTCGGGTCGGTACTCGCAAGTCGAGCCTCAAATCATGGTGTGTAGGCTGCTTGCAGCTGCCTCTCAAAGGGTACCCCCGTACGCACATGCAATGCTGGGTCCCAGGACGATGGTCATGGTCATGGTCATGGTCATGGTGAGCAAGGTTGGGACAGAGGAGCGGCAAGTCAAAGACCGGACGATGTCGAAGCCGAAATAAGGTTGTGGGGGGCCATACTGCACGTTGAGCCACTAACAGCGCTGGAAGAACGCCCCTGGCCGCAGTGCTCGCTGCTGCTGTAGCAGTCTCCATCAGCGGTCGCTACAGGGCTCCTTGCCGCTGTGCGTTCACTGCAACACCTGAGAGCTGAGTGGGGCGGCCAAGAGAGCAGGGGCCAAGGCTCGCGTGGTACATGGTGCATGGTACATGGTACATGGTACGTACTCAGGGGCTGTACCGCTCGGATGTGCTTCACACGACGACCCTCTGACACGTACAAAACAGGCCCCGTCTCAGAAGCCCTCCTCCAAACCCGACTGAACGTCACCCTACCCCATCGTCTCTGCAACTGTGCAACCTCTTGTCCTGAGCAACTGCTGACCGTGCTTTGCCCAAGCTACGAGGCTGCTTCGCCCTGACCCGGATTGGCCCAATTGCTCTCTGTTTGGCCCAAGACGTCACACACGGCTGGACTTGGAGACTTGGACGGGGGTAGGGATCAGTGGCCTGAGTTCAGACCGCCGCGACTCCATTGTCGTGATCCTCGATACACGCCGCCGTTCTGTCTCTGAGATCACCCATCCAGCCCCGCCCTCTCGTCCCCCGGCATCAAACCCTCAGGGCCCCGCCAAGTCGGCTGCTAAGTGGTATCCCAGCGATACCACCGTCGGACCATTGCGAATACCGATACTGATCCAATTTCCGCCAGCAGGGCCGTGGCTCGCTTACACGATCCTCATTCTCGAGAAACGAAACATCCCATGGCGATATCGTGTCCATCGGGAAACGGCGAAAAAAGCGCAGTCGCACGCACATGCTCAACCCCAGAGTCTCTACCACTTAAACTCTGCCCCAGTCTCGTCTTCGTCTCGTCTGTTTTCTTCCATGGTCGCCTCATCGCCTGGCCACCTGACATTGTCATCAACGCAAACAGCTGCCAGGGCAACTTCAGTCGATTCCCTGACGCCGCGTAACACCTTTGGTTTCCTCACCAGTATCTCCCAGGACTTCGGACGCTCCAGTTCGGCCACCCCATGAGGTCGTCCATCGCGAGGAACAGCGGGTAACGTATGTGTCTCGTCTCCAAGGCCAGCATGACCTGGGCTGTCTGCGTTCCCAGCCGCAGGGAGGTCGTTGCATCCCAAGAGTGACACGTTCTGGCCCCCAGCAGGAGGTGAAGTTGCCGCACATTGTCCCTCGCATCGTTGCTTGCATCAACACAGCTTACGCCAGTGCATTTCTGTCAGCCCCGTTCACGCCGTCGATTCTGGGCCCTCACCCCGTGCCGAGCCAAGCCCGTCTCGTCGCAGCTGTTGACATCAGCTGGCGTGCGCAGTGAAAAGGAACAAAACTCGAGGCCAAACTTGAGCTCCCACATGTCAAGTTTGATGTCTTTTTCCATGCCATGCTAGCTATCCGCATCTCCTTTCTGCTGCTCTGTGATAAGGCTGTGCAATTGACCCTGAACTCTGTGGAGCAGCCCTCCAGCTGCCCCCATGAGCCGTCCATACACTGGCAAAACAAGCCATGCACGTAACAAACGACTAATCTGCTCCGCCTAAGAGGTGACGCTGCCCTGTCCATAGTACCACGGTACTATATACACCAATCTCGGGAACCGTTGGCACTGCAAAGCCGGTCTACCCACCCCCAGGCTGGATCTCCCCTGCATGTCTTGCCAATCCCCCCCTGGCCTGGAAGCCTCCAACAGGCGCATGAGCCCTCCGTACCTTGGCTGCCCGGTTCTCTCCAAGCCGACAGATCCCCCCTGCCGTACAATCCGTCAAGTTCCGTGGCCCGTTGAGACTCTCATCGTCATGCCATCTGGGCGGCCGCGTTCATTGATGGTCTAAGGACTACGCGTTGCGCTCGGCACGACAACCGTGGATCATCCCCTTCCTGCCAACAACCGTGAGGTATCACCTGCGCGAGTTCATCCCCAGTGAGCCTGCCATGATCTGAGTTTCAAGCCATGTCAACCCCCGTCTGAACGCGTAAGACCTCAGAAATCCATGAGCAGCTGCGCCGAGATCTTCTCTAGATCATCAACCTGTAAAATGGGAGTCAGCAAGGTAACGCACGAATATCAACCCGCCAAACATGTACTCGATCCCCCTAGCATCCACGAAAAGAAAAGTCTCACCTCGAGAAACCCCCCCTCGCGCTCATGCACACACCGCGCAATAGCCTCCCGGACAAAGACATCAATGTACCGCGCCGCAGCCAGGCTCGCCCCCTCGGTCATGCGCGTCTCTTCCCGCGCGAACATTTCCTTGAGGAGATTCGCCACGAGGCCGGACGGGATCGTCTTCTCCGGCTCCTCCTCCTCCTCCTCCGCGTCTGCTCGGCCGCGGCTCGGTTCCTCGTCGCTGTCAATGACCTCGGCCGCGCGCCGGCCGGCCGTCTCGTCGTTGGACGAGGCAAACGGGTCGTCGAGGTCCGCGGCAGAGGTCGAGGCGCGCTGCTTCTTCGGGGCCGTGGCGCCGCCGGCTTTGGAGGAGCGGCCTCGTTTGGCGCCCGTGGTTTGCTTCGGGGGCATGGTGATGAGCCGCGGTGGTGAGTAGCAGGGACCGTGATTTCTTTTGCCTTGTGAGATAGGGTGATGCGCGAAACGAATGGAACGAGACGGGGCACTGCAGAGACGATGGTGACGCCCTCTTGTCGATACAACAAGTTGTTGCGTGAGTGGACAAACTCGACAGGTCTTGAACACCTTGGAATGGCAGTTTAAAGCTGCTGCAAGTTGTGATCCTAGCCTAGGTACCTAGGTACTGTGAGTCGGCCGCTGGACGCAGTATTGGCAGCCAGACGGTCAACCTATCTTGAAGGACGCAACAACATGCACGTTGTAGCAGCGCGCTCACTGAACGCGCTGTACATGCAGTTGATGTGGGTCCATTTATCTAGGATCATTGTATCCAATCAGAACCAACTCGAGAGGACACGAAGTCACGCGATCACTTGGGAAAAAGAGACTTCGCCATGCAGACAAGAAGCACATTTCGAGTTCACAGGCAAGGAAACAAAAGTATGGAGTACAATCAGGAAATTCCCTTTGGAGACGTATAATTACAGCGAGCAAGGCGCACTCAAAGCGAGTTCAGGGAAAGAAAACGCCTTGCCAGATGCCAGTCTAACCGCAAAGACCCAGGCGACCACCGTATTTTGATGGCTGGGTATCTTTGCTGCAGCTTCCCTCGCACCCCGCGAGTCACTCATCCTTGTCTATTCCAGGCCACCCTTGGCCACACCCCTCGCCATCCATCAGGCAGTCGTCATTATACCACCGCCCGACTCGTTCTTGTTCTTGTGGAGCGAAATCGCTTATTTGAAGGCCTTGCCGAAGAGGAGGACCTGGAGCTGGTCGTAGATGGACAGGACACCAGCACCGGCAACACCACGGAGGATGTTGGCACCGGCACCCTTGAAGAGAGACTTGACACCCTCCTTGGCGATGATCTGGCGACCAGCGTCGAAGGCACCGGAGTAGTGGACGGCCTCACCAGAGGTCATCATCATGCGACGACGGATGGTGTCAAGGGGGTAAGAAGCGATACCGGCACCGGTGGTGACGGCCCAACCAAGAGCGAAGGAGGCGAGGAAGTTGCCCTCAAGGCTACCGGTGAGGACGACGGGCTTGATGGAGTCGTACATGCCGAAGTAGAGACCACGGTAGACAACGATACCAGCAACGGAGGGCATGAAACCACGGTAGAGACCGGCAATACCGTCAGAGGCGAGGGTCTTGCGGTAGACATCGACAAGACCGTTGAACTGGCGCTCACCACCCTTCTTGGCGTTCTTGGCGTCGTTGGCCAGACGGGTACGGGCGTAGTCGAGGGAGTAGACGAAGAGGAGGGAAGTGGCACCGGCAGCCTGGGACATGTCAGTACGATGATTGAGCAACGAGTGTCGGAGCAGAACTTACACCACCGGAGGCAAGGTTACCAGCCATCCACAGGGCGTAGCCGTCACGCTCCTTCTTGTAGCCGAACATGGCCTTGAACTTGTCACGGAAAGCGAAGTTCAGGGCCTGGGTAGGGAAGTAACGGATGACGTTGGCAGTGTTGCCACGCCACAGGGACATGACACCCTCATCCGCGGCGGTACGCTTGAAGCACTCGGCAATGCCGTCGTACTTGCGGTCAAGACGACCCTGCTTCAGCATCTCATCCTGGTTCTGGATGAGGAGCTTGACACGCTCAATGGGGGCGGCAGCGGTCTTGGAGACAGCGGCGGAGACACCACCCATGAGGAAATCCGCCACGAAGGGCTGTGAGACGAAACGTTAGCATGTTGTACACGATAGTGATGAGCGTGTTGGTAGTGGTGATGGAAGAGATGATGCTTCGCGTCGACCTCCAATGCTTCGGTGGCTTCGGGTCTGGACGAAAGGCGCGCGCAAGGAGAAATGCCTCTTTTCGCGCAGACCCTTCTTGCCAGCGTCGATCTTCAGCCAATCGCCCACAAAGGGCCAATTGGATGAGCAGCTTATCCGACGAAGCATTGGTGATGATGGACAATCGGGCTCGAGAGTTGTCGTCGCGAGGGATTTTGGCGAGCCGTGGAAAAAAAGGAGGACGGGATTCACATACCGGCATGCCCAGAACGGTCTGCTTCTCGACGGACATTGTGACTGCTTCAACGGAATAACCTGACGAAGAAAGGATTGAGGGGAGAGTGGTTTCGATGAACCGGAGGTGGATGAAGACAGGTAATAGAGGCAGTCGTCGACTGGATGGGAGGTAGGAAATGGAAGGAAGATTTTTTTCTGGCAGCGAACGCCTTTTGAGCGATTCCTCCCGGGCCAGCACGCACTGGCCCGGGGCGCAAGTGGATACCTTGGCCTGTCGCTCTTGCCTTCCCCCTTTGCAAGCCCAGCAGCCGCCCGGGCCAATTCACCCCCCCAACCCCCATTTCTCACTCGCCCCGGCAACCCCGTTGGCCTGAGGCCGCTGCGCTAATTGGCTGAGTTGACCCGGTTCAGCCCGACCGAGATTGGATCGGGTGTGGGGGGCTGTGTGAATTGGCTCCTTTGGTGGAGAGCAATTTTTTGGCGACTCGACTTCACGATCGAGGCATTTGAACTTTGGGATCTGCTATCAAACCTGGAAGACGGCATCACGAGGGCTCACAAGGCAGCCCAATGCAGTATGTCTCTAGGCAATTGGAATCGTTGCGCCATGTCGCTGCCTGGGGCGCACACTATCACGGGCTCACCACCCAACCGTCACCATCGTGAGCATATACATGGATGACTTTCAACGCTCTCCTTCACCAAGGGATGTCACGGCTCCTCGGTGATTGGCTGGGCGGGGGTGGTCCATCTGGATCATTGACCCGACCAACCCGGTATCCCTGACTTCACAAGTCGACGACATCTCGAATGTCGACCCTACAGAGGGTTTATGTTGGGTTGCACTGCGTAGTCCCGCGTGACAATGAATAGTCTTTGGAACCGCAGAAGTATTATTATCCGATGGCAACTTTATCAACTTGTTGCCGGTTTTCAAGCGGCGGGTGATTTGTGTCGGTGTCTACCATTCAGAAGACCATCAGCAACCCTGCCAATACTGATGAAAGGAACTTGCGCTCGAACACATGTCCTGCTACTCAACACTCTCCCGAAACGAGATGCCAGATCCACCATGCCTGGCTTGCCTAAAGGCAAGGTGTGCGCCGTCCCGCATTGTCGTGCACATATCGACAGGCGTCGCTCAACTCCTTCTCAGAATGCCATTGATATCGGTCAGGACAACTGGTAAAGCTTGAGCAGCCTGGAAAGAACGATCCGTCAAGGATCAAACTACATTTCTGATACAACATCTCAATTAGGGAGTTGGAAAACAGTAAGGGAGCGAGGGAACTTATGCTTTAGGCAGGAGAGCTACCCAGAGTTATCAGAGCCGCAACCGCGTATCATTGTCTTGATGTCGACATTCAGCAACGCTCTTGGCAGGTGCCCTTGATCGGCTAACTCTCCACGTTGCACCAGAGTCCAACCTCGATTGCCTCAAACTCAACTTCCATGCTATCCTTGTATTTTCCGCCAGTGCCATGCGGTCCAGACCTGTGCCCATTGGCACCATACCCTGTCAACATTGACATCCGCTCCCCTGACCCGCACCCCGATTCAAACAGCCGAGCTAAAACAGCACACCAATCCAGGGGTTGGCTACCGGCCAGGCGAAAAGCCAGAGCTCCCCCTAGCCAGCAGCCGGTTTCTCGGCCGCGAGACGCAAAGCCAGCGAAAAGCCACCGCGCAATCTGGCAGCTCCCCATGCTGACCTTCCCCCGACCAGAAAATTTTTAAGTGGCCCTCCTCGGGCGAAAGGTCTGCCAGCCAGCGAGACGGGAGGCGCGAGATCGCCAGACCACCGAGAGGTCTGGGCTTCGCCCCCCCGAGACCGTATCCAGCATGATCAGCTCCCCGACCCTTGGAGGCGTGCTTTTTTTGCTCTCCCAGGCGGAGATGCAGATGGAGACAGAATTTCGCTCCGCAGGATTTGATGGCAGGTGTCCACTTGAACAGGTATCAACGGCTTGCATGTGCTCAGGCTTGGCGCCTTGGATGATCCGGCTCTATCGCGTGCCTTTTTGCTTTGCTTGGATTTTGCGCTGATGGGACAACGCTCGGCAAAATGAAGCCTGTGTTTTTTTTCCCGACCGCGAGCTGCCTGGTTGACCATGTCGTGCCAATTGATCCAATTTGCCAGCCTCACTGCTCTGTCGCACAGCCACAACTTGGGCTCATTAGGTCATTGTCTAAGAGACGTGATGCAGCCCGACGCCAGAGTTGACAACCTCCGACGTATCAAAGGAAAGTCCAAGGCTATTTCAGAATCATTGAAAGTGCCATCACAAGTGTGTATTGGTGTTTACCAGCTAAAGAAAGTTGACCAAAAAAACAGCAGTCAAATAACATGCTAAACCAAAATACTTAAATGTGCTCTCATTTATAATCAGTTGCAGGCTCAAGTTTGGGTTTCAGGATATCGACCAGCCCTGGCATACATGGTTTATTCGCACAAGACTAGCAAACGCAATCGGGTTGTCTGCCAAAGTGGTGTGGTCGTTATGGCTGCACTGAACAGCCTTGGAGATGCTTCATGTACTGATAGCCAGCGCATTTGTACAGCTGAATGACGTACTCCTTTCTTTCACGACTGCCGACGATAATAAAGGAAGCAAAGTGGCTCCCTACAATGCACGTCCTTGTAGATCACACATCAAGGGTGTAACTTTCTAGCATCCTTACTCCCGCCATATCTGAGCTTTAACACGTACAAGTACTTAGAGTCAAATTTGAAGAACTTGTAGTGTCACTGGTCACGACGGTGCCAACTAATACCTAAATGAATCAGTTCGGAGACCATCGTCCATGCAGCACAGTGAACTCTGAATTTGTTTCATCGAGTCATATTGAGCCATCCACCATTCCGTGGATGACAACTGAGGGGTCAACCGGTGTGCGTCATCAGTGGTCTACAAGCATATAGACGTGTTGCTGAAGTATGATGAGAGTCATCTCCCGCTCTTCCGTGTCTATACAGGCATCACTTCACTGCACAGAGTTCTTGGGTCATTGGGTCAACCGATTCCGATTCCTTGCTACACCGAGCATACCGGCCTTAGTCCGGCCGGGCCGTGATATCTACCCATGGAAACCCGGGCCAAGCCCTCCCTAACGACGCAAAACCAAAGTCATGTCCATCGCAGTAAGGTGAATCGTTTAATCGGTACCGCCAACAGCACGGGCTGAGCTTGTTAGCCGCTATTCCTCGGGTGACTGCGTGGCGAGCAAACATACTGTAGATCTGCATCTTGCTGTGCTGCACCACCGGGCGGATGAGGCCCTTCTCCTCGAGGTCCTTGATGCACCTCCTCGCGAGCGAGCCGTTGATCTTCATGCGGTCGACGAGGGTGGCGACGGTGACGAGGCGGAAGGACTGGACATCCTTGTAGAGCTTCTCAGAAGTCTGCTTGTCGAGGATGACGGCGTGCTGGGCCTTGTCCTTGACCTTGCCCTTGGACCTGGAGGCAGTGTGTTAGAGGAGGAGGATTTCTCGTGGGGATTTCGTCTGGCGCTTCATCAAGTCGGCGTCGCAGATGCGGCGGTTACGTACCACTGCAAACATGTTAGCGACAATGGCACAAGTAAATGACAATGTGGTAGTCAGGCGCAACAAACCTTCTTCTTCTGCTTCTTAGCTCCAGCTGCGGGCGCCATGTTTGCTGATGTTGTCGTCGGTCGGTGGTTGATGGACGGAACGCTGACGCTGGGGTGGAAGAAGTTCGTTTCGTTCAACGATGCCGTGGTTTGATTGATGCCCGTTGGGGGGGTTCCTGCCTTTCGCCTGGCACTCACAAAGCCCTGGATTCTGCCCCGCTTCTGGGCCTCTTAGGCCAATGGCAAGGGCGGTTCAGAGGGCTCGCGGCCCTAAAAGGTCGCAGTGAGGTGTGCGGCTCCACCCTGCCAACCCGAATGATTGGACAGCACCAAGAATCTTTTTGCAGGCCCATCCAGCAAGCGAGAATTGGACATTTCTCGACTCGACCCTCCTCCACCGCACGAACTCACCCTCACGACCAGCTCAGCCTCCAGCAACTTTTCTCCTCCGACGAGACAGACGACCAACCCGACAACCTGCAGTTTCACCCAGCTCCGAACTGCAAATTCGACACCATGTCTGACGGCGGCGAGATCGAGGTCGAGAACGTCCAGTACGACGTTCTCCCCAAGGATGTTGTCAAGGAGGTTGGCAACATCAAGCTGTTCAACAAGTGGGACTACGACGTCGAGGTCCGCGACATCTCTCTGACGTGAGAACCGCCCAAACCCTTTCGGAATGGAAAGCAGAATGCGATGATATGGGAGCAAAGACTAACCAGAGATCTCTGTTTACAGCGACTACGTCTCCCTCCGCAACCCCGTCTACGTCACCCACTCCGCCGGTCGCTATGCCACCAAGCGCTTCCGCAAGGCCAACTGCCCCATCATTGAGCGTCTCACCAACTCTCTGATGATGCACGGCCGCAACAACGGCAAGAAGCTCATGGCCGTCCGCATTGTTGCCCACTCCTTCGAGATTGTACGTCGCCCGGGACCCAGGAAGAACCGCATGGCACGGCGCATCAACCGCGCACGGCGGTACGGGATGCCGAGAGCAGAACACACAAGCTGACCAGCACAGATCCACCTGATGACCGACCAGAACCCCATCCAGGTCGCCGTTGACGCCATTGTCAACTGCGGTCCCCGCGAAGACTCTACCCGTATCGGTTCCGCCGGTACCGTCCGTCGCCAGGCCGTCGATGTCTCCCCCCTGCGCCGTGTCAACCAGGCCATTGCCCTGCTGACCACCGGTGCCCGTGAGGCCGCCTTCCGCAACGTCAAGTCCATCGCCGAGTGCCTCGCCGAGGAGCTGATCAACGCCGCCAAGGGCAGCAGCAACTCGTACGCCATCAAGAAGAAGGATGAGCTGGAGCGTGTCGCCAAGTCCAACCGGTAAACGGGGAACACGGATCTGGCTGCCGTCGTGGGCCCTCGACGTTGTTGTGGAGGGACTGCGGCGGTCGCTTCTGGCGCGAGTTGCGAGGCCCTGGCTTTGCAACAGGGAGACGGGGAAAACACCAGGGGGGCCGGGCGTGGCTGCGTAAACTACTACGGAGAGGCGTGGGATTTTTACTGGCATCCATCCTTGCGGCGGCGGCATGGACTGGCTGTGCCCCGCATCCTTTGCATTTGTGCGTTCGGGGATATTGGGAACGCGGCTACGGCATCTTGTCTGTTACGGACGGCTCTAGGTGGACTCTCCCAATAAAAAGCCAGGCTCGTTGGAGCAATCATGACCATGACGGTGGATGCTGATGATGGTGATGTGTATTTTATGTTTAAAAATGCCAAGCAACAAATCCTTGAGACTCGGTTCGCCGTCAAGTCAATGATATCTAGGCCGGGGAAGCGGAGTGTCGTGTGTGCCGGCCGCCTCCCGCTTGGCAACAAGATCGGCACGGTCGCCACCCGGAGGCGGTCCACAACGTCATACCGCTGTTGGCTGTCGCGGTCATCAGGCACCGAAAGCTTGTGGCAGAAGCATGTGGCGCGATGATTAGGTGGGAAATGCTTAATATTGGGAAACCTTTTGGAGGATCGCATTAGGGCCAATGTGGCAGGTCACTTGTTTGCTTCTATATATCTCATCTGTGCCTCGTCTGACCGCCATATGATCTCACTCTCCCCCATCGTCCCATCCTTAACACACTCATCGCACCCACTGCTAAAGGGACATTGGCCGGGAAATTTTGTCCTCGGAGTATAGTCAAAATTCACATTCATCTTGTTCACCTGACAGCAATCTCCCAACCATTGCACCATGGGCACCCCCTTCATATCCCTCCAAGAGCCAACGCCGCTTGACGGCTACCTCGTCGGACGGCCTCACGATGCCCAACCGCCGTCCGTTCCCAAATCCTTCTCCGACGCCATGGAGGTGCGCACCGCAGTCTTCATCGAAGAGCAGGGTGTGCCTGCCGAGAACGAGTTTGACGCTGACGACAGCCGCTGCTGCCACTGGGTCGTCTACGCCTCTGTCAATCAGGTCGTCCAGGAAGAGGTCGTCGACGCCAACGGCAATATCACGACGCCACGACGCAGCAGCACCCGGTCCACTCCCATCGGCACCGTTCGTCTCGTGCCCTTCCCCCATGCGCCGCACCCAAAGGACGGCGGAGAGTATTGGGACGGCGTGCTCAAGGGCGGGGCCGCAGATGGGGTCGAGGGCGGGGATGCCACAGCGGGACCGCCGGGGCGGGGTGAGGACGGGATCCTGCTCCATGAGGCGGATCGGGCGACGAGCCTGCATGATGGAAAGGAGCCGTATGTCAAGCTGGGACGGCTGGCCGTCGTGAAGGAGTTTCGGGGTCATGGCATTGCGAAGCTCTTGGTCGGACAGGCGTTGGGATGGCTCAGGAAGAACCCGACGTATTTCGACCCCAGTATCAAGGAACAGGGCCTTGAATCATTGGGTGCAGCTTCCGAGAAGGACATTCCAAAATGGGGTGGTCTCGTCTGCGTACATTCACAGGAGCAGGTCACTGGGACGTGGGAGCGTTTCGGGTTCAATGTTGATGAGGAAATGGGCCGATGGAAGGAAGAGGGTATTTGGCATCGGGGCATGTTCATGAGACTGGAGCTTGGGGGTGACGAAGGTTCATCCTGATGAAGGACTCAGGAATCACAGGTGCTAGTTTCGCATGATGATGAGCCATGAAGTAGCCAAGGCATAGCGAATGTAATGGATTTCGCTTTCAACCACCTTGCTGTTGCATGAATTCAAGTGGCGGATCCCCGTCGCTCTCTATCTATCTTTGAGCTTGGCTGACGATTATGAGAGCAAGCAAACCCATTGATTGAGGTATGTGTCCATCGTTGTGCGTGCTGGCAGCACCAAGCTGTGTCGTGCTCTTCAACAGTAAAAACTGTTGTAAGTCTTGAGTTGATCTCAAATGATACTGCACATGAAAAACAGTTGTGCAGGGTCATTGACGTCCCTACATCGAAGTAGTCTCGAAATAAGTCATAGACATATTATCAAGGCGATTCACCACATTCAGTACCCATATGCATGTTCGTCTCGTTGTGATGTAAACTTTGGGTGCTCTTAATTGAACTTCCCCATGATCACCACCAGGACCTGTAACACGTGACTTCACAAGTATCTCAAAGGAGGCATTCGTTGCTTGGAGTTGCAACTTGTCCAATTTTATCCAGACAAACTAGAACAACGACGAGAAATCCCCCTCAGAAGGACTCTGATCTTCGCGAAACAGGTTGCACGTCTACAGTGGGCAGAGTTTGGAAAGAGACCAGGTCTTCCTTTGGGCATCTAACGACAAGAACAGAGCGCACGGGCCATCATCGACATCGCACGGGCCAGTGCAGGTGGTCGCAAGCCAAAACCTGAGAGCCTTCTAGCCACTCCCTTCAACAACAGCTGTGCAGCCTCCTCCACATACGCTTTCTTCGGTACATTTCCGCCTCTGCACCAAGCTCGTGGCGTGCTCAACGCAACCACCTTACCACCAGGATGTCGGAATTCCTAGGGTACGCGGGGTCTACCTGGTTGCCCCAATGGCGATCGTCATCAGCAAGCGATCAATCTGTACTGACGTGCGCACCCTAGATCTCGCATCTCCCTCATCTCCAAGAGTGACATCCGGTATGGCACCCCCTCCCCTACCGCCCACATTGCATCTGGCCTCGAGCGCTGACTCCTTTACCTTGGCAGCTATGTCGGCGTCCTTCACGAAATCAACTCGGACGAATCTACCGTCTCGCTCGAGAACGTCAAGTCTTTCGGTACCGAAGGTCGCAAGTCTCGCCCCGAGGAGGAGATAGCACCCTCCGACCAGGTCTACGAGTATATTATCTTCCGCGGCAGCGATGTGAAGGATTTGCGTATTGAGGACCACCCGGGCATCAAGGAGAACAAGGCTCCTGCCGTGCCCGAGGACCCTGCCATCGTTGGTGTGAGTGCCACCACTGTCCCCCTTCCAGCCCAATATCCTTGGCCCACCCTTGATGAACCATTGCGGATGTAAATCTTTATCACCTTGTCGGAAAAGCGCAAAAAACAAATGTCGAAACTTTCCGTTGCCTTCCTTCTGATTTTTTTGGCCTATTGCCTCGCAGCATTCTGTCGACCTTCAAGACATGCATCAAAGCTGACACCTACCCCAGTCGCGCCCCCGCCCCGGCGGCCAACACCAGAACAACCAGCCGCCGCCCGGCCCCCAAGGTTATGGACAACCCCCTTACCACTACCCGCCCCCGGGCCCTTGGCCTCCTGCCGGAGGTCGTGGCGGCCCCGGCGGACCTGGCCCAGCTGGCGGCCCCATGGGCAACATGCCATACCCTCCTCCCCCCGGCTGGTTCCCACCTGGCCCTCCAGGCCAAGGCTTCCCCGGCGGACCTCCCCCTCCCGGCTGGAACAACTACAACAACTTCCCCACCGGCCAGCAAATCCCTCCCGGCATGGGCCCCGGTCGCGGCCCGGCTCCTGGCCAGCAAGGTCCTCCTGGCGGTCCTGGTGCGCAGGAGCAGAAGCCCGGTGCGCAGGGCCGGCCCGCACAAGACCCCAGCTCCTCTACGCCCACTCCCCAGCCTTCCGCCGGCCCCAAGTCGATTCCCCAGCAGCAGCAGCAACAGCAACAACAACAGCAGCAGCAACAACTCGGAAAGCAGACCGTCCATGCTCCCACGCCTCCTGTGGAGTCGAAGCCTTCGGTTGAGCAAGTCAAGAGTGCCGCCGCATCGCTGGACCAGGCTGCGCCTGCCAAGGCAGACAAGTCTGTTCCCACGGGTCCTAGGAGCAACCGCGTCACGCCCGTCGTGCCACTGACCGGCCCCAAGCCTTCCGGCCCCGTGTTGAAGGAGGCCACGTCGACGGCCCAGATCACCATGAGGACCGCAGCACCAACGTCGGCCGCCAGTCTGCGCGATGCCACCCAGGCCGCCAAGGCCGCCGTCGCTGTGGCCATGGCGAACCTCAACAACCCCGCCGGTGCCCAGGCTGTCCCTCAGCCTGCTGCGAACGGCAACATGATGGACAACCTGACCAACCGGGTCAACGAGATGAGAGTCAACGCCGCGCGAGGTGGTCAGGCTCACCAAGGTGGCCAGGGTGGTCGTGGCCGCAACACGCGCGGTGGACGCCAGGGCCAACCCAAGGTTGAGGTTCCCGATGCGGACTTTGACTTTGAGCAGTCCAACGCCAAGTTCAACAGGGATGACCTCGTCAAGGAAGCCATCGCTGGCGATCTCCCGTCCACCGAGACTCCCACGGATGGCCCAGCCATCGAGGCGCCCAGCGAGGCTGTCGGAGCCGCGCCGACGGCGTACAACAAGTCGACGTCATTCTTCGACAACATCTCGAGCGAGGCCAAGGAGCGGGCTGACAGCAACGGGCAGAAGCCAGGCGGTCGTGAGTGGCGCGGCGAGGAGCAGCGCAAGAACATGGAGACGTTCGGCCAGGGCAGTGTCGACGGCGAATACCGTTCTACCGCGGTAGGGGCCGCGGTCGCGGCCGCGGATTCGGAGGACGCGGCCGTGGTGGTGGCGGCGGCGGCGGCGGCGGCTACCCGGGGACGCGGCGGCGCCAACGGCTCCAACGCGCCCGTCAGCTAAACACCGCAACAGCCCAAGCACGTCACGGGTGTGGTGGAACGCTCATCCACCGCAGACGCTGGTATTGTTCTCCAAGCACCCTTTTTATTTTCCTACGGCTGTACATGGGGTCGGCTTGGAGAGAATTCCCAACACGTGGACAGTCTCTTTTCGGGTTACCTTGTATGATTAGTACCAGCACACGATTGCAGACTGGAAGAAGAAGAAGAAGAAGCGTCAGGTCGACGCCATGGTGGACTCTCGAGAGAGGCGGCAGCGCGTTTGCTTTTCGTTTTCCTTGGCCTTGGCTCTGGCTCTGACCATTGGTCGCGGGTGGACCTCGAGGATTGGCGGCTCTGGATCCGGCATGCATGAGGGCGGTGGAGTTTTTGGCACGCGCGACGACAAAAAAAAACAGTGTTCTTTCACGAGTGAGCCAGCGAGGCTCAGGAAAACACGACTCTACACATTTTTCTTTTCTTCATTTCCAAGGCGTGGCAGGGGGACGTGGAATCACAACGTACAGGATGGCAGCGTGGCGATGAACTATGATGAAGCAAAGGGGGTGGGAGGTCGACGGATGGTACGGGACGGAAGAAAGGGTTAGGCAAAGGAAAGGACATGGTCATCAAGCGTACCTTAAATCGGTGGAAGAGCAACTCGGGCGGACGGTTTGGGATGGAGCTTAGTCTGCAGCCCAGGAATAGACCCTGACGAGCGTTGTGGTTCATGCCTTGTGATGATGTGTTGCCGCATTAGCTACCGACCTGGGTACTTGGGTACCTACGAAGTAGGATGGGTAAGTCTTCACGCCCATAACAGGTACCGAGCCCCCTGTAAGCGTGGCCCGCACCCGTAGGAGTTCAAAGGGGCCGTGCTTCCTGTTTCATTATCTAAGCAAGCCAGCACATCGTCGAGAAATAGGTGGAAGTACCTGCCAGCTGCCCAGGGCCGCACGGGCCCAAAAGATACTTGACAGGGGTGGGAAAACTTTGGCCTGGTACTGCGTAGGTAAGCTAGGTAGGTATCTTGGTACCTGTGTACCTACCTGTAGCTACCCCGCCAAAGGAAGCGTGCCCCACCACAGCCCACCACAGCCCATCAAACGTCATGGCCGGTGTGACGCAGGAGCGAACCGCGATGATTTGCTTCTCTACCTACAACCTGAAGAAATCCTCTGGCCGTCACGAAACCCATACTTGCACATTTCATCCATTGCGTCCCTTTTTATTCTCTAGCTACACCACCACACGGAGCACCTCTGCACACACATGCCATGTCGAGCCGCCAGCTGCGCAAAATCCAGCAGCAGCGCGAGCTGCAGAAGCTGGAGGAGGGCAAGTCGGAGGCCAGCGACGGCGAAGACGACGAGCCAGTGGCACCCGCGCCAAAGCCGCGCGTCAGCCTCTTCGCTGCCCTGGGCGGTGATGACGATGACAACGACGACGACGATGATGACGATGACGAAGACGGCAAGAAGCAGCACGACAAGTCAGACGACGACAACGACAGCAGGACGCCCGCCGCGAAACAAGACGCCGAGCCCGAGGCCGTGCCCCAGCCTGTGAAGAAGAGCAAAAAGAGCAAGAAGAAGAAGAAGAAGGGCAAGAAGAAGGAGGAGGAGGAGGTCCCCGTCGAGGAGAACGATGACGACGTGGACGAGATTGACCGCGCGCTGCAGGAGCTCAGCGCCGCCGCGGCCCAGGGCGGCGCTGGTGCAGGGGACCTCGCCGGCACGAGCCGCGACGTCGACGCGCTGCTGCAGATCAACGAGCACCACCTCAAGGCCATTCATGAGATGCGCACCCTGTTCGGCAAGGAGGCCATCGAGTCGGCGCGGCAGGAGGAGCAGGCCGAGCAGGAGGCCGAGCTGCGGCGGCAGCGGGCCCAGGGACGGGTGCACATCGGCCTCGAGCAGGCCCTGCGCGGCGACCCGCGGAGGAAGCTGCCGGAGATCTCGCTGCGCAGGAACGTGTTCATCCAGGGCAAGGACAATTGGCCCATGGGGTCGGCGGGCGGGCTGACGATGAAGCCGGTCCGCGAGGGCGCCGACGGGCTGACGACCGAGTTTGCGTTCCACCACGACGCGACGTACGACAGGAGCCAGATTATCTTCTTCCAGGTCGTCGGCATGGGCGACCCCATGATGATGGTGTCGCTGCTGCAGGAGACGCCGTACCACATCACGACGCTGCTGCAGGTCAGCAAGGTGGCGACGCAGGACCAGAACGCGTCGCTGGCGGCCGAGCTCATCGAGCGCGCCCTCTTCACCTTTGGCCGCGTCACGACGTCGGCGTTCCGGCAGAAGCTCGCGCAGGGCCGCGCGCGCCTCGACTTTAAGAGGCCGGAGAACCGCGAGTTCTGGCTCGCCGGCTACCACTACATCAAGAGCCTCATGCGCAAGGGCACCTTCCGCACCGCCTTTGAGTGGGCCAAGCTCCTCTACAGCCTCAACCCGAACGACCCGTACGCCATGAAGAATTTTCTGCACCCGCTCGCCATCCGCGCGCGGCAGGCGCAGTGGCTCGTCGACTTTTGCGGCCGCATGACGACGACGACGATGACGACGACGCACGCCACGGGCCCCGCTGACGAGCACCTCATGGCGCAGACGGCGGTGCTCGCGCACCTCCAGCTCGGCGACGACCGCACGGCGCTCAAGCTGGCCGTCGACGGCATGGAGCGCGTGCCGTGGCTCTACAGCGCGCTCTTCCAGGCGCTCAACCTCGACGTGCCGCCGCCGCTGTGGGGCGTCAGCCCGCAGGGCCACGCCAAGTACTGGACCGACATTTACCTGCACATGGCCAAGGTCCTGTGGAACAACGGCCAGGCGACGGCGCTGCTGCAGGCGGCCGTCAAGCGGGCGGGCAGGGACGAGGCGAAGCAGCTGCAGTCGGCCGACGTCGGGCCCTCGGACCTGCGGACGGCGCGGTTCGCCTTCCTCGAGGGCGACACCAAGATCATGGCCGGCGTGCCGCGCCACCTACTCGGCCAGCAGCCCAACTACGAATTCGACCCGCTGCCGCCGCCCCTCGCCGACAACATCTTTTCGAGCGAGGGCGTGCAGCTGCCGTGGCGGGAGAACGACGGCCACGGCGGCAGCGCGGCGCTCGACACGCCGGCGGGCCGGGAGTTTGCCATGCGGCTGCAGCGGCGCATGGCGAGGGCGCAGGCGCGCGGCGCGGCGGGCGGGGGCGCGGCCATGGGGCTCGGCGGTGTGCTGGGCGGCGAGGGCGAGGAGGAGCTCGACCTGGACGCGTTTGGTGCGCAGCAGGTGCATGGTTTCTCGAAGGCGAGAGTGAGGACGAGGACCAAGACGAGGACGATGACGCACTTGCGCAGGGCGGCCAAGGCCTCGCAGCCAACTGGCATCCCGACGAGGAAGAGGGTGCGTTCCGCGGCGGTGTCCCGCTTTCCCTGAGGACGGCGACTACGCAGAGGATGACCCGAGCCAGGACGATGCGCGCGGCATCTTTAGGCGGCTTTGGGACGGCTACCTCGGCCGGGCGGCGACGGCGACGGCTCGTGCAGACGCGTCGACGGAGGATGACGGCACGGCGGATGGTCCAGATGCGGGTGGCGGCGCAGGGCAGAGGCCGTAGGGTGTACATGACCGGACACGATGGAAATGCATGAATGGAAATGCGTGAATGGAAATGCATGTACACGTTGAGCTATCGGGGCACGCGGTGATGATACGAAGTAGGCCCTGTGCGATGTGGCTGGTGATTTCATTTGGTTCGCCTTGGGTTCTGTCAGACGCACCGTCGATCTGTCGATCAGGAACAGGTGGGTGGTGATGCAGTCAGGAGAGAAATGGCAACATGGGTGCAATGTGAATCAAGTCGTGCACTGTGGCCAAGGACCAGACGAGGACGAGGACGAGGACGAGGACGAGGACGAGGACCAGCACCAGAGGAGCTATTGAATCGTCATCGGCCGTATCGGACAATGGCGTCGTGACGTGCTCGCCATGGTGAATACTGCTCACGGAGCGAGACAGGGATGCTGCGGCCCGTTTCAGGCACCTGTTGCTTTTGCTGGAGGCATACGGGGAGGTGGGAATACTACGTGTACCTTAGCCACCTGTACATGAGGAGGGGCTCGTCATGAGGAAGCGGGCGTGAGCAAGTTTCAGCGTCTCAGATGAGGTGCTGCAGAGGACCGGGCGCGACCGATGGGGCCGAACGCCAGGGCTCGAGGGACGGTTGTTGCTGACGACGGGTGACGGTGCAGCTCAAGTGCCGCTGGTGGTGGTGGTGACAATCAATAATTGTCTCTTGTCGGTCCGCGATCCATATAAGCTGCGTCCTCGGTGCCTTTGGATTCTCTCTGACCTTGAGATCCATATCTTCTGCAACACCCTGAGAGAAACACCCAGAAACACCTGAGACCCCACACGCATTCGCCATTGCCTTACCCCGCCACCCGCCATCCCGTCCTGAGCCGCCCCAACTTGCCGCAAACACCTCCCCACGCCCTCACCCACGACCACACGACAGAACACACCATGGCCGAGCACAACTACCAGTTCAACATTGCCATGAGCTGCGGCGGCTGCTCCGGCGCCGTCGACCGCGTGCTCAAGAAGCTCGACGGTGCGTTTCCCTGCTCTGCCCTTTGCGCATGCCGCATGTGCCTGTAGCGAGAGAAGAGACACCTCCGAGGCCCTGCCGATGCCCTGCCCGCACACCTGCTGACCACCCCCAGGCGTCAAGTCCTACGAGGTCTCCCTCGAGAACCAGACCGCCTCCGTCATCGCCGAGCCCGAGCTGTCCTACGAAAAGGTCCTCGCCACCATTGCCAAGACGGGCAAGAAGGTCAACAGCGGCAGCGCCGACGGCGTCGAGAGGAGCGTCGAGGTCCCGGCGGCCGCCTGATGGTCACGCGGCATGTGCGCAGAGGGCGCGGCCGGGCGCTGGAGACGGGCGAGTTTGTAGCGAGTCTGTTATCGTTCAATACCAGGATTACGTTGGCTTTGGTGCTCGATACTCTGCAACGGCGTCATGTGCACGATGACCTTGTGGATATGCCCTCCTGAGACACGGGACAAAACGGGAGACGAGAGGTGCCATCTGTTTAGCTGCTTTGGTGATGCTGAGACTACTTTATCGCTGTCGCCCAGGACTGGGGGCCGTGTTTTGCTATAGTGGACACAACTTTGCTCTCGGCTGACAATGCAGCCCCGAGGAATCCCAGCAGCTTGTTGACATGTCAAGCCCCTTGAATAATACCTGGCAGCCGTCTCATCAACAATCATGCACAATCACCATGTCCTCCCAAAGCTGAACAATAGTATCAATCACCTACTCAGAGCCGCATCGACAACCAGCTCGTGTCCTCGTGGCGAAACTCCAACGAATCGCGGCTATCATCCAACGCCCCAACCAGCTCGACCTCATCCCCCCCAGCCCGAGGCGACCGCCACCCGGCCGCCAGATGCGCATCCTCGACCATCTCCACGACGACCCCGACCCCGACCCCCGTCGTGACCGTGATGCCCCCAGGCCCCTCATCGGCCGGCGTCCTCGTCTTCCCCGAGCTGTCCGACCGCGAGACGGCGGACCCGGTCCCCATCTGGAGCCCAAACTGGACCGGCTTCTGCAACCCCGTCCTCGGCCGGTTGTATTTGCTCCGCTGCGACAGCGGCAGCGAGTTTGCGTTGGGCGACCGCCCGATCTTGTACGGTGACCACAGTTCCCTCTCTGACGTCAAGCCGAGCGCGCGGTCGATGGCCGGGAAGCAACGCAGGAACGCCCGCAGCGACGGCACGCAGGAACACGCGATGAGGGACGAGACTTCGACCATCGACCACAGCATGGGGTTGACAATGCCATCTGCGCCACGTCAGTATGAACCAGCCCGAACAAGGTAAGCTGCCAGCAGGGTAACGCACAGGTGAAGTCACGGCCGATGGCCCCAATATAGGAGACGCGCACAATCGAAATGACACAGACGCTGCACTGGTCAGCCTTGCACGAGAGGTGATGCTCCGAGCATGGACGTACAAGAGCCCGATGGATAGCATGAGGATGGCGCCTATCCTCTTCATCTTGGACAGCTGCATTCTCCAAATCACGGGAATCGGTTGCACGAAGAGCACAATGTCGGTCAAGAACTTGACGACAAACTAGGTACAAATCGTCAGCTGGAGAGCACCAGTCATTCCCATGCATCACTCACAGAGGCGTAGTAGAAAGGTTTGAGGTCCAGGCACTTGCCCTCGAGCGAGTGGTCCCAGACCTTGGCAACGGGGACGCAATGCAACATGATGACCAGCGACTCCTCAATGCCCTCGGCCATCAAGAGCACCAGCAGACCCTGGTTGATGCGTCTGTTGAGCAGATCGGGGAGCAGGCCGAGGTAGAGCACAGCAAAGGACATTTTGACGGTGACGAAGCCCCAAATGTAGGCGACGGGCGTCACCATTTGCAGCTGCAGGACTGGTTAGTTGTGTTGTCAATCATGGGAACACGCCGTACACACTTTGAAGAATCGTTCAACCTCGGCGTCGGAAAGATCGTACTGATGAGATCCAAATCCAACTTTGGTCACTGTGCGCGACCGATCAGCCAGAACTTTCCCATGTCAAGGTCGAGGGTGCTCACTGGCGAGTACCATGCTGCAGAATACCATGGTGAGGCACTGGCGTTGTTAGGATCGGCGCAGAAGCATCGTCAGAGGCCTGCCATACGTAGCTGACGAAGACCAGTCCTGTGTCCAAAGTCAGCAACGCTCTCAGACCAGGCGTTAGACCACTCACCGTCATCCCAATCTAGCTTCCTCAACAGACAGCCGCGGACGAAGAATCGAATCAAAACAGAGAGTGTCATCATGGCAATAAGCAGCGAGGCCACACCCACAACCTTGGGCACCAGAGATTCGGACATGTCGTCCCGTATCAGGGCTGCGATCCGCTCATGAGCGACGACGATATCGTGAGATCATGGTCTCCGTGTACGTGGTAGGCGCGAAGAAGACCCATCACCTCGAAATAGTAACCGTGAAGGGGGACATTGGGGCTTTTCAGTTACGTCCCCCCCCCTCAAGCACAAACTTCAGAATGGCCCGGGTCAACCCTGTTTGCTTTGGGGATTGCCAGCCGGGCGGGTGGTAGGGCTGGACGTAACCACTGCATTTCTGGGGAGCGCTGGCGCGCTCCGGAGGCGAATTCCTGGTGTCCTTGCATTGACGCTTGTTCATGTATCGGCAAGTCCCAGCACAAGAGCGTTTGAGTGCCCTTTTGGGTGCCCTTTTCGGTCCGGAACCGAGTACGAGTCAGCAGGCCTCCTCGTCCCACCCCTTTTCCGTCTCCGAGGCGTCCGTACGAGAGATGTACGTGGTTTATAGGCTTGAAGATCTACGTACGAAAGAACCACAGACCGCCAATGAAGAACAGGCAGCATTCTGTTTGGCTTTCTTCAACCACGTTTGGCACCCGCCGATCTTGTCTAAAGAACCTGATCGCCCAACGTGGCCAACCGTACGAAAACAAAAGAAAGGTAAAAGACAAGTGACTCGGGAAGCAGACAGAGCCAGCAGGAGGCGAGCATACACAATACACCTCAGGTCGACACGGAGCCAGAGGGGCGAACTGTATTCTGTGTTGAGATTGACACCGTTTCAGCGAATGGTTGGGCCATGGTGTGAACGCCTGGAGAACCTCGCGGCGCTAGCCCTTCGAAGCATGCTGAAGCAGGGGGGGGGTTGCTCAGCCTCTCGACCTCTCTCGAGACGGTGTACGCGAGATATGGTGCATCCCTTGTCCCAGTCACGCGAGAAGGTTTATTATTCTGGGACATCGGACCACGGTAGGCTTTTCCACGAGCCCAGGCTTCCAATACCGCCTGCCAGCTCACGCAGGGAAGCCAAAGGTGTCCCGATGCGGAATGGAACTTTCCAATGCAAGCGCAAGGCATAACGCCATCTACACATGTAGGCGAGCTAGCGAGCAAGGTTCGGTGAAGTGACGCAAGGACATCGGCATCCGGGTGGACTGCCGGCGGCAGACGCTGCTTGGCTAGCTTGGTTCCATCGAGATGAACCACTTTGGGCATGTTCTATCTCACGAGATCGTTATGCACCCAGGCGAGCACAGGGCGCTGTGAGGCAAGTGATCGATCTCCAGGAGTGGGCGAGATGTTCCGGTTCCGCGCTCTGTTCATCGAATGGTTTTAGGACTATTGAGGGGCGTTCCGCTTCGTCTCAGCTGTCTCGTGCTGTCAGAGGGCGAAGGAAGTTTCGAGGCTTCGAGAACAAGTCGACCAAGACATGCAGGATAGCGGGGGAATCAGCCAAGCGTCCATCAGCAAGCATGGCCAGACAGGATGCCACGAGCTTGGATGCCGCGAGCTTGGATGCCGCGAGCTTGGATGCCGCGAGCTTGGATGCCGCGAGCTTGGGAGTATGGAGTTTGAAAAGAAGCCTTGCTGCTGGATCATCTAACGGTTATCGCGTTAGGGCCGTCCGCTGACAGCTGTTTCTCAACCACTTCATCCTTTCACATCGGTGTGCCTCGGTGTGCACTGCACCTTCCTGCACAATGATGGTCAGGAAGGCGATGGAAGCAGGTGCAATACTGCAGCAGCCTGGACAGTTGAAGGGATGGCTCCTTCCATATGATTTCCTCAAAGTACCGTTCTGCTCAGACTCTTTCAAAATGTCACGTAACCGCCAAGTTAAGCAATCGTCAACCAGTATCACAACCATCACGCAGCCTCAGACCTACTCTCCAGCCCGCCCATACCATTCAATTGCATCATCACCAAGCAAACCCCCAGAACCGCTTCACCTAAAATCACACCTCCCAAGAAGATCCGCAAAAAATGATGATCGAATCATTCTTCCTGCTCCCGGTCCTCCTGGCCGCGGCCACCGATCCTCTCCCCACCGCAGCCACCACCACCACAGTCGAGGCCTCACCGCCCGCGTGCCTCCTCGCCGTCCTCAGCAAGCAGTCCACCCCCTGCAAAATCGCCGACATCTGCAAAGACAGCCAGGACCGCGTCCTCGCCGCCATCGAGAACGTCTGCCTCCCCGACCGCGTCGAGCCCGCCCGCCAGGCCTTCGCCAGCGCCTGCTCCGCCCGCGGCGTCGACGTCACGGCCACTCCCACTGCTGCTGGCGGTGATGGCGGCTCGAGCGGCGGCGGCATTCACGCCCCGGAGCCCGAGGTCCTTCTCTACGCCGTCGCCGGTGCCTGGGCTGCCAGCGCCGTTATCGGCATCTACTTTGTCTAAGACTTCAGCTTGTGCATGTGCTGTGCGTCTTTCGACATCTATGAAGGAAGGAGCACTTTGCATATGCAATTCTTCTCGACAGGAAGCAGACATTCAGACCAGCGTGAAAGGGGCCAGATAAGGAAGAGGCAGAGGTCATTGAAGTTGGCACGAGGCGTTCAAGGGGTCAAGGAGTCGGATGGTCCTTTTTGTGTATGATGATACCTGATTATCCTACAGCTCTGGCGTAGAGACAAGATTGATTTCAGCCCAACTTTGGGTGGCACGTAAAATCCCCTCCCAAAAGGCCCCACGGATCTATGCATGTAAAACAGTCTTGTAATTTGGATTCGCTCTCTATTTCAATGTGACCAGCTCCTCTGCGCTGGTCGGGTGGATGGCGACGCAGCTGTCGAAATCGGCCTTGGTCGCACCCATTTTGATGGCGACGCCGAAACCCTGCAGCATCTCGCCGCTGCCGAGGCCGAGGATGTGCAGGCCGACGACCTTCTCGCTGGGGCCCTGCACGATGAGCTTGTACGCCGTGGGGCCCTTGTCCTCGGGCTCCATCATGGCGTAGTACATGGCGGTGAACTTGGTCTTGTACACCTTGATGTCGTCCTTGCCGTACTTCTCAATGGCCTGCGGCTCCGTGAGGCCGATGCTGCCGACCTCGGGGTGCGAGAAGACGACCGAGGGAATGTTCTCGTAGTTGAGCTTGTTGGCCGCGAACTCGGGCCCGCCAAAGAGGCGCTCGCCGAGGCGGCGGCCGGCGGCCAGCGCGACGGGCGTCAGCTCGACCTCGCCCGTGACGTCGCCGAGGGCGTAAATGTTGTCGACGCTCGTGTTCTGGTACTCGTCGGCGACAATGTGGCCGCGCTCGTTGAGCTTGACGCCGACGGCCTCGAGGCCAATGTTCTGCGTCGCGGGCGTGCGGCCGACGGCCCAGATGAGGTGGTCGAAGCCCGTCTCGACCGTCTCGTTGCCGCTGCCGTCCCTGTACGTGATGGACAGGGTGCCGTCGGCGGCCTTTTCGACCTTGGTGGGCTGCGAGCGCTTGTGCAGGTGCACGCCGAGGCGGACGTACTCGTCCGTGACGGCCTCCTGGACCATGGGGTCAAAGTTGCGCAGGAACGTGTCGTGGCGGATGAAGAGGTGCGTCTCGGTGCCGAGGGCGTTGAACATGCCGGCAAACTCGACGGCGATGTAGCCGGCGCCGACGAGGGCCACCTTCTTGGGCTGCTTGGCAATGTCGAAGAAGCCGTCGCTGTTGGTGCCGAGCTCGGCGCCGGGAATGGAGGGAGGGATGGTCGGGTTGCCGCCGACGGCGATGAGGATCTTCTTCGCTTTGATAAGGGCCGTGGACCCGTCGTCGAGAGACACCTCGACCTCGTTCCGCGACTTGAGCGTGGCCCAGCCGTGGACGTACTCGACCTTGTCGTTGTTGAGGTTCCTCTCGTAGATGCCGTTCAAGCGCTGGATGTAGGCATCGCGCTTCGCCTTGAACGTCGGCCAGTCAAAGGGCTTGTCGTGGGTGACAGAGAAGCCGTAGGCCTTGGCGTGGTGGATGGTTTCGGCAATGGCAGCGGCGTTGAAGGTGACCTTTTTGGGGACGCAACTAGAGGGCCTGTTAGCTTCTGCGCGAGAAAGCATCTGCGCGAGAAAGCACCTGCGCGAGAAAGCCCCTGCGCAAGCACATCTCGACACCGACAAGAAGACGCTTACCCAACGTTGACGCAGGTTCCGCCGAGGCGCTTGCTCTCAATGATGATGGCCTTGGCTCCGAACTGCGCCGACACCTTGCGCGCCGCACCGAGGCCACCGCTTCCGCCACCAATGACGACAAAGTCTGCCTCCTTCGTGATGGGCGCCATGACGCGAGACGTCGTGGACAGGTGCCGGTGCACAGAGGCGATTCTAGACGAAGCTGCTGCTGGGGACGAAGAAGAGGCTGCTGGTGGTACTGCGGTTGCGCGAAGCAAGGTCTGGAACGCACGCATGGAGTTTGGTGTAGGAGGGGGTTGAGGCTGCTCGGACGGCGGAGGGGTACTGGTGGTGGTGTGGAGGGGCAACCCCGTATTATAGCAGAGGTCGTGACGTGTAAGTTTCGTTCGGGGCGGCTGCAGGAGAGGATGGTGGAATCGGGGGTCAGAGTGATGTACGCATCTGCAATGCGTGTACATAGTACGCATAGGTCGATGGAGCTGCTCTGCTGTGCTGTGCTTGGTTCAGGGCGGCGGGGCCGTCGACAGGGGGGTTTGTACGGTCCCAAGGCTTGGGTCCCAAGGTCCCAAGGTCCCCGGTAGCTCGGTCTTCCCTCTCTTCTGCCCGCTTCTGCGGGGTTTCTTACTAAGACACGACCATGACGGCGCCTTCTCGCCGCCTTTCGTTCGTTCATGTTCCAAGCTCAGGATCATGTCGGATGCAGCGGGATGATTCATCAGTAACCCCCGTTTTCATGGACTAGCTGGCCCTGAATTTTTTTGTTCTTCGTACCGCTGACTGTGTGCGTTTTCAGGACCACGAGCGCAGGGCGTGACAAATACCCAGCCGCAGTAGCCTGATCAAGTTGAAGAGGCGATACCTAATCATCGCCAAGGCGGCTGAGGTCTGCAGCACACCTCATGTCGTGAATTCAGTCTCTGACCGAAGCCTGACATCGACACACTCCCGTCCTTCAGAGACCACAAATGTCAACACCTTGGAGACTGCATGACAAAGAAATACTTGTCGGGTATCATGTTATTTTTCTGCAGGGTCGTGATGCCACTTTCATCTCTCTTAGTCATCGTAACATGGATCACCATCATACTCGCCGTGTTGCGCCTGCGTGCTCACCCACTCTTCACTCGCGAGCCCTCTCGCCAACCGCCTCTTGAGATCCTGCGCGTCCTTGTGCCAGTCGCACGCATAGTCGCATGGCGGTATCGCCGTCTCGCCAAAGTAGCTGCAGATCTCTGCGTGACGACACATGCTTGTGTTCTCGCAGTAGAGCGCCAGACGCTGTAGGCTTCTCAGCTGCGCATCGCTGTTCGTCCCGTCCCGGCTACCCCGGCTGACCATGTTCCGCACCCGCTGGAGATCCTCGCGGCTGTAGTAGAGGAAACAATAGCTCGCGTTGCCATCACGTCCAGCACGTCCTGCCTCCTGGTAGTACCCTTCGAAGGACTTCGGGAGCCGCCAGTGGACCACGAAACGGACATTGTCCTTGTCGATACCCATGCCAAACGCCGTTGTAGCTACAATGATATCGTAGCCCGGCTCGTTATTTACCCAGCGGGCCAGCGTGGACTCCTTCATCTCTTTGGTCAGTTTCGCATGGAAGGGCCGGGCACCGATACCCTCTTGGCTCAGGGCATTGGCCAGGCTTTCACATTCGTCCCTCGAAATAGTGTAAATGATGCCCGACACGTTGTCCAGTCGCTCGCCCAGGGCTTCCAGTTCCGACTTGCGTGGCTCCGCCTTCCGCCTGTCATGAACGCTGCGAATCCATTTGATAAAATCGGACAGCCTGCCGTCTTCCCGATCCTGTGTGTACCTGATCTCAAGATGCAGATTCGGACGGTGCGCCGACATGACGAAGCTTTTGAGGCTCTCAGGGGTCGCACTCAGACCGAGCGTCAACAGGATGTCATCGCGAACCAGTGGGTTAGCAGTCGCAGTAAGACACGTAATCGGCACCGTGGGGAACGTTTCTCGAAACCACGAGAGCCGCTTGAAATCTTTGCGAAAGTCGTGGCCCCATTCAGAGATGCAATGCGCCTCATCAATAGCGATCCGCGCTAGCTCGCACTGCTGGTGCACCAACTTGAGGCGGTTGCGGAAAGACTCTGACGAGCACAGCTCGGGCGTGACATAGAGAAGCCTGGTCCGAGGGTGTCCGCTGGCGAGATCTCTATTGATACGATCCTTCTCCTCGGGCCTGGTGTTACTGTTGTACGAGCTGGCCTTGATGCCTGCGGCTTGCAGCTGTTCCACTTGGTTCATCTGGACATCTCAGCCGAGCTCGTGGCGCCGCAAAGAAAGGGGTTGCGCTCTCACCATCAAACTCAACAGGGGCGACACGACGATGGTGACTGGAGCACGACTTGTAAGGGCGTCAAGTTTGTACACGAGATACGACTCAACTCACTGCCTTGGTCGATGCATGCTGGGAGCTGAAAGCATAGGCTCTTGCCAAAGGAGGTGGCGGCTTGCACAAAGACATCGTTGCCGTCGAGTGCCGCCGTTATGATCTCCCTCTGCTGTGGTCTAGACCAGTCAAGATTTTGGTCAACGCATGCGTCTTGCAGACAAAACGTGGCCAGAAGAACGCTCGCGTACCTGAAGCTCTGTTTTTTGAACTGTCGACGCAGGGTAAAGTCAATATCGACACATGAATTGCTTCTTGACAGGGGAGCCATGGCACCGGTTTCGCATTGCCACTGGCCGAGAAGAGCGGTGGCCGGGGTGGTGCCGCCCGAGCGACCGTGTGTTCCACGAGGTCAGGCGAGGCAAGACGAAGCGAAGCGAGGCTGTCTGAGGAGAAAGAAGAAATAAGAATGTGTTTTGTTTCTTGCGTCATGCGGTCTTGCCACCTAGCTCGATATTGACAGAACCAAGGCCACAAAGCCGAGTCGTTTCGGCTCGTATTCGTCGGCGATTGTGGTATTTCTTCTCACGATTCAGTCGGTGATGTTCACTCGCCAGTTGGCAATGCCCGATACCTTCAAACCAAAACTCTTTTTGGTGTTGGGCTGTCTCGTCGGCTTCCCTTTTGGGCGGTCCGCAGGTATAGGATCTCCGCTCAACCGCCGAGACCCAGCCAGCGGAAACAAGGAGGATCAGCGTCTGACTCGACAGAAGTTCGCTCCAGCTGTAAATGTCAAGGGGATGCCTCGGATGCCCCTGGGCAAACAGAGTTGAAGGTGGGCGTGGCGTGACTTGCGACAAGAAGTGCTCGGGCGATTCGACGAACGGACATCATGCTCTGGAGGAAGAAACAAACATCTCTCGGCTGACGCCTGAATTGGAGGCCAAGGTAGGTACCTACCGAAGTACCTACCTTAGCAAGGCAGACCCACCGCACGCCTCACGGTGTCCCTCTCCAGGAGCGGAGGACGACTATTTTCTCTGCCCTTGTCGGATATTCGCTCTACCCGACCAGGGTAAATGCACGCTAGACAAGGGTCAAGTTCCAAACACAGCTCCACCACCAAAATCAGCTGGGGCAACTATGTACCTCTGCTCGTCTCTTGTACCTTTGAGTCACTAGCAAAGCAGGCGAGTCGCGAACGGTCTTGAGCAGCTCTTCGTGCGTATCTGCGGTGAAGGAGACGATGGGATCGTCGGTGACGGCCTGGGTGACGGTAGGTGAGTCTGTCGGTGAAGGAGGCATCGGAGAGGCTTCGTTTGACGATAAAATGAGGCGTTGGCGATGTCTGGATGGCTCGAAATAGGCGTATTTGGTGGTGTTGAGAATTCAGAATAGATAGGGCAACTGCAGAGCCTTAGGTGGCTGCCTGCGTTGCTTTGTCAGCTGGTTATAGCTGGTCTTTAGCTCGGAATTCAAGGAGAGACTCCTCGAGAGACTCAAGTATACAAGAGACGAGGTTAGGTATATACTTACCCTAGCTAATTTGGGTAGTGGAGCTGTGTTTGGAACTTGACGAATATCCGACAAGGGCAGACAAAATAGTCGTCCTCCCAGGAGCGCTGTCAGCGTGTCAAGAGGCCTGGAACGCGGCCCATCCCGGGGATCTGGATGTCTCTGCACTGGGCCACCCCTAAAGCTTTCAGGGGCTCCCCTAAAGACGCCGCCTACAGCCGAGTGTTACAGTGGTTCATTGCCTCCGACCACGTGAGTATTGCTCACCAAACCCTGTGCACACAGTGACGTCCCTTGCACTGCTTGACGGATTGGCCCCTGGTGTGCCTTGCAGATACACTAAACCATACCTGCTTTAGCCGCCCTGACGACGTAGACCCCACTCTGGGCGATGTGCCTACTATGTGCACCCCATCTCTGAGGAGGCCCAACACTCATGTCCGCTGCAGTTTGGGTGGAAGCTTACCAGTTGGACATACACGATTAGCTTGCTCTAGGAGCACGGCGGCGTCGACCCAGTACATCAGGAAACAAAAGGGGGCTTCCTTTGGCCCCCCCCCTTTCTCCTTCTTTCTGCCCTCATGCCAGCCGCTGGCCGTACCAAGCCTGCACGCCCGTTCCTCCACCTCCACCTTTTGCTCGCCAAAGACGAAAGCTTCATGTCGGGTTATCAGTTTTCACAACCCGGCGCCGCCTTGTCCTTCCATTTTGAACAAAAACTGACCCTGAACCCTACGGGAACATCTCCGCCTCGCCTTCTCACACGTCCTGTCCACTCGACTCGGAGACCGCCCTCCGACTGAACTGCGGATTGTTCTTCTGTTCACCCGATCGAAATTCCAAGCCCACGACACCCATGATGAACTTGCCTGCCCCCGAGTCACGTTCGGTTTGACCTAAGGCTCGACCTCCCAAGGCACACTTTGTCTGAGACGAGACGCCTCTCCACATTCGATCATCGCATCCCTGAACCGTACCAGTGTACCACCCGTTTCGCTCGTCGACATTTGAACGTCCTTATCGATCCCGATCCCGATCCTTCACGGAGCACAACTCTTGCCCTCTTCTCTCCGAGTGACCGACCGAGCAGTCCAAACACCACCAACCCGACCGGTCCAGTCTGTCATCGCAGAGCCCGACAAAGGGCAATGGACAGAATGGAAAGGTCAAATGGCCCTCGAGGCTTGCCCGACAATCCTGCCCAGGGCGTTCGACGCTTGCCGATGGGAAACTCGCTTCCACCGCCCATGCCGCCCATGCCCAACATCCGCAACACCTCCTCATCCAACGCGACACTGTCCGCATCGACACCTATATCATCTGCGCAGGTCATTGCGCTGGCCAGAGAGGCTATGCAGAATGCCCTCCGCGAAAACGAGTCCCAAGCTGCGGAAGCTAGTGCTGTCAGTAATGACTTGAAGCCAGGCGTCACGATAGATCTGAGTCGGAAGGGGATCCAGAAGCTCCCCGAGGAAGTGGTGGACATCATCAAGAATGAACTTGAACGGTTAGTCCGCCGCGAAAATCGAGTGTCTCGCCGTCCTCCCCCTGGTTCTAACTCGGTGATTTTCTGAATTCCAGACTTGCCTTGTCTCACAATCAAGTCGCCTCATTTCCTTCAAGATTCGCCGAGTGCACCTCACTACGGTATCTGAACGTCAGGAACAACCAGATCCGAGAGTTCCCCCTGCCTGTTGGTCTCTCAATATCCACTCCCCTTGCGACAGCTGTCTAACCTTGGTCCAAGCTGTGCGATCTGAAATCGTTGGAGATTCTCGACTTGAGCAAGAACAAGTTGAGGGTGCTGCCCCCAGAGATTGTCAAGCTTACCTCATTAAAAGTCTTTTCAGTCCAGAGGAATCGCATCGAAGAATTGCCTCTTGCTCTAGCCGACATGGTATCGTTGCAGGTTCTCAAGTTCGACGGGAATCCAATCAGTTTCCCGCCACGCGAAGTTTTACAAGTCCAGGCAACCAGTCCGCCGAACGAAGGATTCCTGAAGGAAAGTGAGGTGACGGAGATTGCCGTCACGTCTCACATCAAAAAGTACCTCCGACAAAAGGTAGTCAGCAATGGGCGTGCCGAGTCCGAAAGCGCAGACGAATCCAGTGAGAGCATAGAAACACCACGCATGCCACCGATCAAGCGAGTCACCAGCGGCCGATTCCCCGTCAAGGTTAACGGCGCAGACCCTCCGGACAGCATTCGATCACCAGCTGCCATTCGAGCCCCACCGATCCCTTCACGTTCACATTACCGAGGCCTGTCGCAGCAGTCAACAACTATGCGAAGACCGGGCGTCATGCCTCTCACCATCGGCAACGTCAACGAGCGCGTCAGAAGTAACTCCGAAACAGTACTCCAAGCATCAAGAGGTGAAAGGCCAGAGTCCCGCGCTCGGCGTATGGGTGTCGTTTCGCAAAAACAGAACCAGCTTGGCACCTTGGACGAGACGCAGGCCAACAACCGATTCAGTCACTATCGCGGCCTTAGCCACGGATCTGCCATGACGGGTGCCCCCGTAAGCATGGCACTCAAGAGCCCCAACAGCCCTGCTGAGCCCTTTCTACAGCGGCCGGTCTATGTGCGGCGACTGTCGATCCTGCCTGAGCGTCGACGCGAGTCTAAGGTGTTCGACCCTATTCTCGAGGCTGCGAAGGGCATTCTATACGCCGTTTTCCAGATCCATCCAATGATCCAGATGTTGATGAGTCTGACTAGCGACGGCTCTGCTAAGAGGTCGAGCCTCGAGATGATTTTCTACAACACGAATTCACATGTTGAGGAGCTAGAGCAAGAAATCCAGAACCACGATCCCACGGTGGGCGGCGAGGACCAGTCCGGCTACGACTCTGGTTACAACGACGAGAATGTGAGGCGGGCGTGCCAAACGCTTGTGGGCGCCTACACCCATGTGTGTGCTCTTCTTACCAACAACATCGACTCTTTCGTCGACAATGGAGATCCACGGTACATCCGGACACTCTTGATGCTCATCTACAACAGCGTCATGGAGATCAGAGTGACTTTGCTCGCCATGCCCTCTGGGCAGAGTCAGCAACCATGGGACAACAGGGGCTTCACCGGAAACACCATTAAGCCGCACTCGAGTGATAACTCGAACGCTGTAACCCCAACTGCCGACCGCATGGGGCCGCCGCCGCAACGCACGCGGGGTCCCCAGTATCTTCACAACCCTAGCAACCTCAGAGTTGCCACTGACGTGCCCATATCATACGTCAACGGCAACGGCAATGGAGGCAACCGCACCGCAACTCTAACGTCGGCGACCCCTCGATCTGGGGAGTCATTTTCGTCCAATGTATCGAGCAACCGTGGCATATCTGATTTTACGGATGACGACCGGTACTTTGAGAAGATTTTCTTAATCCTTCGAAGGTCCTCTGATCTCGTCATGCGCACCCTACCCATGTTCCAGAGCCAACTCGCCAATGGTGCGCGGATAGCAGCAGGGCAGCGTGCTTTGGAGGATGAGATTCGACGCTGGAAAGGGCTGATTCAAGAATGTGGCCGGACCATACAACAAGCCGAACTGCTCAAGAACCGCCTTTCATTGATAAAGCTGAAGGAGCCCGGAGTCATGGGACAGTCTTCCTTCCGGAGCTTGATCAAGAGCTTCGTCAATGCTTGGGCAGAGTTTGCGACCGAGGTCAAATATGCCAGCCCGGTAGTTCCCCTGCCTGGCGATACAAGAACGAGACTGCGCCCGATTCACCAGGCGATGAAGGAAACGTCAGACACCATCTTGTCATCGCCATGGGGGTCGATGCTCTCCCACACTGGCGGCACGCATTCTTCCAGCTCCAGCACCATCTTCAGCCCCGGCAGCCATCAGCTTAATAACCCTCCATACCAGATGCCCATGACGCCGCAGAGCGCAGCTCTTGGCCCGGCTGTCCAGGCCACGGTGCCGTCGACGCCACAGAGCGCGTCATTCGCCGCAGCGTTCAACGGCAACGTCTTCGAACGCGCAGACGCCCTCATATCCATGGGTGGCATCTCCATGTCTCGAAACAATACCCTTCTTTCCAACCACGGAAATCACAGCTTCTCATCCATGACATCCCTCGCATCGGACGGCTACATGACGCCCTCCTCCGCCATCAGCCCCGGCGGCTTCGGTCCCGGGCCCTACCACTCCCACTCCCGCCTCAACGGCAGCAAGGTCGCCTTCTAGAAGAGGTTTGCTCGCCGCCGTACAAATAAAACCTAGCAAGTCCCCTCTTACCTCTTGCTTCCGTCACATATACACATACAACTCCCCCCAAGGATCGACGCCCCTCCTACATTCGTCTTCGATGACGTCCCAGCCTTCGTTCGAGGGGCATCGCTTCTTGTCTTTTGTTTTTTATTTCTCTGCTCTTCTCGCATAGCATTGGCGCCGGCAGGTTTCTTTGATACACAGGGAAGATAAGAAGAGCAGGTACACTCGTTTTCATCATAGTTTGTGTACTCCCAATTTTCCTCTTCTTGGCCAGGGCCGAGGGGAGGCTGGGCCACCACGATACACAGGAGGCACGGCACCGCAGGAACTGGACATGGGTGCCGTACCTGGATTTTTTGTTCTCTTGGCGCAAGGGCAAGGAGGATACGCCGGGCTTTGTGAATACAGGCACACAGACATGACGATTGAGCGTGAGCGGCGGTCGCTAGCGTGGGCCTCGCGATGTTCGTCGTCGGATTGTGCTGTCGGCACCTTGATGTTAAATGTATAATAGAAGCTCCTGGGAGCTGGCTGTAATGTTGATCATCAATTGCCCAATCACGGGTTCAACGCCAAGGCATGTCGCTCTTAATCACTCATGTACCCAAGTGTTGGTGCGAAGAATGCATTTAATGACGATATCAGAAAGCGATACTGATAGGTCTGTAGGTTTAGGCTGTCTATAGAGTCGTCTCGTATTCCTCGGCAAACTCCCACGACTCTCAGGCGTCGAAATGCAACTTCATATTCACGGGAGACGGCGAAAACTCTCTCCAGAAGACGTCCATGTATCGATCCAACCCTGCCGCATCTCCGTCATCAACGGTCTTGATCTCGCCCTGTGGGCCAGGTGCCTTTCGTACATTTTTGAGACGTGCCACGGCGCGAAACATGCTGACGAGTACGAACCGACTGAGAGGACTGGCGAGAGCCTGGTTGGGGCCGTAGCCGACAAAGTGGTAGCTGTCAAGGGGTCGGGTGACCAATATATCGTTCGGTCGGGGATACACTTCGGCATTGAATGCGAGATCAGACTACATCTCCAAGTCAGCTTCAGTAGAGTGAACGGAATCGGATGAGCTCAAGTCACAGCCTACATATCTGATCACGAGCTTATCCCCGACTTTTAACGGTTGGGAGTGGCCTTGGACATCACTGTCTCGATTCACCGTCTTGAAGACGCTATAGTTACCGTTCAGCCCTACACCGCAGGGTTAGGTGACCTCGCTCATCGATGGACAGATGGAACAACTTACGGATGGCCTCCAGCGCATAATGCAGCAGCATGTCATCATGTTCATGGTCATCTGAAGCTGCTAGCTTCTGTAGAAGAGGCCAGTATTCAATCCCTGGTCCCAGATAGTAATCAACAACCTGGCATAGCATGCGAGATTGGTTGACGACGAATGCAGCCAGCGCAGGGATGATATCGACCCAGGCAACTTGACAAACGCTGACGCCTGCAACGAGCAACTTGCGAATGAACTCATAGCCAAGCTTCTTCAATTTCTTTTCAGGGCCCTGACTTTCTGACTGGTGATCCTCGTTATCATGTAGCAGCATCAAAGCCGGGACATTACTTATTTCAGTTTCGAGGCTGTCACCAACCGAAGCGGCAATAGGCTGGGCTCCGATACGGATGTTGTATAACAGGACCGGGTCCAGTCGCAAGAACAAGACGGCAAATATCGACTGATTCAGAGCATCAACATTAGTGACACCTAAAGCAAACGAGGTGGACTTACCACGAGTGTGGAGTGAAGATTCCGGGGGGTGTGCGCTCCGTCAACGTCTTCATGTGACTTCAGAGGCAATGGCAGCAAATGGCCGACGAAGTTGATCGGTACTATTCCGAGAATCAGCGGTTGTATGAATATCATCAGATAACATGAACCTACTGGCATCGGCAAAACAGGCAACCAGGTCGATTTGCAGTGTCTGGGGAAGCCCTCCGATTTCCTCTGCCTCTAGGTAGATGCATCTTGATGATTGACTGAACAAATTTCTGAATTCTTTCTCCAGGCTGGGACAGAAGATAGTCTTCTCCAGGCGAGCTCGCCTTTGCTCGAAATCTATCGCATCGCCATACGGGCCCATTTGGTGATTAGGCTTCCCCATCAAGTACGTCAGCTGATGTCTCCAGCTATCGCCTCCAAAGGCGTCACTCCGGAGAATCTCCTTGACGGCAAGAGGATTAGAGACGTGAATCTGGGGACTCAAAGTCCTCGAACGATCGAAGGAGTACCGAGACTCTCGCTGTAGGCGCTCCACGATCATGCGGTTAGTCGTCGGCATGACCAACGGTAGGTGAGCGTATATACTGCTAGGGGAAAAGGCAGTTGGCAACGCTCGCAATACCAGCTTGTAGAACACACAACCGTCATCGACCAGTACATCAGATGCAGCCTCATGGTATCTGTTCATGTTCTAGTTATCTTTTACTCTGATTGAAGCAGACGGAAAAGGCACTCACCCCTAGTTTGTGAGGTTGCCCGTATGGTAATCGATAGTATAGAATCGGTCCCCGCGAACTAAGCTTACTGCATCGGAGAGTATGGCTCGACTCAGCGTGTAGGGGGCGCACAACCCGCTACCGGGTATCATCAATGGCTTGGCATCTTCGCTGAGAAGACCGGGATAGAGTTCAACCATGTCCGGTTGCCCGTAAAGAGCCTGGAGGCGCTGTGCTACTGCGGGGTCTGAGGTAATGTGCTCAAAGCATGCATAAGGAAGCAAGCCAAAATACCTAAGACACTGAAGTGTCAGGCCTATCCCTGTGCCAAGAGTTGGATACATACTTGCGAAAATCATTGAGAGTAGCTACACGCAAGGCGCGAGCGTGGTTTATGCCAATAACTTCAATCATACGAAGTGCTCGGGGGATATTATTTGGGCCGAATGCGCCTACCATTTGTCAGACGTCAGACGAAGAAAGGGCAATGTCTCAAAATTGCCTACCGGCAGCATCCTCGATGCTCTCGACCCAAATGCGAGCAAGATCGCTGTCAGAGTAACGTCCATCCGGTCCTCTTGTCAAGCCACCAAAAGTACGCCGTTCGGGCTCACTGGGAACAGACTGCTCAAAGGTTGCAAAGATATGGGGGTCTGGAGCCCCCATTCTATCTTCAGGGCCTCGAAGCAATGACTCAAGATGCGCATCCATCCACTGGTAGGGAATTAGCTGGGTCGAAGTAGTGGAGGTCTCGAAGACTGTCCAGTACCTTCTCGTCTCTCTGGCTGATTGCCGAATGCCACCTATAGAGCCTTTGTCGACTGTCAGAAAATGTTCTGCTCGGATGTATATCTTGTGTCTCACAGGTTGAACTCGAAGCTGCATTGATTGCCGCCCCCCCGAGGGATCTTTTCCGTGTCTGTATCCATTCGAGGGTCTAAACTCCTGGAAGACATGTTGGTATTTGAGCTGACGCACAGTTTGGTAGAGAACTTACCAGGTCGAAGCCGTCTGGTTGAGGCCAAGAATGACACGGAGATAGTCGTGGAGAATAATGTTGACGTACAGGCCGCATACAATCAATCTTCCTGTTTGGAACAAGTCGTTGTCAAGGTTCTCAAGGGCTCGTTTCCTCATGTCCGAATCTTGGGTTCTGCTAGGCTGCGAAAACCTGTTGCGTTCATTGATCATTGCCAGTCTTTCCACAACCCAATTGTGATAGCGATTGAAGAACTATTCGGTCAGTAGGTGTACAGGGCTCAGAGGGCACTCGGCCTGTCACTGACAACTAGGAGACAGTTGACCCCGGGTGGAAAGCCATGGGTGCGCTTCTCACAAAAGGAGTCAGGCTTCAGCTTGCCATTCTTGAATGTCCTTATAGTGTTCTGTTCGTCTTGATTGGCACCATACAGCGGGGCGAGGTCAAGGTAAGACGATGTGAGGGAGACGCCGGGGTCGTCGCGCGATGTTCTGAAGATGTCGTGTATGATGATAGTGGCTAGGTAAAAGAAAACACTAGATATGCCGTTCGGGTGAGGCTTGAAACCACCATTCTCGCGCGACAGTAGAGTGTCAAATATGAGCTGGGGCGCGGGCAAGGCTGATGGTTGCCATGCTGTTGGCTGGACGGACCTTGAGTATGGTGATCCCGCCTTGCCGAGAGATGGATTATAGAGGCTGTTGTAGGAACCGTCTGCCTGTCGGTATCGGTAAGGGTCTCCGAAAAAAGACTGTGGAGGGTGATCGAGGGTGTTCTACAGCTCAGCGATTATCGGCCCTGTGAGCCCTTGTCGAGCCGCGCCGTTAGGAAGCGATGCTACGGTCCGCACGACATTCTCTAGATCCAATCTGCGGTCGTCTGTCAGTCCTTTTTGCTGCTGCTGCCCCGTCTGCCGAGCTTCTGGGGAATTGTCGGAGCCAAGAGCTTGAAGCTCGTCTGCTGGCTTGTCCGTCATGGTATCAACAGCAGATTGCGGATAGTCACCGATTTGCGCATGTCGCGGACGACGAAGCCTTCTGCATAATAGCGGCATATTGGATGGGGCTTGCTCCGACGGCCAAAAGCATGAGGAATAGATAGACCAAATTTATGGTAGTGAGGTAATGCTGGTGTTTCTTGTGATCAGACAGACAGTTGTGGCTTCACGGCGGTGCAGCATCTCCGCGCATGTAGGTACCTTAGATGGCCCTGGGCGGAAGGCGCCGACGAGACACTTGCCTCGCTGGAAAGAGGTACAGAATCACCGCTGGCTGTGAGGATGCCCTTGGTCGAGCTCGCCTCTGCACTTGACAATGGCCAGAGTCAGGAGCTGATGCTACGTGGGTAGGTGCCAAACATCCTGTCATTTAGCTGTCACATGCGGGGAGCTATGTAATCGGTCAGCATGCACACCGAGACTCCGCACGCGGGGTTCAAGCTGCACCTGCTGTCGCTTCTCATGTTCGTCCACCTCACTGCCTCTGATAAGGTGCCCTTCGCGACCGTAGAACCCCGAATCTGACAGATTCCAAGGTAAAGCCAACCCGCAGCAGCATGTCGTCGTCCGGACCATCATCAGCTTCCGGCAGCTTTCCGCCACCCCAAGCCGCCGCTCCTTCGACAACAACGACTAGCCTCTCCTCCCCGCGCCAGCCCAGCCTCGCGAGCCCCCGCATCGCCCCTTCGACAACAACCTCACTCTCCTCACCAGGCCTCATCAACATCCCGCCGCCCCTCCCCGCCCTGTCCACGACGTCTACATCGGCCTCCGTTCTCCACCAGACCCTTCCCTCCCCCGACCAGCAGCGCCATGTCGCCGAGGCCCGCGCCGCCGTCGTTGCCTCCATCGGCAATATCCTTGACTCGGAGCTACAGTCGCGCGCCACCATGCTGCACGCCAACGCCGCCGCCATCAGTCGCCAGGAGCGCGATGTTGTGCGAGCCACCGACGGGCTGCGGCGGGAGAACGACAAGCTTGCCAAGTGGTCGGGCGATGCGGCGCGGCGGGTCAAGGAGCTTGGCAATGTGCAGAATTGGGCCGAGGTGCTGGAGCGAGACTTTCTCGTGCTCGAGGAGACGATGAGACTTGTGAGAGAGGGGAGCAGCGGGAGTTGTGGGAGCTGGAGCGGCAGCGGCAGCCGGAGCGGTAGTTGGAGTGGGAGCGACGACGGAGGCGATGGGGGAGCGAAGGTGGACGGGGATGGGGACGTGAGGATGGCGGAAGACATGGAGCCGGGCGGCGCGAGGCTGGCGCCCGAGTCGCCTGGCAAAGGCAAGGGGAAGGGAGTTGATAATGTTCACGCCAACACGCTCCAGAATGCCGCCGAAAACGACCCCAGCGGCGAGGCGCAAGGGCAAGCTCAGGGGACAACAGCCACATCGCTGCCTATCACGACCTGACACGATTACGATATGGATGACCGTCATGAAATAGGAAGTACGATACGCACTGAACGAATGACGAGAAATGAACACATTTCAACGTTTCCTTGTCCTTTTATTTGAAGTATGGCACAGCCTGTTTCCTATCAAAAGTGTCTTAACAGACTCGAAGCAAACGCTGGGGCAAGCTGACAGGCTGTGCAGTGTTCCCATACTTTTTTAGTAGATGCCGGGCAGCAGCACAAACTTCTTTCTCTTGTATGTCTCAGGGAATTCCTTGCGGTACGCCCTCTCCTTGCCCTTGGCCCAAGCCGACATTTGCGCGGCACCGATCGCGATGAACAGCGCGGCGCTTGCACTGCGGCAAGCAATGATGACGCCGATCCACGCGGTGATCTCGAACATGTAGTTGGGGCAGGTGACCAGCGAGAAGCCGTAGCCGCGAGGGATCTTCCTCTCGGTACCGCCCCGCGTGCGCAGGCCGGCGAGGTTCTGGTGGACGATGGCGTTGGAGATTTCGCCGAAGACGTAGATCAGGGCGCCGATTGCGTCGATGAGCGGGTTGTTGGCTTTGGCGGCCGGAGACCAGGGCGCATAGATCTCCCAAGCGCAGAGAGCGCCGGAGAAGACCCAGTAGAAGAAGGAGTTTTTGAAGATGTTGCGCGCCGGCATGGTCGACGCAGAGAACTTGTGGACGAAAAGCGTCTCCCATTCACGCTTGAGGAAGTGGCCCATGAACATGGCGAAGCCAAGCCACTGCGTCTGCGTCAGGGGCTTCGACGCCGCGTCGCGGTAGAGGTACGGGCGAAGGGCAACGACGGCGGCATGGAAAAGAAGGGGGCCGAAGTACTCCACGACGAAGACGGTCTGCCACGCGATCTGCATGCCCAAATTCTTGACAATGAGGCTACCGGACGAGACGACATTCTCCTCCGAGCCAATCTGGGCCTTGCGGTCCTTCAATGTCTTCTTGGTGACAGGGTCGACAAGACCAATCTGGTTGTGGTCCTTGATGCCCACCTGGCGGGCAATAAGGACCTTCACATCTTCGACGAGGGTGTCGGCGGGGAGCTCGAGTGTGGGGGGGAGTTTCTTGATCGCCTGCTTTGGTGCTAACACTGTTGTGAGCAGAGTCTTCAAGATGCAAGGAAGCGCTTGTTCACTCACATCGAGACACCAGCTTGAGGGTAATTTTGGTGACCATATTGTCTTGGCCTACTGTGGTGTTGCTTTGACAAGAAATTTGTTGCTGTTCTAGGTAGGTACCTGCAGATGGGGGAAATTTGGGGGCACTTTCACATTCAGCGAACTGCCTGCCCCCTGGAATGGAGCTTTTCGTTGAGCCTCGGTGCTCGGATAGAGGAAAGTAGCTCATAAATGAATATCTATCCGCAAGAATGAATGCATCCGACCCATGATGCGAATATCATGCACGTCTCTTTTTCACACGTTCCTCGTTATCCTGACTACATAACACCTCATGTGTGCGTTCACTTGCGATCGAGTGATTCCATCAATCCTTGGTGCGACTACATGATGCCAAATGGGCAGTCGTCGAGCGAACGTCTATCTTGCCCTAGGCTTCTGAAATTCAAAAGACCTTTGAGCCCTTGAGACCTTGACCTATCTTGTTTCTCTGATAGATTGCTGGCTATCCATATGTCTTTGACACTTGATTATAATATGTTCACATTCCTTTCTGATGGCAACCTGAAGGAATGGCCAAATTCTTCTCTTCCGGAAAGATCATGCATAGCAGTAGATGTGGCGATAAGCCAATGATTAACAGCAGTTGCAAGGCTTTGAAGTGCTGCAGCTGAATTGACCAATAAAGCTTCTTTCCAGGTTCATCCAACCCTTGAAGACATGAGATATCGTGCGTGCAGTACCTGGCATCTAACACATGTGACTGATCATTTTGCGACCACTTGAAACCTCATTCAAGGTCCAAGGGCGCCAATGGAACATTGCCATCAAGAGCAGGCAACTTCAATCTAAAAGAGCGGATATGCGGGCAGTCAAGGATTATTCCAGACTGAATCAGCCACCAAGTTCAAACAGTGAGGTTGTATCGAGCTGCATTCTGGAGTTCAGATTGTATTACCTCTCAGCAGCTGGATGATAGAAGACATTGTTACGTAGCTGCACTCAATTGAACACGAAGGTTTCAGTACGTTGGTAAAACAATCATTGTACGTGACATTTACAGGTCTTGGGTTGCATGGTGTTCAAGATACTGTACTATACCGGCTTGATTGAATGCACTAAGCAACGAGAGTAGCTGGTAACCTGAGAAGATATATAGAGTTTTTGAACATTATCAGGATGATTGATTGATTGCCGTCATGTTCAAGCTGTGGACCAGAACTCCATCATCAATCTTGAAGGTAGATTAACAAAGAGCGGTTTAAGATCTGGTAGCGGGATCTTTGAGACACAGAGACAGCTATAGAGCACACTGGCACAGTCACTATGATCCAAGTGTACAGGGTTCGATCCCTTGGTATACAACACCTGAAAATCAACATCCCTATGAGAGACATTAATCTACTTCCTGTGACTTTTTGGTGGTACGAACCAAGAGCAGAAACCGAAGGCAATACTAATGATTGCAAGCAAAGCTGCGGCAGAGGTCACAAATGTACTCATGAATCATGTCACAACTCACTATCCATTCTCAGATCCTGCAGCAGAATGAAGAAGTCAAAGATAGACAAAGACGACAAAAGCATTCTGCAGCGTGCAGCGCACGGTGCAATTGGAGGGCTGCCTGCCTGGCCTTGTATCGCCTCCTAGGTATTCTGACTAGCACATTGCACAGAGAAACAACAGTAAGCCAGAGCCCTCCAAATTTCTGGGGTCCTCTTCTGTTTGCTTTTACTCAAAGAATATTCCGGACAGCCTTCACACTTTCAAAGATATCAAATCACTAGGTGCCCGCTTATTTCATCAGAGTAAAGCGCGAACTCAAAGGTCAAGAGAGATACCGACACGCCTGGAACTGTCTCTAGAGGGTATCCCAAGGACCTACTTTGGAGAGTGCACATGGTCATCAGAAGAACTTTTCTCAGTATGCATTGTCTTCGCGGCTTCACACGCTGAATGCTCATGACGCCTGCCTGCGTACCTACCTCAGGTAATTCGATACCATGAGGTGCCCTGACGATCAGGCAGTCGGTCTACTAAATAGTGGTGAACAGGCGCAGCTACCATTCACTAGGCACTTCTGTACCTTTCAGCAACGCACAGATTTGGTTTTGGGCGCACCTTAAGTGGTGGGATCTTTGGAAACAACACGTCTATTCATCATCAGCACCGCCTGCATCTGAGTTGCACTTCATGTTCTAGCAATCATCCACGATTGTGTTGCTGTCCTAAAATCAGCTTGAACCAATCGTCAGTCACCAGGTGCGAATCCTTGCTCTGTTCACCGCAGGCATCGACAAGAAAGCGTACGATTATGAAAGACCACAAACAACCGGGGCAACACGAGCCCACCCCCAGGGAAAGAAAAACAGCCAGCAGTCCTTCCAGAAAGCGAGGACCAAGAGGATTCGTCAGCCCGATACACCAGAGGAGAAAGAGAATTAGGATCGCTCTTGCCCAAACTCATGCAACCTTCAAAATTTCCAATATAGCCAGGAGCGCCCTTAATCCGAAATCAGCCCTATTCATCCCTGGCAGGCGACACCACGGCTACCGCGAGCATGCGAGGATTCCCGCCCCAGAAAGGCGAAAGAGTAACGGCCTCCGAAAACCCCCTTACAACAGCAAGAGAGCTCCTGCGAGCGAGCAGCGACTGCCGGGGTTGGAACTGTCATGGTGGCCAACTCCTGAACAGGCGGTCAAGCCTGTGCCGCCGGACCTACACATCACCATGGCAGCAAGAGCTGCGGCTGCGACGGCAGCTGCTGCAGCTGCGAGCGCTCTCTGTGCTAGGAAGAAACCGAGCGGACATGCTGTCCAACACCCTGCGAGGCCAACAACACCTGGCATCATATGTATCCCGCTTGTCAAACCTGGACCGATTCGAGAAAGTGCCAGTCGCTTGATGCGAAAGGATGCTTCATCACAGGTAAAGACATTACAGAGTCGTGCACAAGAAAGCAAAGGAATAGCTATCAACAGCACCGAAATTGCTCGTATACCGACCTCCCAGCAATCTGAGCCTCCAGCGGACGCCCCGAAGGGACCTGCTGCTTGGCGGGACGCGCAAGTGACGGCGAATCACTTAGTCCAACAGACTCCCAATATTATCTTTCCCATACCTCGGAGCACCATATCCCAGCAGCAGGATCTCTTTAGTCCAGCGCAAAGCGGCAGTGCAGCTTCGCCAGTGGGAGCGTCGATAAAGCCGACGGGTGCCTGGTCACAGTCGAAAGCCTGGGTCAGTGAACGAAGCCGACAGCAAGCCGCCTTCAAGAAAGTGCAGGCTAATTTGGGCCGCATCAACGCTGCCGACTCGCCAGCTGTACCCAGAACGTTAGCAGAGTTTCTTGAGCTTAAGAAGTGGAAAGCGAAACGCGATCAGAGGTGTCTTCTGCGGAAGATCAGCTTGCTCGAGATGAACCAAGGCTTAGAGAACATCACACCCGATGCGGGCATATCCCTGATCACTCCGAACAGTACAGACAAAACAGACGAAGGGGGCAAGGCAGCGGGCTACCCATCCAACGATACGACTCGGGTCCCCAAAGCTGATGATGTCGCCGAAAATGAGCGTGAGAATCTGGAACAGAAGGACGACAAGGGTACACTCGGTGCCTCTGGTACCAGCAGTGAAAGAATCACCACTGAAAATCCGAAACCTCCTGATATCGACAAAATTGTGTTGCGAAGGCTGCTGGATGGGAAAACCTTTGAGGACAACAAGTCACCCGTCTTCGCGTCTGATACATGCTGGAATGTCTCGTACAACGACAGTTCTGGATCCCCCGTACAGCGTCGTGTTGACTGGCCATCGAAGGCAGATTTGCAAGAATATGGTGATATGCGCTCGGCGGCGGGGATGCGCCGTACGCTTCCACCCCCTTGCGAGAATAGGCTCACGCCGAGACTTGCCAATATTGTCCACAACGAAAGCCGTTCGCTGCATGCCCGCTTGACGAACATTCGACTCGATCGACTTAGCATAGGGCCCTGCGACCACAACCCAGTGTCACCATGGGATGGGGTGGACATGGCTCGACAGCCTCGCACAACGACTTCGGCTAGGGAACAGGGTGAAAGAATGGCTCAGCCTTTGGAATCTTCGGGTTGGGTTTCTACTCTGGTTAACACATGGAGCACATCGGAAGCACAGAAGACAGGGCATTGATGAATGCTTGAGTTCTTCTTGAACTTATTAGCAGCTGACCGCCGTAAACCGGGTTGGTGTTTGTCAGAAAGGGCTATGAGTAGCAAAATTTGGACTACGACGGGGTCTACCGATGATTGAAGTGAAGCAGTGGGGGGGGGGGGCGGCTTTGCAGCGTATGAGGTTGGGTAGAGGAGAGATGCCAGCCAACCAATGGGACACTGGGTCGATGTCAGGATTTGGTTGAAGGCCTTGGATGAGGTGGATTGAAATGGTTGGATGCATTATGGCGGAGCATAAGTGCTCGCAGCAGTCAATGGAGGCTGCAAACAACGGATTATTCAAACGACAGCGCTCATTAGAATCAGTATTCAACTTTTGATTCACCCACTGGAAGAATAAACACACTGATGGGGCATATTCACGAGCTGGATTGTCCTGACATGAAATCTACTCCACTAATGGCAGAGAAGACCCTGTTCCCGTGGCTTGAGCGACCGTAGGAAAGGTGGCTGAAAATTGGTCGTGCTCTGTCACTTGGTTAGTCAGCCACGATGAAATGTTGTGTCACGTGAATTGTCACAACTCAGCTCGAGGCTCCATATGCCCTACTTGGCTCGTGCACGGTAGTGGGGTTAGCGACTGGCGCTGCCAGACTCCACGCACAATTCAAGACGAAATTTCCCTTCTCGCGACTCCGACTCCCAGTTCATCCCGGAAAAAGTTCGACAACCACGCCCAACGACCAACACCCATTCTCGATTGCCGACTGATCATCAGGTTAGTAGACGGATACAAAGACGACGGCGAGGACGAATTGCGAACCCTGACGGATATCCGCGATGCTTCACGCCGGCGAGATGCATCTGCCACGATTTCCCCGGTGTCGATTTCACCTCTGGTCGTTCCCCTGCAGCCTCTGCCCACTGCCCACTGCCCACTGCCCACAGCTCCCGCCTCCTTGTTGCCCATCAACCTTCATACATCTTTTGAGACGACAGACGGCTAACGTGTTACTCTTCTCTACTCTCCAGAATCTGCAATCATGGGTATCTCTCGCGACTCCCGTCACAAGCGCTCCGCTACCGGTGCCAAGCGCGCATACTACAGTGCGTAATAATTCCGAAAGCCCGTATGATTTTGTGGGCACTTTATTGTGCTGTTAAAAACCATACGTTCTGACCTTTTCATCGCCAACAGGGAAGAAGCGCGCTTTCGAGGCCGGTCGCCAGGAGGCCAACACCCGTATCGGTGCCAAGCGCATCCACACCGTCCGCACCCGCGGCGGCAACCACAAGTACCGCGCCCTGCGTCTTGACTCTGGCAACTTCGCCTGGGCCTCCGAGGGCACCACCCGCAAGACCCGTGTCATCGGTGTCGCCTACCACCCCTCCAACAACGAGCTCGTCCGCACCAACACCCTGACCAAGTCGGCCGTCATCCAGATCGACGCCGCCCCCTTCCGTCAGTGGTACGAGGCCCACTACGGCCAGGCCCTCGGCCGCAGGCGCCAGCAGAAGCAGGCCGCCGCCGCCGGCAAGCCCGTCGAGGAGGAGGTCAAGAAGTCCAAGGCCGTCGAGAAGAAGCAGGCCGCCCGCTTCGCCGCTCAGGGCAAGGTCGACCCGGCCCTCGAGAAGCAGTTCGAGGCCGGTCGCCTGTACGCCGTCATCGCCTCGCGCCCCGGCCAGTCCGGCCGCTGCGATGGCTACATCCTCGAGGGTGAGGAGCTCGCCTTCTACCAGCGCAAGCTCCACAAGTAGAGGGTTTCGCCCCCCCCCCCCCTCCATCGCCCCGACAACCGCTGTGATGCATGGTATGAGTACGAGGGAACGAGTTGGGTTACGTCACCTTGTCGAGCCGTGAGGCCCGGCATAGGACGGCAATGGGAAAAGTCCGGACTTTTGTGGGCTTTGGTGTTCGAGGGTTTTCACATCGTTCCGTCTGGCACCAATTCTTTTTCGCAGGGACGCCAAACAAAAAAACGGCATCTTGCGGGCCCGCCGGCGTCTGCGTTTACCTGCCCGACTAACGGGCATTCGGAGTGGCTTGGGTTAGGAACACTGAGGCCAATTCCAAAAAGTAAAGCAATGACCAGAACCCTACCTTCCCCGTGTATCTGTCTGTGACCCCTTCTATGTTGTAGCTTGCGAACAACGGTTTCTCGGACACTATTCAGATTCAGCCTATGATGATGATGTGTTTCAGAGTATGATGTCCTGTTTTTTTTTGGTCTATCATGATGATCATTACGCCAACTCTCATGATAAAGGAAAAGTAATGCTACAGTCGTCCACAGCGCACAAACGTGCTGGCTGATTTCCAAACCACGCCGACATGTGTAACCCAACTGCCCAGTTCAGGTCACAAGACCAACGATAAGCCCCAAGGGTAAAAAAACGCTGTGGCAAGAAGAAGAAGAATGGTGCGTCTTGGCCCAGCAAACCGCACATGACCAGGATGAGTCGATCCCAAGAGGCTCAACTATGTAATTGTACAACATGCCGTCCATGCTAGACTACCTAGGTAGGGGAGCTTGTAGACACGAAATCAGACAACGGAGTATCTCCGTCCATGATCACGCGAATTGGCGCTTGAGATCCGTCCACTTGCGAGCGAGCGTCTCGTGGGATGCGTTGATCTGGGTTTGGGAATTAGTACAAGTGGTCGCCACAAGCGTGCATAGTGGCGGAGAAGGGGGTAAAGAACATACCTCGGCGTACTGCATCTTGGTCTGCACCAACTCCTCCTCCAGCTCTGACATTTCCTTCTCCAGTCTTTGGTTCTCCTCGTGCACCTTGGCGTTTCGCTTCATGAGATCATCGCGCTCCGCCTGCCATGCTGTCTCGAGCTCCTCGGGCTGCCTCTCAATGACGTTTCGCAGCTCGCGGACTTGGCCCTTGTATGTCTCGTTCTCATCCTTGAGCTCCTCGTTCTCGACCTTGGTGTGCACGAGCTCGGTTGCCAGGGCGGCCTGCTCGCGGTCGTACGCCTCGACTCGCTCCTCGAGCTTGCGCAGGCTAATGGCATACTTGGCATTCGCGGCGCGCAGCGTTTCGAGCTCAGCCTCCCGCTCCTTTTCGGCCTTGGTCTTCTCCTCCCACTCAAGTGTATACGCCTTGAGCGTCTCGGGCGTGATCTTGACCTCGCACGCGTCACGGACAAGCTGATCGGCGCGGTAGACTTCCTTGTCGATGCTGGAACTCGAGCTCCCGAAGAATCCGTTATCGAGGATGCTACCGGCGCTGGGGTCCTTGTCGATGTAGACGTCAAAGACCTTGTCCTTAAGGTGGGTTGTGAGTTGCGACATGTCAGACATGGCGAGAAGTGTCGAGGCGTTCTTCTGCATGAGGACGATGCCAAAGCGGAGAATAGCTGACAAGCCTTCGGAGAGGATGAGGTCATAGATCCGCAGGACGAGTTGGAGGGGAAAGCGGTATGCGAAGAGCGTGAGGAACCACTGTGTGGCATATAGGTGTGAGCTGATGCCTTTGCGATGCAAGTGGCAGTAGAGCGCGGGCTCAAAGTCTTCGAGTAACCGCTCAAACTGGTACAGTCGCATGTGCAGACCTGGCATGTCCTGAATGAACAGGTCGCGCAGGTGGTAGTGGTTCATCAGCCGCACCAAGAGACAAAACGCCTCCTCCTCAGGCATGTTGAACAACAGGGGCATGACCAGGAAGTTCATGCCCTGCGCGTAGCCAACACCCTCGTCGAACAAAGCATACGCCTTGCAGACGCCGAAGAGACCCTCCTGGAGCCCGGCAGAGGCAGCATGCTTGGAGTAACTCGTCCTCGCGCCCAGGTCGCGGCGGATCGTCTTCTCCAACTTCTGAAGCATAACGGCATCCTCCTTGCTGCGCTTCTTCTTCTCAGCTACGGCAGCCTGCGCCTTCTGTACGACCTCTGCGCTCTTCTCGAGAGCAGGAGATCCGACAGGGTTGCTTCCTGACTGGTCCGAGTGAACCGAAGACGCTGACGAATTGACGGCATCGTTCTGAATACTCAGATTTCCGTTGCTCGCGGAACTGATCGACGTGCCGTTGCTGTTGCGGTCCTGGTCCTTTTCAGTGCCCCTGGCCTTGAGACTCCGGTACATGGCCTCAAGCTCGACGTTGTTGCTCTGGGCGAGAACCTGCCAGATGACGCCACGGATGGCGCTGGGGATGCCCGTAGCAATCGCCCTGTTCAGCTCATCGGCGCTCGTGCGGGCGACCACCGCTGGCCCCTCGTAGACGACAGACTGCCACAGATCCCAGTCGACCTGCGCGTCAGACATGTCCGAGGGACCAGCATTGACGCCCGATGCGGTACCAGGTGCCAGTGCCGGGTTCGGGCTCGTCGGCATGGGCGACTTGGGCGGCTGGTCGGGAATGGCTTCGCCAGCCTCTCCATCGTGCCCAGGCACCGAGATGCCGAGCGCGTTGCCCTTGGAAATGCTCGCAGCGGCGCCTGCGGCCTTTTCGTCATCGCCCGCAACGGCTGATGGCGAGATGCCTGCCTCCTCTCGCATGCGAAGCAGCTTGAAGCGGTCCTTGAGACTATTCCTGCCGCTCTCGGCATCGTGCCCCTCTCTCTCCTCGTCGAGTCTGCTGAGCATCATCTCGGGGTTGCTAGCCATAGTTGCGATAGAGCTGGCCGTGTTCCTTCGGGGCGAAGTAGCGGGTGGCGACTGCTTGGTGGTATCCTTTTCCTTTGACGTGCTGTTTCGGGAGAGCCACGAGAATGGGCTCGTCAGTTTGCGAGTTGGCGGTCCTGGATGTGGCGGCAGCTGTTGGAGGGAAGCGGCAGGCGGGGCGAGAGGTGATTTGGAGGGTGATTGATCGGCAGGAGGCGACCAGGGCATGGAAGGGAGGGAGCTGGTGATGTTGCTCAGCGATATCGATCTGGGGGCGGTCTCCTTTTTCGGACTATCTTTGGGGACTGCAAGATATACACTCGGGTTAACCCAATCCGTTCGAGAGGTACACTTTGCAATGGTGAGGTAACTGACCTGGTCGTGGTGGAGGAGGAGAGGAAGTGACAGCGTCGTCCTCGAGGCTGATGTTGTCGAGGTTCGACGTGTTCGAAAGACGGTGGGACTTGGGAGACTTTGGGGATTTGGGTGAGGAAGCCACAGATTCGACCTTATCGGGCACGTCAATTTCCACGTCAACCTTGGTCTTGTTCGTAGACTCCTTTTTCTCGTCGTCGCTGTCGAGGGGCGGGCTTGGAGGCCGAGCAGCTTGTGCTATTTCGTCCGTCTTCGGGGCGTTCTTGTCGGGTGTGGATTCTGTAGATTCGGATGCAGTCTCGTGCTTCGGGGACGAGAGTGTTCTCTTTGTGAGAGAGCGAACCTCGGGCGTATCAATGGTGCTGTCGACGGCGTCCTCGAAGGTATCCTGTGTAGCGTAGAGGTCAAGGTCAGCAGCTGGGCCAAGCAGCATGTGGCTATTGGCCTAATGGCGGGGTGGAGAGAGGGACGCAGGTGCATGCAACTAGGCTTGTAGGTGTCCTTACGTTCTCCTTGTCAGAGTGACCAGGCGTTGAAGGTCTCCTCTCCATGGCCGCGGGCGGCGAAGCTGGCCTTTCCGTGTGTGACATGATGATGCTGGTGTTTCTGCGGCTCAAAGGCCGGCTGGCGCTGCTTTGTGACTATGAAGAGCGACCAGCAGCAGGGCAGCGAGGGCAGAAGAGGTTCAAAGTGCGAAGTTGCAGTGCTGCAGGTGGGATGCCGGAGTGCCTATTCGAGGACCGTGGAGCACGACCGCTGGTTGGTGGTTGGAAGAAGATCGCTGGGTCAAGTGTCCCTCCCCTGTGCCGTGTCTTAACTTTGAGCGAGGGTCCTGGGGCTGCCGTGGCCGATGATGAGGATCAGAGTGCTGTAACTGACAAACGTCTGCTTGCTTGCTTGCTTTGCTGGTTTCGAGGACCAGGATTTCGAGTGCTTCGACTGGAGAGGAGGTGGCGTAGAAGAGATAAAGGCAAGCTGTCGTGTGCATATCATCTCCCTTTTCCTGATGATGGAGCTCCGAATCCCGTTGAGTTTAGCTCGGTCAGGCCAGACCATGCTGCTGTGTTCCTGGGTTGGACACTGGAGGATGGACCCCCAGAGAGGGCTGGGCGAATGGCAACACGCTGGCACAGCGTTCAGTGCTGGGAGGGCTGGTGGCTCAAGACGGGGTCGTTGGGGAGGGGGGGCTTGGGGGGGTGCTTATGGAGGGGCCCTTCTATTCGTAGCGTGGCAGGGAACAAAGGGATAGTGGAGGGTACGCTAAATGGAATCCTGGCAGTTGGCGCATCACCTCGGGGAAAAGTGCATAAGCTGTCTGATTTCCTCGGCAGGTAACTGCCTCGCGATCTGATGCTACCTAGGTACCTACCTGGTACCGTAGGTACCCAGATATGCCATAACGATATTGATGGTCTATATTTCTGGCGGCTGAGATAGGTAACTAAGGCACCACCTGGTGCACCTCCTTTTGGTCGGCATCACCTCTTCGCCTCGACTCCAAACTGTACAGCAAAACAAAAAAAAAAAAAATCACTGACGCTCAATTTGTGTGCCCCCCCTGGGAGGCTGCCCCTTTTGCAAACTCATGTGGTGCGACAGGGCTGTCTCGTTTCATCTTCCAGATAATCTGCAGGCTAAAAAGCACCCTCCCCTGTTTAGTACCGCACTCCATCGAGCCTCACGCCCAATCATTCTGACGGCTCGCCAACAAGGCACTCCTGAACCAGACAAACCCCGATGGCGGTGCTAAATCGATCCGAGTTGTCCACGGTGTGACGGGGCGCGGCCGTAGCCTTTCTTTCCGACGAGGTCAGCTCTCGACGACGTGCCCGCCCATCGCTGTCACGCGAGGGATCAACTGGCACGATGGCTTTGCCAGGCTCAGGGACGGCCAACATTCCACCGGGGACGCCATCAGCCACTCATTCTTGACGCGCCTGGAAAGGCGGGATCGCACCTCTGTGGGCCGTGGGTGGGTGTACGTACTGTACACGTGTTGGAATAAGTTGGTCGTTTTGCATGAACAACAGCAGAGATTTGTTCATCCGAAGTCTTGGTCTGCGCTGAGCAGGGTCTGTCCATGCTGCCATGCCGCTCTACTGACTGAGTGACGGAACGTGCTTCGGCGTCGTCATCTCCTGCTGTGCAACGCAATGTCCAGACCACCAGACTAACCTCACATCAGACCTACAGTGTACAACATCTTCCAGTCCGATCGATTCGGCAGGGTACCTACCATCAAACATGAAAGACCCATGTCACTCATGGCATGTAACATCAGACTTCCAGATTGGAATATTATTGTCTTGTTGCTTTGTACCTGTGTCCATTTGGCATGCCAAACGCAAACCTTCCGGCCCCAGACCATCCATCAGAAAAGTTCAACTATCCGCCATCATTCCCAAGCGCAACCCCGACGCCATACTCAATCATCGAATCGAAACCAGGCCCACGTTCTCTTCGCTTCCAGGTTGCAGCCTTCATACCGCGTGGTGCCCCCCTTCCTCCCTTTGTACAGTGCCACCAGCGAGTAAACTAGACAGCATAGGACGACTCGTCGGCCCGGTTCGCTCTAGGCTCCGGCTCCGTGACCATAACTTCGTTGCCCTGCGCAAAGAACAGGCGGGCTGGTTGGTCGTAATCGTTCAAAATGTTGTAGTAGTTGCCTATGCGCAGCGTTAGTAGAGGGAACCTTGGAGGTGAGGCTTGTTCAGGGGATATGATTACGGACCTCGTGGCACGTTCCAGAATCCGCCAGCGCTGATCCTGAACTGCGTCTCGTTGACCGTCACTAGCACCTTGCCGTAGTGCACGAAAAACGTCATCTGGTTCTTCCGTGAATTCTTCGGCTTCTTCTCCGTGCCCGGCGGCAGGTCCACGACGCCGGCGCCGAAGAATTGCAGGCTGAGCAGCTTGGCAAACCGGAACGTCGCGTCGCGAATCTCGCGCGTCTGGATGGCGCTCGATGCGATGGCGAGCTCATTCTGCTCAAAGGCGACGGCTTCATCCGGCGCCGGCGGGTTGAGTTCGTAGTCGGGATCCCAGACGACAGTCTCGCCCTCGACGCGGCCATTCTCCAGCTCCCATGGTTCTGGATCTTCCTCGTCGTCGTCGACCTGACGCTTCGCCTTGGACGGTCTGCCCTTCTTGCCTGTGCGTCCGGGTTTGCGTTTCGGGGCGACCTCCTCCTCTTCCACACGTACCACCTCCTTGACGCTTGGGAGGACGAACCGTGAGTGTTGGCGCTTCGTGCCAAGCACATCATCCCACGCCTCCTCGTCTTGCACAACGTGCTCATTGCGCCAGTAAGCCAGAGGGCGGTATGACTGACGGCCAGATCGCGTCAGGTGGATTGCGTCGCTGGCTTCGCGCTTGAGGGATACGAGGCCACGAGCTTTAGGTAGCGGTGGCCCCTTTTGGACGCGTCCCATGATGGAATCCTCGCCAACGTCCGATTTGCGTGGTCTTCCGCGCTTCTTAGCTGCGCTGGGCGCTTCTGGTGCGTCAACTTTCGCGGATCTGGTCGCCTTTGGCGGAGCCGTCTTCCTCGCCGGTTCGGGCTCCTTGGCTTTGTTCTTGTTCTTTAAAGGTCGCCCGGCGGATCGGCCAGGTTTGGCTTCTGTACGCTGGCGTTTCGGCGACGGTGCGTCCGCTGGTTCGTGCTCCACGGCCGATTCGACGAGATCCGTGACATCGCCTATCAAAGAACCCCTCCCGGATCGTCGTCGTTTCGAGGTCTGTGATGAGCTGGGTTCGGTGTCCTTCTTCTGCTTCGCCTTGGTCTGCTTCGCTTTGGCCTGCACCGCCTTGGTCTGCGCTGCCTTGCCGCGTACGATCGGCTCATCATCTTCCGACTCATCTGTGGCACCCTCTATGGCAGGCAGTTCGATCGCTCTATGTTCTTCGCGTGCCTTGCCGTTCAATGGCGCAGTTGATTTGGCCTTGACAGGTTCTACTACCTTCGCTTTTGCGGCCGATCTGGGTGGACGACCTCGTCGTTTGGGCAGCGCTGGCGTGGGCGAGGGGCCTGGTGACTCGACTTCCTCTTGTGCCTCCTCTTCAGGCTCGTCTTCGTGCACGTCATCTCCTCCAACCATGGCGAGCGAATCGTCCCCTCCGTTCAGGAGTGGGGAGTCGATCCTTGGACTCGACGCCGCTTCTTCCTCGTCTTCCTCATCCGCTCTGTCCAGTCTCCCGTTGACGCCGTTGGCGCGGCGGGCGCTATTCTGCGAACCGCCGTAGTCGAGCTTCCGCGCCACTGTAGAGCTTACGGGCGGATCCGAGTCGACAATCGAACCTCGAACTGGCGAAGAGGAGCGGCCCATATGTGGGTTACGCATGGCTGGCGACTGAATGTTTGACTTCCTGGGAGATGTGCCGCGCGGGAGTAATCGCGGAATGCCCTTCATCATCGAGAGGGGTCCGGGTCCTGCCTCTGCAAGTTTGTCAGCTGCAAGAGACAATTGAGTGAAAGGGAAGGAGGCGCAACTCGGCTCACCAGACTCGAGATCCATCTCCTGCTCGCCATCGTCGCTGGACGTGCCATTGTCCTTCTCGGGAGAGGAGAAAAGACCTTCAACAGGGGCCAGGCCGTGCTCGTCGCGTTCGCCTGTATCAGGAAGTCCAACACCAGTTTTTCTACATCGTGCCCCGTTAGCTGAGGTGTCGTCAAGTCGCCTGCATCGATCAAAGGCGATGGATCATGTTTGCGCTGAGCGTGGCATGTACATACCGACCAACGACACCGAATTCGCGGTAGTCGTCAGCTTGCGCCGTAGTGCGCCTAGCATTGCTGCGCACAGGTGGCATCGTGAGAGCTGCGGACTAGCGCTGTGGCAGATAAAAACAAACAGGATTGCTACGAGTAGCTGAAGGGCACTCAAAAGCGCGTAAAATCAGAAGGAAGGTGATGCCTGATCAAGGTGCGCATGCAGATGTTGAGCTGCGGAACGTTGAGGTGGTGGTGTTTTGGGGGAGCATGTTCGCGCCGCGCCCTATCTCACCTTGTAAATACACTGGGCTGGGCCATGCTCAGGGGGGGCGTGGGACTGATTAAGTCAGGCGCGTCAGGACGCCTCAGGACGCGTCGAGGGGTCCAACCTTCCCTCCCGCTGCACATGTACAGCAGTACCACACCAATACAGCCATCAGGTTGACCTTCATTCGCCTCATTTTTCTGACTTCGCTTTCGTTCTCGTTTCTACATTGTCAAGTAGCTACCTTACCCAGGCACCCCCATCACCATGGGCGACACACCAATAACGGAAGACGTCGCTCTCGAAACTCCAATCCCAGGCGTCTACATCCCACCCTCAGTCAACAGGCCAGCGACCCTCGCAGGCGACTCCTACACATATTACTCGCCTCTGCCGCCGAATCTCTCGCCAATGCCTCAAGATGCCGTCTCGTCTGCCGTGCCAGAGCTCGCAGCCGCCGATTCGCCCGCCGTCTGCCTCGGAATCGACGAAGCCGGCCGCGGCCCTGTCCTCGGCCCCATGACCTACGCCGCCTTCTATCTCCCCATGCCCCTCTCCGACCCGCTCCTCCGCGAGACGCACCATTTCGACGACTCCAAGGTCCTGACGCCCGCCGTGCGCTCCGCCCTCATGCGCGCCCTCTGCAGCCCCTCCACCGACCTCGCCGCCTCGTGCGGCTACGCCGTCCGCTCCCTCTCGGCCCGCGACATCGCCTCGGGCATGCTCAGCACCGCGAACCCCTACAACCTCAACGCCCAGGCCTTTGACGCCACCGTCGAGATCATCAAGGGCGTCATCGCCCGCGGCGTGCGCGTCGAGGAGATCTACGTCGACACCGTCGGCCAGCCCGCCGCCTACCAGGCCAAGCTGCAGCGCGTCTTCCCGAGCGTCAAGATCACCGTCGCCAAGAAGGCCGACAGCCTCTACCCCTGTGTGTCGGCCGCCTCCGTGTGCGCCAAGGTCACGAGGGACGCGGCCCTCGAGGTCATGTACGAGGCCCACAAGGCCGCGAACGGGGGCCACGCGGGCACTGAGGACGGCGAGGGCATGGCGTGGGGCTCCGGCTACCCTTCTGATGCGAGGTGTGTGTCGTGGCTGAGGGGCAACATGCATCCCGTGTTTGGCTGGGGATCCGAGTGTCGCTTTAGCTGGGGGACCGCCAAAGACATGCTGGACGGCAAGGGGGGTGTCAAGGTGGACTGGCCCGTTGACGAGACCGAGGACACGAATCGCATGACGGATTATTTCGTCACGACAGATCGCGAGCAGGACGATGAACTGGGGACCTGGTTCGGCAAGCCAGCAGGGCTCGAGGCGTTTTGAAAAGGAAAATAAGTTTCGAGGCTGTGAGGCTTGCAGATGAGGGGCGCAAACCATGCCATACATGTATCACAACAACGGGTCAACGGCGTTCAGGAATACCCCCATGGGGAAAAAGAGGTTGAGGTTCATGTAGACATTATCTATCCTACTATGCTAGCATCGCCTGGCCATGCCCTTTCCCTTTTTCTTTCCCGTTACTCAGTTCGCTGCGTCAATCATGCGTGATTCTTAAATCTCCTCTACCTCCTCAGCCTCAGCTCGCTGCTTCTTGCCCTTGGAGTCGAGCCTGTCGAGGAGGACAGAGTCGCTGTCCCGTTCGGGGACGTTGAGCGCCTGGCGCGCCATGTCCGAGTTTACGATAAAGTCCCGCAGCTTCTGCTTGCCAATGTCGACGCCCTGGGTCGCTGCCGCGTTGGCCATCTGCATCATGGGGCCCAGCATGTTCATCGTGTAAGCTACATAAGTGCCGCCGGCCAGCATGATGAGGAAGATGAAGAGGAACGGGTTGCGGACGACTGTATCGCGTTAGCTTCGTGATCTCCAAAAGTCAAAAGGGCATGCAACGTACCAGCCCAAATCTCGTTCCATCCCAGCGCCAAAAGCAGGGCGTAAAAGTACAGCGGCACTTGGGCCACGCCGCCAATGGCGCTTCGCTTCGCCTCCACATACACACCATCGGCCGTCTTCTTGAAGCGAATGACAAGATCCTGGCGCTTGCTCTCGCTGAGCACGGTCATTTCCTCCTCAAGGCTCTTGCCGTCCTCCTCGTCGACGCCGCCGATCGGAGTGAGATCTTCCTCGTCGCCCGCCTCAACACCCCGCGGCTGAGCACCGATCCACTCAGGGAGATCGGGCGGCGCGTACGTCTTTGACAGACGGAATCTGGACAGGAGAGGGACCAAGGTCAGGGTGGACTCCCGCGCCTTGGTATAAATGCCCTCAATGTCATCCGTAGGCGACCAAATTCTGGGGACGCCAACCTCGTCATAGCGGAACTTGTCCTCAAAGTTCTCCCTGAGCTTCAGAAGGATGTTGCCCTCCATGACCTCCTCTTCGACCTTTTCTCGGAGAGCGACCCAGCTCTTGCGACGCAGTCTCCAGAGACCAATGTCCATCTCCTCCTGCGTGGCCTCGAAAGACTTGGCCCTCTCTGAGAACCTCGTCTCGGCCTCCTTGACAATGTCCACAAAGACAGTCCAAATGCGGTCCCAGAGATCCTTCTCGGCAGGCTTGTCCCCTTCTTCAGGGGCGCCCGAGCCAGCACGCCCGGAACCGAGCTTGTTGAATTCGACGCCAACCGCTTCTCCAAGTCGCGACTTGACCCAGCGCTCGACCCGCGTGGCCAAACGGCGCATCTCCTCCTTGCGCAATCTACTGCTAACCTCGTCAAGCTCCTTCTCGTAGAGCATGTATTGCGGCTTGAAGTTGGTCCAAGGAACGCCTTGGATCGCAAGACTTTGCGCCTCCTTCTTGAAGAATTCGAGCGTCTTGGCCTTTTCTTCGGTGACAATTTCCGCAAACTCGTACGCTGCACCGGACTTTTGACCAGCCTTGACAGCCGTCGACACGGCGTTGCTGAAAGAATCAATGCCAGACTTGTGCGCCGCCGTGAGGTGGGCCATGAATAACGACTTGAGGCGCGCGTCGATCTTGCTCTCCAGGTCCTGTCGTTTCCTCGTGTAGACGCCCTTGTGGTACCTGCTGGCTTGGACCTCGAACGCCCTCAGGCATTTGTCCCGTGCGCCGCTGCCAGTCTCGCCGAGAAGCTTGAGCACAGCCGTTTTCCCATTGCGCGTCGCATCCGCTTGCTTCTCCTCGAGGGGCCCGATGGCTTCGTCGAAGCCGATGAGAACTTCTCTGGAAATCTCGTCGCATCGGAATTGAGCGAGCAGCTCCTGTTGCGTAGGCAGATCGAGATCCTTGTTGTTGACAATCTGGTCCCAGATACCCTCAGCGTAGATCGAGAAGCCATCGGCGGGGATGCGTCGGTGGTACTCGGGGAGGAAGACGCCGCCGTCGAACTCTTCGTCACCGGTGCCCTTGCGATGTCCAGCAGTGAACCTGGTTCCCAGGTTCTGGACCTCGGTAACGAACTTGTCGGCCTGGAGAATCTTGTGCGGGAGAGCAGCAAAGCCGAAATCGAAATAGTCCTCGATGCGGGAGTTTTCGAGGCCCTGGGGTTTGGATATGGACGACCAGATCTTCGACAGATCTTGGATCAGGGTGTTGCGCAGAGCTGACAGAGGGGTAACTCCCAGGTGGTCGCGGATGACGAAGAACAGGAGAGATCGGAGGTTCGATCTGGAGTCGAGTCAGTCACGACAACCATCGTATAAGCCCGTACGTCCACTTACTGCTTGTCCTTGAGGAAGAGCTGGAGGTTGACCTCAAAAACAGTCTTGAGCAGGCCCATGTTGGCTCCGTTGTAAAGACCAACTTGCGTCTCCCAAATGTTGACAATCAGGACTTCGCTAGTCGCAAGCGCAAACAGGGCGCTCTTCCTCTCGAAGTCCTGGTCTTCGCCACGCTCGCGGCCGTCGGTACCCTCGACGTCCATCACAAGAATGTTCTCTGCCATGCCGGTTTCCTTCTTATTCTTCGACATCCAGATACCCTTGGTCGTCTGGCGGCGCTCTGACTCGGACATGACAGAGAAGTGGGTACCGAATAGGTTGTTCAGGAGCGTCGACTTGCCCGTCGATTGCGAACCAAAGACGGAAATGATGTGGTAGTTGAAGCCCGACTCGGCAGTGTGCACCTGCCGTAGGTAGTCATTGAGCTGGGAGCTGTGGCATGGATGTCAGCATCGAGAGCTTCGCGCAGCTGGCTGCTGCTTGCGCGCGGGGGTATGGGTCCAGGGGATGTCGTACTTGAACTCCTTTTGATCGTCGATGACCTGGACGCCATGCTCATAATCCTGAGCGCCCGGCTCAGCGCCGACCGAAGCAAAGTGACCGTTCATTGCGCAAGATCCTCAAAGTTGGTTCATGAAAGAGTTGAGAATCGATACATGCCAGGGATCTGGAGATTCGCGCAATGTGGCCCAGACCTTGGAACAGGGTATTGTCGTCAGTTCAAGTTGGGCCCTTGTCTGGTGACCAAATTACTTGGTCATTAGCGATCTCCTTGTGGCTCAGCTCGAAATACACGTGAAGGTGGCTAGCTAGATCACGTGATCACCGTGAATTTGGTACAGGGATCATGAAGCAGGGTGAGCTCAGAATAGGACAGTTTTGTATGGACACAGGCTCAAAAAAGAGTGCAAAAAAGGCAAAAATAGGCGTATAGGTTCAACATGATATTTGATCATTATCTTGTGACATTCACAAGCCCTTGCATGGGGGATCCGCCTTGTACTGAGCTCGCTCCATTCGCAATGTCTCGCCAAGAATGCACGACAGCAAGGGTGCATTTGCTCCACCACTATTACATCGAAAGACGGCGCATATTGTCATCAAGCTTTGATCTCCGCGCCTTCAAAGAACGCTACGGGCACTCCGTGTCCTGGAGCCCCCACAATATCGGCCTTGAGGAACTGTGCTTCCCAATCGCCACGATACTCAAGTCTCTGGTATCTCTGGAACAATCTGACCACTGCAGGGGGTTAGTGATGGCAGTTCAATAGTTGCGAGTAGTAGCTGCGGCTGGACTCACGGCAGAAGGCCATCTCTGTCATGGCAAAATTCTGTCCTACGCAGATTCTCGGGCCTCCATTGAATGGCACGTACTGCCATGGTCGAGGCGTCCACTTCTGCCACCTCTCGGGGCTATACACTTGGGGGTCCACGAAGTCCGGGCCCACAGGCGGGTAAAGATCATGACGTCTTTGCATAACATACGGGCTGTAGGTCACAGCATCGCCCTTCAGAACGATGATGTCGGGCTGTCCGGGCCCTCCAGGTAGTGATGAGTCTTGCAGAGCGGTCCGGACATTGAAGGGAACGGCTGGGTAGAGGCGGAGTGTCTCGTTAAGGCAATGTGTTAAGCACGGCATGTTTTTGAGGTTCTCATACGAGGGCGTTTGCGAGGGCCCGACGGTTGTCAAAATCTCCGATCGAAGCTTGGCGACGACTTTGGGAGCGTGCGCTAGTTCGTAGATGGTCCATGACAGTGTTGCTGCCGTTGTGTCACGGCCAGCCAGGAGTACGGCGATCAGCTGGTCCCGGATGATTTTGCGGTCTCGAGTTGCGCGAGCGATGGCGTGAAGGAAGGTAAAGTTCTTGTCAGAGCGCGAAATCTTGTCAAGTTCTTCGATGGGGAGCGCGAGAGCTTGCTCGATGAAGGGCATGATGAATTGCTCGATGGTTTTGATACCCTCGTTGTATGAGCCTTTGGGAAGAAGGGAGCGGAAAGGTCTACGTGGGTGTTGTAAGCACTAATTATAGGGAAGACGGAACGTAGCTACATGATGGCACTTACGACAAGATCGTATAGATCATCTGCATACGTTGAACTTCGTTGAAGGCTTCGGCGAAGTGGTGTTTGTGGCTATTGACAAGTCATAAGTCAGCAACAGAGCACCTCGAGACCGCATCTGGTCATCTTACTTGTCGAGGCTGTTTACGCTGGTTCCCAGCAAGAAATCCGTCGTGACATCAAGAGTCATGCGGTAGAAGAGGTCCATGACGTCGACGGTCATGCCGGAAGCCGGAAGTTTGGAGACCATTTTATCTGTCCAATGTTCGAAGATGGCAAGGTCCCGAACTCGGTCTCTGACGAACATGGGTCGGATCAAACTTCTGTTATCTTGCCAAACCTTGCCATCGGTGGTGAAGATGCTGTCGCCCAAGAAGGGGGCCCATCCCTCATGAAAGACAGGCCCCTTACCAAAGTCGACAAACTTGGATGTCAGGATGGTCTTGATATGTTCCGGTTCATTAGTCAAGATGAAGCGATGACGGCCGAAGAAAGTAATCTCAACGCAACGAGCCTTGCCAGGTGTGGCACTGTTACACAGGGAAGTGAACAGTTCTGGCAACTTGTGCTTGGCCTGAGCCCTGCCAAGTTTGACAAAGACGGATAAGGCTACCAAAAAAATCAGGTCATGGTCACGGTAAGAATTTGCGCTGAACAATTCACCTGTCACTGGATTGCTCGCGATGATGGGAGCACGTACGCCGCCCAGGCGACGCACGCAAAGTTCAGTGCGAATTCCGAACCCTGCGACTACAAGCGTCGCCAGCGCAAGGAATCCGAGCAGCACGAAGCTCGGGTGGGACAGGGCTTGCTCAAGGAAGGACATCTTATGACAAGATTGCGCAGCCGCTCACGGGGTCGGGTTGGTTGATGGTCAGAGACAGACAGACAGACAAACAGACGTCTCACAGAAAAGGACGGGGAAAATGCGTCCCTCACGCATGGGATCCCAACTGCGACCTCATCCTCCTTATACGTATGACCGCACGGGCGGGATCCTTCAGGATGAGCACATGATGAAGAGTGCAACAGAACCGCGGCACCATCCAACTAGCTCATGCGGCACGGACAGGAGGATTGGGGAAAAGGAGCGTGATTCGTTTTGACTGAGTGAGCGACCAACACGTGATTGGGGGCTAGCGTTAGGCAGATGCAGGATTGTTTGACCTGACCTGTGTAAGATCAACACCAAGATCTTTCGGCCCCCAGATCATCATCACCTCACTGTACCTACCAGGTAGGTAGGTACCTAAGGTACTAACTAAGCACAAGGGAGGTAAGGCGGGGAAGATGGCGGGGGAGACATGTTGAGGGGCACACCGAAGTGAACCCTCGGTGTGGAGCATAGTTTCGGTGAAAACATCGGTAAGAAGACGAACCGCCGACGGAAGATTCGGCTTCCGAGGTGGTCAAAGCAGGCCCAGGTCGGTCGAGTCGGGACATCGGGAAATACCGCGGGTGCCCGGCCCCAGCCAATCCCAGCTTTGCTGTTAGAGAGTTCTCGATAGCTTCGCGAAAACCGTTGCACAAACGACCCGATCGTCCCCTTTTGTTGTCATCAACACTCCCCACTCTCCACTCCTTTTCACCTTTCCTCTTTGCCATCAATTGCACGAGTGCAGCTTGTCGTCATCATGTTCAAGTTCGGTCGCAACCGGGCTCTGGCTTCGGCCTTCAAGCCTGCCGAGGTGAGCCGCATGCGCTGCCTCCTGGCGACCAAACATTCAGGAGCTCTAACAAGAATCATCAGCTCGCCACCTCTCCCTCCGCCAGACTCCCCAGCTTCGCTCAGCAGCAAAGGAGAAACCTGAGCATCCACGAGTACCTTTCTGCCGACCTTCTGCGCCAGGTAAGAATCCCGCCCCTTTTCTCTACCCCTTGAAACCTTCGGGCTAATTTATCTCGCGTCCAGTATGGCATCGACGTCCCCAAGGGTTCCGTCGCGAAGACCGCCGCCGAGGCCAAGGCCATCGCGAAGGAGATTGGTGGTGAGGACATGGTCATCAAGGCCCAGGTTCTCGCCGGTGGCCGTGGCAAGGGCACCTTCGACAACGGCCTGAAGGGCGGCGTCCGTGTCATCTACTCTCCCCACGAGGCTGAGATGTTCGCCGACCAGATGATTGGCCACAAGCTCGTCACCAAGCAGACCGGCGCTGGCGGCCGTCTCTGCAACGCCGTCTACATCTGCGAGCGCAAGTTCGCCCGTCGCGAGTTCTACCTCGCCATCCTGATGGACCGTGCCTCCCAGACTCCCGTCATCGTGTCCTCGTCGCAGGGTGGCATGGACATTGAGGCCGTCGCCAAGGACAGCCCCGAGGCCATCAACACCACCTACATTGACATCAACAAGGGTGTCACCGACGAGATCGCCCGCGACATTGCTGTCAAGCTTGGCTTCAGCGAGCAGTGCGTCGAGGATGCCAAGGACACCATCCAGAAGCTGTACAAGATCTTCACCGAGAAGGACTCTACCCAGATTGAGATCAACCCTCTGTCCGAGACCTCCGACCACAAGGTCATGTGCATGGATGCCAAGTTCGGCTTCGACGACAACGCCGACTACCGCCAGAAGGAGGTCTTTGAGTGGCGCGATACCACCCAGGAGGACGCCGACGAGGTCCGCGCCGCCAAGTCCGGCCTGAACTTCATCAAGCTTGACGGTGACATTGGCTGCCTCGTCAACGGTGCCGGTCTTGCCATGGCCACCATGGACATCATCAAGCTGAACGGCGGTGCCCCTGCCAACTTCCTCGACGTCGGTGGCGGTGCCACCCCCCAGGCCATCAAGGAGGCCTTTGAGCTCATCACCAGCGACGCCAAGGTCTCTGCCATCTTCGTCAACATCTTTGGTGGTATCGTCCGCTGCGACCATATCGCCACCGGTCTGATCAACACCGTCCAGGCCCTCGACCTCAAGATCCCCATTATTGCTCGTCTCCAGGGCACCAACATGGAGGCTGCCCAGAAGATCATTGCCGACTCTGGCATGAAGATCTTCGCCATCGATGAGCTCCAGACTGCTGCCGAGAAGGCTGTCCAGCTGTCCAAGGTTGTCAAGCTGGGTGAGTGGACTTGTTGACCCCAATACTGCCATGACTTCATTTACTGACCCTGTCACAGCCCGTGAGAGTGACGTTGGCGTCGAGTTCACCCTGGGTATCTAAACCCTAGCGTGGTCTTTTTTTTTCCCAGCGCGGAAAACACCTCTTGTGTATTAATTTGGCGGCAGGTTCCTCATGACGTGTGCGATAGGGGAAAGGTCGGTTCGGTCGCGGTTATAGAGGGCAATTTGTGTCATAGCATCGTCATTCGCGCGCGTTATCCGCGAGTGAGGAGCCAATCCAGTTTTCATCGTTCCGCAAATCTGTCCAGTTGTTCAAGTGCAAGTCTCTCCCTGTGCTCCTCTTCTTTTGCCCAGCCGGGCTTCATGCGCTGAACTTGGTCATGCTTTGAACGGTCCCGACCACATGCGGCATTCGTGCACTAGCACGTATCGCGGCCCATCATCTGCCTCGGTCAACCTACAGTATACATGATGCAATAGCATTGCAGTGCAGGCCGCCTTCACGATGGAGCCGAGCAGGAATCCCCGCGTCGGTCGCCACGCGAGCCACAAGGCGTGCACATGGAGTCTATACCAGAAGCGCAAATCATCGGCCGCGCGGATGACATTGCAGCCGAGTTCAGCTCCAGCTCTCGAGACCAGCATCCAGCATGCAAAGGGCAAGCCAAGCAAAAGCCGCAGAACCAGAGTCATGGCGCACCAAGGCGATTTCCCGTCCCGTCTCTTGGGCGCGAGTCGTTGCTCCGCAGTGGCGGGGACAGTACGCCGCGTGGTCGGCGGCCGAGGCGGTCGCGCGGCGTAGCACGCGAGCTGGTAGATGCGGTAGGGGGCATCCGCCTGCTCGAAGGCGAGCTCCTGGGCACGGTAGTAGGCTGTGCTGAAGGGGTTCCGGGAGACGGCCGGGATGATGTTGAGGCGCGGCGGCAGGGTGAACATGTCTTCGTCGCACGGTACTGATATGAAGGAGCTGAGGCGGACGTGAGGTGGCATGGTCATGTTGATCGATCTGGACGGAACACCGCTCGCCTAGGGGATGCTGGGTAAATGACAAGGTAGGTAGTTTTGATAAATCTCGGAAAGGTGTTGAAAACTGAACTATCAGAGGGAATGGCCAAGGAATGGTTGACGGCAGCTTGTTGATGTTTTAAAGGAATCGAAGGGGGTCTTCTTGTCTGTTGGTTCCTTCTGTTCCCTCCCATGCGTTCCCGTTGTCACGACTGTGTTGGCGGATGAGTATGTCTTCGAAGCACGACCAATTGTCATGTCTAGACACAGAGCACCCAAGGTAAAAGTTGAGATGGTGGTTCATGGTGGTCGGCCATCCTTGCGTTGTGTACAAGGAGCGGCCTCCAGCAAAGCAGACAGGGACAGAAACGCATCCTCGAAACTCTGCTGTCCAAACAGCGTTTGGATCACAATACGCTGGGTAGTCTTGGCAGTTGGCCACGACGATGGGACAATGTCTTGACGAGATGAAAGAAAAGCCAAGCAAGGCACAGACGAAATGGCCACGAACAAGAATCCTATGCATGTAAATTTCTGTCTCCGGACTGGGCTGTCTCAACGCCGTGCAGGCTCACCCTACCCACCTCTCTCGGCCCAACTTACGGCTATGCAAACGTCTCCATCGCCCGGATGAAGGGGACGTCGTTGGATGCCGCCCCACAAGGAGGCTGTTGAGGCTCAAGGGGACTGACGTCTATGGTCTCAGAGAATGCACGACCCCTGGTGCCTGGCCACGGGAATAGCGCCTTCATGCGGGAGGCCGTTGCCAGAAGGCTTAGCGGGTGGGACGTCGATGCCGAGCTTGGCACGACGATGTTTAGAAATGGCTCGGGATGTGGCCGGTGGGGACGATGATGTGTTGACGGTGTGGAAAGGATTCGCCTCTACTTTTTTTCTCATTCATTTTTCTTTCTTCAGTCTTGTCACCCATGGTCGCAGTATGGCGGTGAGATGTATAACATTGAATATCGGCCTGTATAGATGATAGGCACTGTCTCTGCCTACCTGAGGTACCTTACTCAGGCTTGGTCAACCCTAAATCAGTGTCACATCAGTCTGGCCGCGACCCAAGCAGTGTTCGCCCTGAACAACGCCATGATCGGACAGGATCGTTCAATATGATCCTGCAATGAGGCGAGGGCCCACAGTTGCCCGAGAAGAAGACGCCCGGTGAAGACGCGATCACGACCCTGAGTGCCCCATTTTACACACGGGCGGTGAGGTGGACCGCGAGTCTTCTCCGAGCCAAACCCGGGCGCCGGCCGCGAATGACAGACAAGGACTGTTTGATACGTATTTTTCAAGCTCGATCTCCGAGCCCATCTCGAAAGATTTTTTTTTTTTTGGACAAATTTCCAGAAGATTGTGCTTTTCCTTTCTGCCTGACATTCGTTGGCAGTTCCCTTTGAGGTCAGGTATGTGTGAGACAGGCTCGGAGCTTGGCGATTGGAGTCGTGGGCGGCGTCCAGTGGCTTATCGCACCCCTTCTCTGGTGCACCAATGAACGGCAAGACGTTTTGGTTCAGCGCTTCTTCTGGGCTGAGATCTCTTAAGCCAGATCTGGTGGTCTTGGGACATGTGCCAGTCGGCGGGCACACATGTGGAGGTTTTCCGGCGACAGGGGTCCCACCTGTACATGCAGCCACAACATCCCCCCCTTCTCCAACGCTCGTGTCGGAGATCAATGCCCGGAGCCATGTCCCGAGGCCAAGATCTAGACCCTGAACCAAGACCAGATGGGGCGTGTGGGTGTCCGTCTAAGTCTGAGAGAGGAATTACCTTGGTTATCTGAAAAGGTGTGGTGTCTGGGATGCAAGGCGCAAGAGACATAAAAGCCTGGATCCCCCCCCCCTCCCTGAAAAGAGTTGCAGCGTTTGAACCTTCCCAGTCGTTCGTCCTTGCCCTGCAGCTGTTGTCGGAGCTTACCTGTCTTTCTTTGACCTGTAGTCATCACTACTATTCGATCTCGACCTCTGAACCTTCAGGACCTCTGAACCTTCAGCTCAACGATACACTCCACACATCACCACCATGTACGCCAGCGAAAGCGAGAAGCCCCAGAGCTGGTGGAAGCGCCACTGCACCCCGCCCCCAGCAGTCAACAAGTCGGCCATGTGTCCCTGCACCGACTGCTTCAACGGCGATCCTCACAATGCGAGCCGCGCCCCTCCTGTCCCCATGGTGCCCTCGCGCGAACGCCGCCAGGCCGCCGCCGCCCCGGCGACGCGGCCATCGCTCTCGTCGACATCGACAAACTCGTCCACGTCGTCGTCGTCCTCCTCAACCGTGACGCGCAACGTGCTCCGCAAGTCGCTGCTGCGCAAGGAGATGCCTGCCGACCTTGTGCCCCTCTTCCAAGAGGGCCACTCGACGACAAGCCTGCATTCGCAGATGCCCAGGCAGAGCGACGAGCTCTCGCTGGCGGGGTACGGATCCTTCGCGGCCAGGGAGGCGGTGTAAGACATTCGACACAACAACGTCCCTACCTACCGTTTGGACAACAGAAACGACAAAGAGCCGGGTGCGAGCCGATCTTCTGGGCGTGTGCCGCAGGAAAAGGGCGCGCCTCGTTTCTCGGAGGCAGTGAGAGATTCATGAAGGGGGAGGGGTTTGGCTTGGCATTGTCGAGCCGGTCGACCGGGCCTTTCCCCAGAAGGAAGGCGCTGGTCAAGATGAAGGGCGAGAGACCCCCCTTCGCCCGTCTGTTGTTGGGCCCTTTTTGTTCGACACCCCCACAAGCAAGGGTGGGCTGGCGGACGGCCAAGACTAGGCGATTGGGGTCTGGGGTTTGGCGGGGGGGAGGGCGGGGGTTAACGAGGTGGATTGGCGGCGGCGGTGCCTCTCTTTGATTTTGCGTTTATTTTGCGGGTTCACACGCCATCACGAGGTCTCAGCCGAGTCTCTGGCTCATGCAGACGGCAGGGATGAAAGCAAGGCAGATCAGGGACAGAAAGGCTTGGGTTGCAGTGCCTTTGGGCCGTCGGGAAGTCTGCGGCTATCTGAGCTGGGCGCCCTTGAGATTGGGATGGAGGGCTGGTGATGGGGATCGCCGGCGAGAATCAGCTGAAGGAGACATGCCACGCTTCCTCTTCCCCAAGTCACACGAGTTTGGGCCTTTGGGGGGGGGCGCTTGTCAGGGGACACGCGGGGTTGGCGGCTGGGTCCAGGCCTTGGGATCTTGGGGACGCTTGCCATTCAGCCGCAGGCCATTCACCTGGCCATCTGTCGTCCTGCTGCAGAGCCTGGATTCGTCGGGATCGAATTCCTGCGTGGTGGTCTCTTTTCGGCTGTCGGTTGCGAGTTGTTCAGCACCGGGAACCGTCTCCCGGAGAAACGAAATTCTTCAGGGCCCTTGGGAGGTCTCGGGGGGTGGGCTTTGGGGCCTCGAGATCCCTGTAGCGTGTGTTGCGCGAACGGACCAACCCCCGGCCAGGTGTCGTGGGGCAAACGTTATTCGGACGACCCCTAGTGTGGTGGTCTGGATACCTTCCATCATCCTCTTAGCATGTTTGTTTCTTTCTTCTTATTTCAGATACCCATAGACGCAAGAGAAAAACACCAATATTCTGCCACGAAGAGATCTGTGAAGCGTCCTCGTTGCCATACTCGCGTGTCCACCTTTTTCTGTCATGCACCAAATGCCATGACGTCACTTCAGCGTCGCATCTCATCATGCCTTCCGCCTTCCGCCTTCCGCCTTCCACCTCCCACCTTCCACGAACCTGTCACCTTCCCTGAGCTGCACATTTTGTTGAATGACTCGCTGAATTAACTACCATGTAGAAAGGCACACGTCAACTTGGGCGTTTACCGTGCTCCATCTAAGCCAAACTCCCAACAAGATCATCATCACCACCACCGCCATGCCAGACGTCGACCCCGCCATCCTCGAAGCCCTCGGCCTCACCCCCGAACACACCAAGATCACCTCCCACGGCGGCTCCGGCTTCTCCTCCACCTTCAAGCTGACCTCGACACTCGACGGCAAGCCGAAGCGCTACTTCGTCAAGACCGGCACAGGCACCGCCTCGGAAGTCATGTTCCGCGGCGAGCACGCCTCCCTGAACGCCATCGCCGCCGCCGTGCCCAGCTTCTGCCCGCGCGCCCACGCCCACGGCGCCCTCGCCAACAGCCCCGACCGCTTCTTCCTCGCTACCGACTTTCTTGACCTCGACGCCTCCCAGTCCGGCCCAAGCTCGGGCCTGTCCCTGGCGGCGAAGCTCGCAAAGCTGCACACGACGCCGGCGCCGACGCTGGACGGGTTCGACGCCCCTGTGTTCGGCTTCCCCGTGACGACGTGCTGTGGCGCCACGCCGCAGGACAACACGTTCAAGACGTCGTGGGCGGACTTTTACGCCGAGAACAGACTGCGGGCCATCTGCCGCGCGGGCGTCGAGGCCAATGGGGCCGACGCCGAGCTTGAGGAGGCTGTAGAGAAGGTTGCTGGCGTCGTCACGCCGCGGCTGGTGGGCGAGAAGACGATCGGGCCCATCACACCTGTTGTCGTGCACGGCGATCTCTGGAGCGGGAACCACGGCACGGGACGGATCGATGGGCAGGGCGGCGCCGAGGAGGTCGTCTTTGATGCGAGTGCCGTCTATGGGCACTCTGAATACGAACTGGGCATCATGCGCATGTTTGGCGGGTTTGGCGGCGCATTTTGGAAGGAGTACGAGAAGCTTGTGCCCAAGGCGGAGCCAAAGGCTGAATGGGAGGATCGCGTAAAGCTGTATGAACTGTGAGTCTGCCTGCCTACCGTGGTCGTGTCTACGCCTGCTGACGAAGAACAGATACCATCATCTCAATCACTATGCCATGTTTGGCGGGGGGTACCGTGGGGGAGCCATGTCCATTATGAAGAAGCTCATTTCGAAATATGGCTGAATAGGGCGCGTGTAGTCAGACAATAAAAGCTGGATGACCCGGCCATGGCTATTGATACGACCGGTATTCTACATTGTGTGTACACGACACTGCAAGCGCAACACTCGACGAACAACTGTGGTCAGTGCAACGCCAGCAGCTGATGACTTGCTGATTTCGGAGACCATCAATCAGCGACCAGAGCACGGATGCGAAGGATCGAGCAATGAGGCCGAGATCGCACGCCTGCGATGAACCAACGCAACGATGTCACGTCGACCTCGAACTAGCCTTTTGATTGAAGCATCGGCCCAGGTAGCATCAACATTATCGTGACGTCTTGCTGCTGACACGAGATCGACATGCCGCGCGGGGAAGCTTGCGCGGCACTTCGACCGCACACCCACAACCGGGATGTGTTCTGTGTCCACGACCCCACCAGCAGGGCATGTGCCTTGTGAGAAGATGCAATGGCCGCGCTCGTCGCTCGCTGGTTCACATCGTCACGACTCATCATGAAATCATCTTCGTAACAAAGTGCAAGTTCAATTTTGTTCATCACAACATCAGGGACCGACTCGCCCACAAAACAGTCGACTCGCTCGCCTCGCTCGCCTCAACTCCACGCCGTCCATTCACCCATGTTACATCGCGTTCCCCAGAGAAAAAGAAAACTTATTTGCTCGTGTCAATGACGTAGCGACCCGCAATCTTGCCCTCCTGCATCAGGTGGAAGACTTCCTGCAGCTTGCTCATGCCGACCGTCTTGAACGGCGCCTTGATGAGCCCGCGGCGGAAGAAGTCGAGCGCCTCGGCCGTGTCGGCGCGGTTGCCGACATAGCTGCCGCGAATGGTGATCATGCGAATGACAGTGTCGAAGACGGGCGCCTTGAGGTAGGCGTTGGCCGGCAGGCCGATGCAGACGACGGTGCCGCGGCTGCGGACGTACTCGCTCGCCTGCTGGAAGGGCTTCTCGGAGACGGCGACGAGCAGGACGGCGTGGGGGCCGAGGCCGTCGGGGGTCGCGGCCTTGACCTCGTCGACGAGGTTCTTGCTCGACGTGAAGTCGACGTACGCCTCGGCGCCGAGCTCGGCGCACATCTTGCCCTTCTCGGCGCCGCCGTCAATGGCGATCGACTTGAGGCCCATGGCCTTGGCGTACTGCAGCGCCAGCGAGCCGAGGCCGCCGCCGGCGCCGACAATGGCGACCGACTGGCCCGGGCGCGCGCCCGACTCCTTGAGGCCCTTGTAGACGGTGATGCCGGCGCAGAGCACGGGCGCGACGGCCTCGAGGTCGCACTCCTTGGGGATGCGCGCCACGTGCGCCGCCTTGGCGATGGCGTACTGCTGGAACGAGCCGTCGACCGTGTAGCCCGAGAGCAGCGCCTTGGGGCACAGCGGCTCGTCGGCGTTGAGGCAGTGCGGGCACGCGAGGCAGGATCCGTTGAGCCACTTGACGCCGGCGTGGTCGCCAATCTCGACCTCGCTGACGAGCTCGCCGCGCGCGACGACGATGCCGGCGCCCTCGTGGCCACCGACCAGCGGCAGCTTCGTGTCGAGGGGCCAGTCGCCCATCATGGCGTGCAGGTCCGTGTGGCAGACGCCCGAGTACTTGATGTTGATGAGCACCTCATCGGGACCGGGCTTCTGGGCGGGGATTTTATTGTAGAGGACGGCTGTGGCTTGTCAGTACACGATGTCTGCGACAGGAGGGAATGGGCAGAAAGAGAGGGAGAAGAGGCAATGACTTACGACCACCGGTCTTCTCAATGACCTGAGCCCACTGCTCCGAGGGAATGTCGGCGCCCATGTTGGGTGGGGATGTGAGGGGAAGCGATTGAGACGGCGTAATGTTGGTACAATGATGTAATGAGCTCGGTACAGCGTCAGATGTACTCGAGAACCGATCTGAGAAGCTGTGAGGAGGGAGAGCGTTAGTTGATGTTGGAAAGCTTCACATTCAAAGCAGAAAGCACCAGGCACACATGTTTCTTATATAGAAGCGCCATGCTCGATCCGTCAGCCCACACCACACACACACGCACCCCGTTCACGGATGGGCGGCGCTGGCCCAAGTCATGGTGGGCACAGTGGCCAGCGCGAGGAGCTACCCCAACCCAAGTGGTGAGACTGCTTCATCATGATGCCTCGATAACCCCGAGAGAGCTCCTGTCGGGAACTGGAGACGAAAAAAACGTACGATGCCGGGCGGGCCAATGATCGGCGGCAGCGAGCGCGAGCCGGGTTCGAGCTACTGCGGCGCCCTGCCCCGCTGGAGTTGCGCCCCAAGGTAGCTCATGCGTACATGTACACCACGACCCGAATCCGTCGTCCCTGTCCCTTCTGCCCGACAGCTGCTACCCCTCAATCGAAGACAGGCTCTGCTGCTGCTGCTGCTGTGACTGCGAGTGAGACACGAGCTCTGGGGAAAAGGGTAAGGCGCTCGGGTCCAGGGCGCCCGGACAATGGAGCCGCAGAAGCGCTCGCCCTGCCGTGATCGACACTAGGGACAAGGGAGCCACCAGCGACATGTTGGAGGCAGAGATCCGCTACCACGAGACTCTTGCATGTCTGGTTCTCATCAGAACCAATAATGATTTCTGTGATGCTTCCATGTGCTTCATGGCATCATGGCCTTTGCGCCTGGCATGAAGCTGGGCGAAGTGCCAAGGTCGGATGCATGATGGGAAGTTGTCGCCTCTTGCACGTCAGCTGCCACTGTCTCCACTTGGCTCGTGTCGTTGGCGGTGTTTCCTGAGGGCTGTCAGTACATCGTAGGAGTTGGCTTGCCAGTGGAGCTTGCCGTTCAAGTGTATAATTGAAAGATTATTACTGGAAGGGGTACAGGACGTCTCAGATTCGTGCTCAAGCTGAGCCATAAGTGACGATACGGCGTGTCGGTGGGTTTCCTTGCTGGCCCGATTTACAAGGATAAATCTCACACGAGGAAGAAAGGCAAGTTATAGAGGGCCAGGCATGTTATTGTAAAATTGAAGGTATATTGCCCATGTGTTGTTCTTCGAGAAACGCTTACGTCTCTCACAAGACCACTGCTCTGCTGGGCTGGTTGACCATCAGGGTGCTTAGGGTTGATTGTCCCACGCTTCACGTGCACGGGACGGAACGGACTACAAGAATGACTGAATATCGCAAGTATGACTGGTAATGAATACCATCTCCAAATCTTTATGGTCTTGCTAGTGAGTTGCTGGTATGTCCAAAGCACGTTACTCTGCTAGATGAGTTGGAACCACCAGCGCAGTGCCTCCCCGTCTCCTACCAAAACCATGCTCTCGGTTACAAGTGCGGAAGTAAAAAGTGACCAAGAGCATGGCTGTGACTTTCAAAAAAGAGATGATACTTACAAAGCTTGGCCTACATCACCCTTGACCTAGTGCTAGACCTGGAGGAGGAAACCTATCAGAGTAGAGGTGCAAGCAGTGTTGGTAAAACAAACCGAGTGAACGGATCCAGAACCATGAGTGAAACAAGCTGATAACCCAGGAGGACCATTAGTGAAAAAAGACCCCATTGAATCAATAAACCTGCAGGATACTTCCTCCAGAGCCATTGTCGACAAGGAAAGCCACACCCGGCAAGTTGACAATGCTTTCCCCGGGAGCTTACATCTCGCTTTCGAACACGCCGTCACATCGGCCCCAAACCTTGCGGTCTGGCCATCCAAGCGCACCATAGCAGACGCACCTTGCTTCTAGGGGTTCGGTCTGCCCCGCTCCGTCAGCGGGAGCTGGCGAACGGCGCAAGTGGGCAGCGCCCTAGGCGATTCGCATGACGCTGAGACATCCCGGTGACGCAAGCATGATGGTGAGCTATCAGAATGCGATGGCCTGGAGAAGGTCCACGTTGAGGCTGCATATCGGGAAGCGATAGTGGATGCGGTGGAACCACCGGCCTGCCTGCTCGATGGTCTTGGTTGCGGAAGCTGTCTGCTGTCGCCAGCAACGTGTACAGGCGATTGTGGCGGTCGGCTTATCGGATGCGAGTCCACTGATCCGGGCACAGCGTATCAAAGGCCTCGGCTCTATCTGCAAGTACTGATGAAGGGTAAGTCTACGAGAAACAATGGTCGCAGCGAGGCTTGCACGGCTTCGCCGGGACAGGGCCGAATCAGATGATGTTGACCCAACGCTGAATTCGCGAGCTGCCTGCTTCCATCATGTCGGGAGCTCCAGTGGATCTGTGGTGTGCCACTAATACCGAAATAGGTCTGCGCCTGGGCTGTGGCAGGTACCGAGGTACACCAGGTTTAGATGTGAGCAAAAGCACAGCACCCAATGACTAGAATCACAAAACTTGATCAGCTCGAGGCCCGAAAGCCAAGCTTTCGACGCCGTCGGTCAAAATGCTTGATACCTGGGCCGTCACCAGAGGATGCTTCTTGAACAACGGCTTCGAACACAACACAACGAGAGCGCACCGCACGCACCCTGGCATGCAGCTCAGGACGTTACAGAAAAATCGTCCCATTGCCCACTCGCATGGCCTCACACTTTTTGCCCCAACACCAATCATTCACGTCCCGTCCGTCCGTGGTAAACGTGCAGGATCCCACGGCGCATTTGACCAGCTCGATCTTGACGAATCAGTCTCATGAGGGGTAGCTGACTCAGATCACGGGTCTCCCCTCTGGCCTTTCCCGTTGTTCACCACCTCAGCACCAAGATAGCTTCATCTGATCCTTCAAGGGCCCCCCCCCCCCCCCCCCCCCCCCCCCCAAAGCACCCCGCCAATCGGCCATGCCAGCCCCCAGATTCTCCCCACGTCTGAAGCAGCCACCTCACCAACGCTCGCTCCCGTTGCTTGTCTCGCTCGAAGGGAACCCTCCTGCGGGCCACAATGCCCTTCAAGCCTTGTGATGCGGGAATGGCGCTACTCGACACCACAACCCCGGATCTTTCTACCCCACAATCTTTGAATGGCATGCCCCTAGGCGATCTCACCCGATGGTCGTATACTGCCAATCTCATATGCCCCAGCGGTCCCCTGCTCATCCTGTCACACCTGAAGCGGGGGTAGCTCGCCCTGTGCCGAGCACTGCACTCAAGCAGCCTCGCCGTCAGCCGCACATCCGATGACACTAACGGGAGTATTCATGGGCGAGCGGAAGTCGAGGTGTCGGACGGAGGTATGAGGACTGGCGCCCCTTCACATCTGCGCAGGGCCTGAAACTTTGCCAAAGGAACGAGACCGCAGCTGACGCTTACCGACCTACCTCCTTGCGGCCCGTATTCTTGCTTCCTGCTTCAACAACGGTCATCATCTGTCGTCCTCATTAGTACCTTCAACAGCCATCGTCACAGAAACACGCTAAATTCAAGCCACTTCGAGGACGAAAAGTGATATGCGAAAAGCTTTTGAAGAATTGCAATAGGCCCCTGCTATAAACACGAAACACCAACCGTCTAAGAACCGCCAGGGCCGCCCAGCAGCGCAAACCTCCTGACAATGCTCGGTCCATATTCTTGGTACTGCCGTGGATGTTAGCTTGGGTATCTGGGGTACGCCAGTTCTCATGTCTTACCTCCGCCTTGGTGTGGCAGTACGATCGGAACTCGGGTGTCTGGCCGAGTAGACTGCCACCGAACCAGGGACCGTGTCTTTGCCTCTTGTGCGTGATGACCTGAACGTCGAGACCACCACTCTTGGCACCGCCGCTGCGCACCTCGCTGGCCTTGATGCGCGCGTCGACCAGCTGCTTGATGTCTCGCTGTAAGCGCCGACCAAAGTCCTTGTACAGCGTGCTGCCGCCAGACAGGACGATGTTCTTGTACAGGCCCCTTCGAACATCGATCGGCGAGGACTGGATCACGCCATCGACAACGGTGGGCAGAGGCGTCAGGAAGTCGGAGCTGTAAATCTCGGGGTTGAAAAAGATCTCGGGTGCGAGGAATCGTTCATAGCCGACATCGACCATGGTCTTGCGACCACCAGCCTGGAGAACGGGGTGCTGGATGAACCGAGTGGGGTCGCGATCGTATCGGGAAAACTCCTTGACAATATCGGGGCACACGTAGCAGTGCTCCTCCTTGATTTCTTGCGCCGTCTTGAGCGACGAGTCGCGTTCGCCTCGGTCTCGAAGAAGCGACTGGACGAAGTAGGTAATATCGCGGCCGGCAATGGGAATCGACTTGATCGACGACCCAATGACATAACCTTCGGCAACGGGAATGACGTGGGTCACACCGTCACCCGAGTCAATGACAGTTCCAGTCAGCGAACGATCCTGCACTTTGGAGGATGTCCAAGACGCGGCGAGCGCAAGAACAGCCTGCACAGCAATGTACATGCCAGCGCAGTTGAAAGACTCGAAGAAGATTTCGGCCGTGTTCTCGCGGTTCTCGGGAGGGTTCAGAGGCTGTAAAGCTGTCAGAAACTCCCGACAATAGAATTCAGAATGTACGGACCGGCTCAGTCAGGAGGAAGTAGTGGTCTTCGGGCTCAACACGAAGGTACTTGAAGATGGAGTTGGACCAGAATCGTTCCATGTGGTCCTGCTCTTTGTCAGCGCCCATTTAGCCCTCAAAGAGCTTCCAACATACCCAGTTCTCAATCTGGCCGTGGCGAATGGGGTAGTGCAGTCCGTAGCCTGTCCTTTCGTCAGCACACAGCTGGTCCATTGCTCAGCAGGCCACTGACCTGGGCCTTGCGACGCGGCAATAGCGGCATCGCCAATGAAGAAGTCCAAGTCCTCGGTACCGCGCTTCATGTTGAGGTGACCACCAGAGCCCGCTCCACCAGTGAGGTATGACGGCTTGTTTGCGACGGCTGGACGACCAGATCCGGAGCCTCCGCTACCGCCTGCGGGACCTTTGGTTGCGATGGCGGTCGGGAAGACGAAGGAGGGGGAGTCATTGCCGGCGAAACCTGCGGCGCAAGTCAGAAAAGTCGGGCTCGAGAGATCTTCAGTGGGAATTCGAAGGTCGTACCAAGCTTCGAGAAGCCAGTGCCGCTGAGAGGGGGGTGTTAGCTCTGGCTGTCCCGTCTGGCGACGTCTACCTGGCCCAATGCGGGGCACCAGATGACGATAGGATCAAGGCGTGGACTTACTTGTCCATGACAACGGCAGGAGTTTGGTTGGCCATGGCTGTAATTGTCGAGATACACTCGCAGTTGCTAGCTGGTGCGTGGCCTGAAGGAGAGGATGACCTCGGTCGTGAGAAGTGGTCGGAGCCGTGTCGAAGTGAGGTGCACGATTACGACGTCAAGGTGTGGATCGGGTTGTGTGCCTCGTCACGAACGAAAGGCAGCAGGAGTCCGGCCGTGCCAGCTTCCCAGGCGGCTGTGCATCAGACTAGAAGTGGGGTCTCCAGAGTGGGTGGTTGGGAAGCTCGCCATGGTCTTCTATTAGCTGATTCAATACAGTGCTGAAAATGTCACACACGGTTTTTCAGTGAGGTTTCTCCTGCCTGGAACGACAAGTGAACGAAACATCCCGAGATGTTTATTTCTGGGACGTCTGTCTCGGGACACGAGTAGTTTCAATCTTGAACTTCAAGTCTCAATCGGCCCTCGCGAGTCGGCTCATAAGCCTTGCATGTATCTTCATTCTTTCGTACTTTCAGAAAGTCATGGTAACTTGCCGCCGTTATTGCAGCACATACTTGGATCCTGGGCTCCACTGACATGAATCTACGACAGCTTACGGCTTGAAAACAAGGACTATACGGCGTGGCTCTTTCCGCGGCACACATGTCTTCGAATGATGCCCCGCGTTTGATAAATGACGAAGAGAAAAAGTAAACGTAGCTACGAATCGTCACGTGCTACTCGCCCAAGGCAGGACACTCCTCTCCCTTGGCTTTCACCTCCTGCCTCGCACTTGGCTTTCAACAGGCTGGGTGACGTAGGTAGACCAGGCACCCCAAATTGAAGGTTGTCACAGAGCACTGCATGCCATGAAATAACCGGCAAGAGTAATCAGTCATCTGAGATACGTTGTGTCAGCCCCTTCTGCGCCAGTACGGCATGCTTTCTACTTCGGAGACACCTCTTGGAGTCCAGTGTCCAACAACCTCCTCCACATATATCTTCTTATTTTTTCTCCCACCTTGGGCTGTCCGACAACGAAATCCATATTGGCAGCCCCGATCAACAACAACTCCGAGTAGTTTATTACTCTGCATTCGTTTATATCGACCGTCCCATGTCGGGCAAGTCACGTCTTACTTTCGGTTTTGCAACTCAGAAATTACCGACTGGACGTTTTTTGATGACTTTTTGAACGCCTGCTGCTGTTATTATCAGCACCAGCCCATTGCCCACACACGATCGTACATCAAAAAGACAGCCTACGGTGATTAGAAGGACAAGCCAGCTAGACTTGCTCGCCACCACATACACCATACCTAGTTAAGCCACCCGTCAAGCCTATCGACATAACGCTTGCCCGTCTGGCATAATGAGTGATCAGGCAGAGCAAGTTGAGGACAGATGGCCAAGTCACCCAGACGATAGCGCCTCGAATGTCAAGACTGGTTTCGGGCATCAGCCAATTGGTTCACAAAGTGTCTCCAGCTGCGAAAGTTTCAGTCGACCTGTGGCAGATACAATAGACTGCGACCATACCGACCCGATGACTGACGACTCTAGCATACGGCCACGGCTTGCTGATCAGTCTTACCGTTTAGACTCGTTCCAGGAGCCTTGTAGCATCAAAAGCACGGCTACTCCTGAACCATCTCCTGCCATCGACCAGCAAGCGATCCTTGAGGATACAGCCGTTCAGGGCCGGTCTAGTACTCGAGAAGACCTCCGGCAGAGCTTCTTCGGATCTATCCTGAACAGCCGACACTTTCGACATGCAATACATCGCGACTCCACACCAACCCCAAGTAACAATGCCGCTGTGCCGGTGGAGCGTATGCAAGATGAGCTGCCACAGATCACTGGAACCAGGAGTGAACAGCCGTCTTCACGCGTTGAAAGACCTCGAAAAGTCCGGTTTACTGCTGCCAACAGCTTAAAAAGCCCACCAGGAGGCACCGATGGCACTGTAGATCGGGTCTTGAGACGAGGGCAGCGCAGCAAATTTACGGGGGCTATATTCATCCACGCCGGCGCCGGGTTCCATAGCCATCAGAACGAGCGTGTTCACCTCGAAGCTTGTAATGAGTGAGCTTTCACCCTAATCTCTGTAGAAGCTCATTGGATTCGAACTGACGCCGCGACCCAGCGCAGCAACTATGGGCATGAAGTTTCTCAGATCTGGTGCGTCGGCTACTGAGGCTGTTGAAGCTGCTCTCCGTGTCCTGGAAGACAAAGAAATCACCAACGCTGGCTATGGCTCCAACCTATCCATAGAGGGAACAGTAGAGTGCGATGCAACTATTGTCGACTATCTCGGACGAAGCGGTGCCTGCGGAGCTGCGCCGAGTAAGTCAAGCCAGGGCATGTCAAGTTGATATGGCAGATTGCTAATGCCTTTTCAGATGTTCGAAACCCTATTTGTTTAGCAAAGCTTATACTCGACAAAAGCAACCAACCTTTGACTTTAAGACGGGTTCCGCCAAACATTCTCGTCGGAGCAGGAGCCAAGGGGTTTGCCTCAGAGCATGGCATGCAGACTGTGCCCAATGATAGCTTGATTTCCAAGAATGCTCGGGATCGGTTTCTTCGATGGCAGGACGATCTCCTGCGAGCGGAAGAGAAGCTGAAGCAGGATGAGTCCTGTCGAGCTCAAGGCGTGAGTGCTTCCGTCACTGACGTCGCTGCTTGCCTCCAGTATGAGACTGGATCGAACGTCGCAAGCGACCAAACCCGTGCCGGAAATTCGCAGCAAAGGGATCATGCCAACGCAATCCTTACTGGTACATGGAACGAAGGCCAGCCCGACTCACCATACCGCGGTTCTCCGGCCCTTGAAAAAGCTCATGGCCAGTTCTCGGTTCCTTCGGTTCCTGGCCATGGTCTATCCCGTGTATCACCAGCACCGGGCGAGAGGAGCCCCTTGAGTTATGTCGGCGCGATGCAAGGGGCGTCAACTTCCCCCAAACGCCATCACCCTAGCGCCAGCCATGGAAATCCGCCTGTGCCATCTTCGCACCCCGCGCTTAGGGGACACGGAGATGGTGGAAGATCTCCGCAGCCTTTGGTAGCGTTAGTTCAGATGGATGTTGGTCAGACAGCGACGCGACACCTCAATAGCCCTCGTGGTTCTAAGCGACCATTCCCCTTCCCACAAGATGCAGACGATGACTCACCGCCGTTGGACATGATCACTGACACTATTGGTGCCATAGCCATTGATGATGCAGGTCATATTGCCGCTGGTTCCTCGTCAGGTGGTATCGGCATGAAGCACTGCGGGCGGCTTGGTCCAGCCGCTTTGGTGGGCATTGGCACTGCCGTTGTTCCCAGTGATCCAAGCGATCCGGAAGGCATATCCGTTGCAACCGTCACCAGCGGCACAGGTGAGCACATGGCGACCACCATGGCATCTCAGAGGTGCGCCGAGCGGATTTACAGCGGTACGCGTCGCGGTGTGCACGGCCGGGATGTTCAAGAAGACGACGAGGACCTCATTATGGAGTCTTTCATCACCAATGATTTCATGGGACACCCAGGTGTCCGGAATTGCAACTCTGTGGGAGCGATTGGGGTCATGACGGTGAAGAAGACGCGCGCTGGGTACTACCTCTACTTTGCACACAACACCGATTCCTTCGCGCTGGCTTCCATGGGCGGTGCCGACAAGGAGCCTCAATGTGTCATGTCCCGGCTTGGTAACACCGAGCAGGTGACCCGTGGGGCGCGCAAGATTTCTGTCGGAGGGTAGATATGCGGATGGTGAATGATGAATGGGCCGATGTGTAAACTACCTACCTCTGCCCAAGCACTTTGGGCTTTCCCTAGACATTTCATCATCGATACCCGAGCCAAAAAAAAATAATCCTACAAGAAGCATCGCCGGATTTTGACTGGTGAATCACGGATCTGGAGACCATGCCGACAGTGTGAAACGGAATTTGTCCGTTATGCAATTCAAATTCATTATAAAAGCTCCTCAGCCTACGCCATGTGGCACCTGAGTTGTCCATCTATCGTAAACGTCCCGAGGACCGCCGTGCCCCGACCTTGCTGAAACCATACTCCACCGATCTTACACTTTCTTCGCGGCATCCCTGATAGCCAGCCGGGCCTCGAGTCCTGGCTTCCAGATGGATTGTAGCGTGCAGCTCAACCCAAGAGCGCCAAGGACGAAACCTAGCAACGCTCAACGCATGGGTGTGCCGCCGGCCACGGGCGTCCCCGAGACCTCTCTGATGCTCCCGTTCGGCAGTAGCTGCTTCTTCCTCTTCTTCTTCTTCCGCGGTACGACGGCGGGCTTGGCGCCGTAGTGGCCGAGGGCGAGGTGGGTGCCGCACGTCAGGCAGTCGGCGCCCTCGGGAACGGAACAGAAGATGCTGAGACAGACGGAGCAGACGAAGCCCGTGTCGATGACGCGGCCGTGGCAGAAGCAGGCGGCGCGGAAGTCGACGGTGTGGTGGGTCGGTGGCACGAGAGCGGCGCGGGCGCGGGTGTCGGCGACGGCGAGGCCAAAGGTCAGGTAGGCGAGCAGACCCAGCGGGGAGGGCGGCTCGAGGAAGGTGCCGTTTGTGATGTGAGAGGCCTGCTGGAGGAAGGACGAGGAGGAGGCGGGCTTGTGGGGGTCGTTTGGGTCGGTCGATTGGGTGGCTGTCGTCTGTTTTGCCGTAGCCGGCGAGAGGGAGAGGACGTCGATGGGGATGGAGGCGTGGGCTGCTGCGAAGACGGCGTTCATGGTGGATATGTACTGTGAGGGATCCGAGTCGGAGACGGAGACGACGAGAATGTGGGAGGAGAGGCCTGGCGCGGCGGTCGTCATGGGTTTGGCCGTGTCGGAGGAAAGGGAGGCTGTGTAGGAGAGGTTGACCTTGTTGATGTGCGCGAGGGCGAGGGTCAGGGCGCCGGAGAGCTGTGTCGTCGTGCAGTCTAGGTCGGCTTCGGTGGTCTCGTCAAGGAGCTTCTTCAGGCTGCGCAAGACGGCATCTTCGACTTGGGCAAACTGTGTGAACTTATTCGCAGAGGGGACCTTCGATTTCTTCGGTGGCGCATCGCTCATGGCGACATCGCCGTCTGTCGAGGGAACGTTCGAGGGTTCGGGCTTTGTTGGGTAGAGCCATACTGCGCGGTTCGTATGGGAGGCGATGACAGCGACTTGGTTGGTGTTGCTAAAGGCAAGGTTGGCGTTGAGGTAGATGAGAACATTGGATAGAGCCTTGGAGATGGGGAGGACGTCGGACAGAGCACTCCAGGCTCGAGGGTTGACATCGAGGATTACGGTGCTTAAAGAAGCCGTCTCTCCCGTGTTTGCCACCTCGTAATGGTCAGAGGCATCGATCTGATTCATGGCGGGCGAGGCTGCAGGTGGCCCAGGTTGGAGCCTTGTTATCGAAGTTGCATGGACATAGAGTCGTGAACACGGCACTACTGGGCCTACGGATAGTGGAAGAAAGAAATACAAGACCCGGGAAAGGGGTTTGCAGTATTGGTGGCCTGCCAAATGTCCTCATGTGAATGCGGTTGGAGGTCGTGGACGTGGGCGTAGCAATTGCTGCGAATAGAGATTCACTTTACGAATGGAAGCATGTGGTGAGGTTTCGTAGTTGGTCCGTGCACATGGAAAGACAATCGGCAGGTCCCGAATGGGGAAAGACGCATGCTCATGGTTGATTTCCCTTGTGCTGCCATGACGTCTTGGACGTAGACGTAGGCACAAGGAAGGCTCTATTCGTAGCCATGTACTATCGATTTTGATGAACACTTGGGATGACCAAGCACAGATGTGGCCAAGTGGCTTCATCCGGTTCCCATCACACAGAAAGGACAATTTTGTATGTTCGCCAATTATAGATCATCTGGAACCGACATCTACAGCTCGGACGAGGGACGCTGACCTTGAGGGTCAGTGTGTTCCAGAAGCCTGAGCGAAGCCCTTCCGGATGTCGCGCCATGGTCAGTGACACTGCGCGTCTGAGGTACTTGTGGCCTCACCATCCTTCTGCCAGCAAGCCAGGTACTAAGTGCACTTGATTGCAGGGGTTCAAAGACCTGAAGCGTCCTGGAGGCACTGCTAGCAGCGGCCCGGAAATAGCGCCCATGCACGTGATAGCCCTGGAGGCCTGTACTTGGGTGCTGAGGCAGGGGACCAGAGGGGTCCTTGTCAGGGCTCCGTGGCAGGTTTGTTTGGGGCGACCGTGAAAGGCCCGATCAGCTGAAAGTGAGAGAGCAGGCAGGCGCGTGAAGTCCGGCACCTGCCCCTCTCATTGGACCATGCCCTGAGCAACGCCTCTTTTTGGAGCCACAGATAGCTTCGCGCCGAAGTACCTGTGGCATAATGTTCCATTCGTAAGTACCTCGAGATATGGGAGCTCCTTCCCAATCGTCTCGGACCCAACGTCGGACCCAACGTCCTATCTTGCCCTTTTTCTCTGCATAGGCACTTGACAAGACACGAGCGCACCTTTCAGTCCATCCCTCCTCCTCCCTCTTTCTCCCTTCATTTCCAAACCAACACCGTATCTCTAGTACCGAGACCTGCCAGATAGGCCGGCGCTACATCGCTGTTGCTTCTCAGCCGCCTACGTGTTTCCATAGTGCTGTGCTGCGCTACTTCCACAGCAAATAATCGCCGCCCAGACCCCTCACTCACTTCCCCTACCAACACCACTCCGCCACCACTATCTCACGCATTCCGAGCCGCCCGCTTCACGCCATGGCAGCTGTGTCCCAGGCTCTGCCGCCCAAGGTCGAGCAATCGAGGGAGGATGAGACGCTTCTCCTGCTTGCGCGATTAATGGAGGGAGGTCGTGAGGACGACGAAACCGTTCAGGATCTCGACCAGCTGACCAAGCTCTTGAACGACGACACGCAGCTTGCCGTCGTCGAGAAGAATGCCACGTCAATCTGCTCGCTTCTTGACGCTGAATGCGTCGACACAGTATTTTCTTACCTCGACATGAGGCAAGCAGACGTCGTTCGCGGTCATGCTGTCATGACGGTCGCCGCCTACCTCAAGGCCGCCGGCGACGAAGGAGGCGCCAAGCTATCCACCTTTTTCTTCGACAAAGTACGCCGCGGTACCTACGACGACTACATTGCGGCCTTCTGCGTTGCCGCCGCTGCCTTTCCCATCGCTCCGGACTTGACCGCATCCCTCTTCCTCAGCGAAGGCTTCCTCGGCACATTGGGTCCCTTGATGAGGCGCAAGTGGAAGAGCCGCAAGGTTGAGACGGCATGCCTTGAGATGCTGAACGCAGCCTGCATGAACTCGCAGTGTCGCGACGCCGTTCAGAAGTACTGCACCGAGTGGCTCGAGGAGGTCGTCGACCAGGATCCCAACGAGGTCGTCAAGGAGATGCAACAGAACCCAGAGTATCTGTCCCAGGAGGGCTCCGTCACCATGCGCAGGCACTCTGAGGGCGTGCAGAACCTTGCCGCCGTCATTCTAGCCAAACTGAGAGTATGGTACCCCGAACGCTATCTTTCCGCATCGCCCTCGCAAGGCGATTTATCCAGTAAGATCTGACTGACTTCAGACTGAAGGCAGTGCCCTCGGCACCCTCGCTGAATGATCAGGGAAAAGAAGAGAGGATCACGCCGGCAATAACAACCATCGAAGAATTGTCCACAAGGTTTACGGGAATGCTACTAAGCGACGATAATCACGGAAAGCAGCACTCGATCGAAGGTTTGGCTTATGCGTCGTTGCAGCCCAAGGTCAAGGAAGACTTGGTCCGCAACAATGATTTCCTGAAAAAACTCATTTCAACGCTGGCAGAAGCCCAGCCTAGGTCACCTCTGACATATGGTGCACTTAGCATCCTCGTCAACCTGACGAGGTACCAACCCAATCTCTCCGAGGAACAGAAGAAAATGCACCAGCTCAAGGCATACGCGAACGCCGCGGGCAAGATCGAAACCGAGCCCCTGAACGACGACACTCATGTTGCGGCACGCTGCAAGCTGGTTTTCGACGCCGGCGTTGTTCCAGTTCTCGTATCCCGCAGCAAGCTCGGCTCGCCGGCATCCCTTGCGCTCATGATAGCTATCATCAATTCGATCTCTGTCATAGCACCGCTGCGAGGCCAAATTGCCCAACAAGGCGCCGTCAAGCTCTTGTTGACTGCTTGGCTCGCTCTTCCTGAGACGGAAATGGCGACTCGTCGCGTCGCAGCTCATGCACTCGCTCGCATCCTGATCAGCACTGATCCCAGTCTTGTATTTGGTGGCAACCGATCCCACCCACAAAGCTCAGCAGTACGACCGTTGCTTTCTATCCTGGCTCCAGATGCAGCCGCTGAAACTCGCGACCTTTTGCCGACATTTGAGTCTCTCCTGGCTCTCACCAACCTCGCCTCCAACGATGGCGATTGTCGCCGCGCCATTGTTCGTTCCGCGTGGTCGGATATTGAGGAATTGCTGCTATCGTCGAAAACCTTGATCTCCAGAGCCGCGGTCGAACTTATTTGCAATCTTGTTCAAGGACCAGAGGGAGCGACGCAATATGTCGATGGAAGCCCCCAGGCCAAGCAACGAATGCACATTCTCCTTGCGCTGGCCGATGCTGAAGATGAGAAAACGCGAGTTGCGGCCGGTGGCGCTCTCGCGCAGCTCACGGGCCATGAGAATGTCGTTCGCGCCATCGTCGAACGCGAACGTGGTGTTGAAGTCGTGTTGGGCATGGTCGCAGACGAAAGCGAGAATGTGCGATATTGCGCCTGCCATGTCGTCTATCACATGGCAGCGACGGACGGACGAGTTGGCGTGCTGGCACGTGAAAAGATCAACGCAGCAAACGGCTTGGAGATTCTGAAGGAGGCTGCAAAGAAGAGCCGACGAGCAGATGTCGTGGAGATTGCTGTGGAGGCCCTGAAAGTGCTTCTGGAGGACGGTCGCTCATAATCGCGCTTCAAAGGGCACTCGCAGTGGACATGAATCAAGATTCGTTTATGACTTAAGACTACAGACAGTAGAACGCAACACAAAGAACATTCATAATGCTCCCTCAAGATGACTCGACCAGTAGCTGATTTGGTCCCATAGCCTTATCAGACGTGCTGAGGTAGCAGTCAACCTAGCCGCCGCAGGACACGGGAGCTCTGTGTCACTTCAAAGCTGGCTGAAGACCTGATTGGCACCCCCTACAGGCTGCCCATAGTGCCCTCATCTAGTTCATCAAGAAGTCGGAAAATCACTTGGTGGATGAGCTAGGAAGCCGGAAGCTGGAAATGTCCGGTATGACAACAGCAGCAGCCGTGTCGTCTCCAGAGCAGTCTGCTCTGTCCTACGTCTCCATCGAGTCCCGTCGTTCGCGACATATTTATGAAGGAAGGACTTGGCACTTGGTGCCCTTTTATTACAACCTGAACCCCCTTGTCTTTTACACGCCACTATCGGTTATGCATCCTCCATGCGATTCAGTACGGCCACGCCCTCGACGTGACCCGTCTGGGGGAAAAAGTCAAAGCCCCTCAGACTCTCAATCTCGTACCTTGTCCTCTTCTTCTGGCCCTCGACCTCCCCGCGCACGAGGACACCGACGTCCCGCGCCTGGGTGTGCACATTGCAGCTGACGTAGACGACGCGCCGCGGGCCAAAGTCCAGCAGCTGGCCCAGGAAGCTGGCGTCGCAGCCCTTGCGCGGCGGGTCGAGGATGACGACCGTCTCGTCGGGGTCGTAGCGGACGTGCCTGAAGAGCTCGGGGGCGTCGGCGGCGAGAAAGGTGCACTGGTCCTCCGTGAAGCGGTTGAGCAGGGCGTTCTTGCGCGCCGAGGCGATCGAGTCGGCGGCGATGTCGATGCCCATGCTCGTCTGGAAGAGGCCGGACAGCGTGATGGTGAAGAGGCCGGAGCCGGAGTAGGCGTCGATGAGGTAGCGGATGGGTTTCGCGCCGGGGGCCGCGGCGAGGGCCGCGGGCGGCAGCACGTGCTGGCGGACGTAGTCGGTAAAGGGCGACAGGATGGAGTTGTTGTTCTGGAAGAAGGAGCCGGCGGGGGTTCGTGAAGAGGAAGTCGTCAATGTACTCCGACGTCATGGCCTTGTTGTCGGTGGCGCACGTCTTGATGTCGGTGTAGGCGTCCGTGTCGACGCGCACGGCGCCCTCGGGCAGGACGGCCGGCGGCTGCTCGTCGCCGCCTTTGGGGTAGCGCTTTGTGCTCTCGCGCAGCAGCAGGGTGGCGCCGTGGTTGCGGGTGGCGTATTCGCCCTCGATGCGCTCACGCTCCTTCTTCATGCCGTTTCGCACGGCCTGGGTGCCGATGGGACAGTCCTCAATGTCGAGAACGGCGCGACGGCCCTTTACGTTGAAGCCGATGGGCGGCATTGTGGTGAACGGGGCCCTCTGCTTGCCCTTGCGCCAGCTGCCGGGGGGGCCGTCAAAGTGCGGCGTCAGCTTAGTGCGGTAGCCGTACTGCAGCGGGCTGCCAATGGTGTCGCCGATCGTGGGCACCAGTTCGGGGGCCAGCTGGGAGAAGTTTTTGAAAGCCTTGACGACGATGGACCGCTTGTGCCGTAGTTGGTCGGCATAGTCGAGCATCTGGAACTGGCAGCCGGAGCACTGGGTGAAGTACTTGCAAGAGACACGAGAGTCGTCGCGCATGGGCGAGGGCGTGATGATGGAGAGGTAGTCGGTGGCGGTGTAGCCGTCTTCGAGAACATGGCGGACGACCTTGACACGGGCGACGTCGCCGGGCGCAACGAACGAGACGACGTAGATCTGAGGGTTGGATGAGCCGACCTGAACGCCGAGGCCATCACCCGTAGAGGAAAGTTCGAGGATTTCAACGTCAATCTCGGACCACTGCTCGGGCAGAGGCGACGTCTCCTGCTCCGAAGGTGAAGGCGCCGACTCCTGGCGGGCCTTGACGAGTGCTTGAATATCAGCAAGCAGAACCTCCTCTGATGAGCCCTCCTTCATCGATCGTTCTCTCTTGGTCCTCTGCTTCTTGCCCTTTGCGCGAGACTGAAAGGCTGGTCGTTTGCCGTTGACATTTTGTGGCCGAGGTGGTGTTTGTGAGTGAGGCTGCGCTTGTGTCTGGATTTGTTCGACCTGCTGCGAGGTCGTGATAGGCGACGCCATTGTGCGAGTTGCTGGTGGGAGTAGATGAGGCCGGCTCAGTAGTGGATGTCGAAGTGAAGGTGCGAGCCGGGCGAGGAAACGCATCGGTATGCCCCGTCCGTAAGGCTGCTGATTTTAAGTTCCAATTGGTTCCTTCAATTGACCATTAGCATACAGCGAAGAAAAGAACAACGTTCGGTCGTATTCCCAATGTTGGCAGAAGGTTAGAAAACTCATCGTGAAGTCGAGGTCCACATAAAGTCAATCTGCGATTCTAAATGAACAGCACATCATTGGTTAAAATAACCCAAACGCAGGGATACCTCATTGGCTGGAAAGAAGGGCGAATCGGCCAATGACATGCATCTGTCACTGTCACTTGAGCCGATCACTTGGTCCGGCTTATCAACCGGCGTCGGGTCAACTCCGATGCCATCATCGGCCACATCCACACTGGCAGCGATGTTTCGATACTCTTCCCACCTCTTGCTTGACTCAAGTCACAAACCTCCTCTTCCAGAGATTCTGGTTGCAGGAAACCCACGGGAAATCTCACGTCTACCGTTTCGCAACTCAACACCCCTCGCCGTCTCTCTCAGGTACCTATCTTTAAAGCGGATCCATCTATCAAGGGGCAAGAGTCACTGAGTCGAGACCGCCAAATGTGTATGTCACCCACTCGTCCACAGGGACACTGATTGACACCTAAGTCTAGACTCTTTTGACTCGAAGATCCGGCCTCAATGGCTGCTGTACGGCTCTTTCATCTGGATATCCGGGTCCTCAGCCGCCCCCTTCTCCTCTGATCAGGTCGTGCTCACAGCCCAAGATGGTGCTGGGGCCGTAGCGAGCGAGAACATGGAGTGTAGCAGGATCGGACGCGATCTCCTCCGCCTGGGTGTAAGTTTTCTGTCACGACGTCTTCTGTCGCGACGTCTGCTGTCACGACGTGGCACGGATGGCATGCTGAACTGAACCTCTCAGGGCAACGCTATAGACGCCATGGTTGGCACTCAACTCTGCGTCGGCGTCACCTCCATGTACCACTCTGGCATTGGAGGCGGTGGTTTCGCTCTTGTCAGAACGGCGGATGGAGAATACGAAACCATCGACTTTAGGGAAACGGCGCCGGCCGCGGCGACCCAAGACATGTACAACGATGATGTACATGCGAGCATCGAGGGTGGCCTGGCCGTCGGAGTCCCTAGCGAGCTGCGAGGGCTGGAGTACATGCATGAGAAATGGGGTGTAAGTTCCTCAAAAGCCATCAATGCTGAGCTTTGCTGATGAGATGTCCAGGATCTCGCCTGGGAGTCTGTCGTGATGCCTGCTTCCCACCTAGCTAGGGAAGGCTTTTCTGTAACAGCTGACATGGTTCGATACATGGTGGCAGGGATGAAAGACGCGGGGAGAGACTTCCTCATTGATGAACCAAGCTGGGCTGAGGTCTTTGCACCGAACGGTGAGCCTCCTCGAAAATCAAAATCTGTGCACATGCTGACAGTGAAATTGATTTCAGGAACGCTCCTCGGTGAAGGCGACACCATGTACAGAACACGACTTGCCGAGTGAGCCTCATCTACACGCTCTAATCGAACACGAGTCTAACTGAAGTAGTACTCTCACCACAGTAGCCAAGAAGGGCGCATCGGCATTTTACACAGGCGACCTCGCCGCCTCGTTCGTCAAGACAGTCCGCGACGCAGACGGCATCATGACCCTAGAAGACCTCACCGCATACCGCGCCGAGATCCGCGAGCCCCTGTCGACGACGTTCCGCAACCACACCCTCTACACAACCGGCGCCCCCGCCAGCGGCGCCATAACGCTCAACATGCTCAAGACGATGGAGCAGTACCCCCTGCCGCCGACGCCCGCCACGAACCTCACAATGCACCGCTACAACGAAGCCATGCGCTTCGCCTACGGCGCGCGCTCCCTCCTCGGCGACCCGGACTTCGTCGGCGGCCTGGGGCCCCTACGAGGCCTCCCTCCTCGACAACGCGACAGCCGCCCACACGCGCGCCCGCATCCTCGACAACGAGACGCAGCCCGTGGGCCGCTACGCGCCGCACGCCCTCTTCGTCCCCGACACGCACGGCACCTCGCACGTCGTCACGGCCGACAGCGCCGGCCGCGCCGTCTCCCTGACGTCGACGGTGAACCTCCTCTTCGGCGCCCTGCTCGTCGACCCGCGCACGGGCGTCGTCCTCAACAACGAGATGAACGACTTCTCCATTCCCGGCGTCCGCAACGCCTTTGGCTTCGAGCCGAGCCCCGCCAACTTTATCCGTCCCGGCAAGAGGTCCCTGTCGTCCATCACGCCCGTCATCGTCGAGGCGCCGGACGGTGCGCTGCGTGCCGTTGTCGGCGCCGCCGGCGGGTCGAGGATCGTCAGCCGCCACGGCGCAGGTGCTCTGGCATGTGCTCGAGCACGGCATGACCATGACGGAGGCCGTCGCGGAGCCGAGGCTGCACGACCAGCTCATGCCGAATGAGGTGTGGCTGGAGTACACCTTCAACAACGAGACGGCGGCGAGCCTCGCGGAGAAGGGACACCGGGTTAAATGGGTCCGCGAGGGGCTCAGTGCTGTCCAGGGCATCACGGTGCTGGGAAGCGGCAAGTTTGAGGCGGCGAGCGAGCCGCGGCAGAAGAACAGCGGCGGATTGACTGCATGATGGAAAGAGAGGGTATTGCAACGCGACAAGACCATAGACATGACATAGAGCGCATCATCAATATACGAGAGCCATTTGATTTCATTCATTTCTTGTCCGCTACCAAAAGGGAAGGGGTATCGTTGAAGTCTACGCATGACCAGTGAAGAAGCCGAAAATAGGGCGATTCGCCTGTTACCCCAAAAGCAAATACACAAACAAACCTTATCTAGCAACCCATGGCTTGATGCCGGATACAAAGGCCCATATACGCAGGGCCATCCAGATTCGAAACCCCTTTTCCAACCAAAGGAGAAAGGAAAGAAAATACCGAGATAATGTACGCTGCGACCATGCTTGGCACTGTCCCTGAATATGGGAACGTCCTTGCTGCAGTCAGAAGCAAAAGAGCTCAAACCTCACAGGTCTAAGTCAACAGACAAACACTGAAGCGGCTTACCGGAGCTTAGCAAGAAGCGTTTCCAGGTGCTTGTTCCAGCTATCAACAAAAGCCTGCTCCGTGAAACGCTGTGCCGACTTGACAGCCCGTAGTCGGAAGGCCAAGGGATCCTTGACGGTCAAAGCCTTCTCGAAACCTGCGGCAAACTCGGTTGAAGTCGAAGCGTGGAAACCTAGAAACGTCAGTGCTGTTGGCCAAATCCAAAGGGAACCCCGCAACTCACCAGTAGGCTCGCCATCAATATCGACATTAATGTCAAGCTTCGGTCCGCCGCTGGCATGCACCACCGAAATGACACCAGCGGCCTGGTACTCGACGCATCCAATGCCGAAGTGCTCATTCCACATGCCGTTAACGCCGACATATGCCTTCTGGAGCCAGACAAGAATCTCTTCCCAGGTAGCATCGAGATGGAAGCTCACCTGACCCTTGATGCCAAGCTCGTTCACCAGAAGTCTAAGCTGGTAGACACGCTTGGAGTCAATGTCGTCCCGGACACTACCCACGAGGACAAGACGGACATCCTTGGTAGCCTCTGTCTCCGTCTTGAGGAACTCGGCAAACGATTGCAGGATGAGCTGGTGGTTCTTTTCTGGCCGGAACTGGGCGATGTAGATGATGACCTTCTGACGCTGCGCCTCGCTGGCCTCGGACACTTCGATATCGCGTGCGAGCTCCTCAACAGGACAGGGTGGGTAGACGACGGCAATAGGATCGCTCTTGACGCTACGGTGAGGGCCCCAGAGAGCTGCTATGTGGCCCTGGGTCCAGGTCGAGTTGGTCATGACAACATCAATGGTCGAACCGACTCGCGAATAAAGCTCTGCAAAGAGCTTCCAGTATGCACGCTTGGCCTGACCACGCAATCCCACACCTTTTCCGGCGTTGATGCCCTGGCTACCATTTGCGGACTTCGGGTCGAGAGACTCAAGCATATCGGTCGAGATGGTTGGGTAGTGGACATAGGCGCCGGTAGGGATGGTGGGGAAGAGGAGCTTAGAAAGTCCGAGCACGAATGCATATCCCATGGTATCAACCAGAACATCAGGCACCAGCAGCTGGAAAGCATCCCAGGCCATGACCATGGATCCAAGAGACTGGCCGAGCAGGGTGAAGTGAGTCCAGGTCGAGGCGAGGACAAGGTGCTTGGTACTCAGGTACATGAGGACAAGACTGGGAGGGTGGATATCGATGTTGAACCTACGCTGTTGGTCGATGCTGATTAGACAGAGTGGTACGGGGTATGGGGTGCATGGTGTGACATACCTTGGCGAGAGTCACCATCTCCGTCTTGTTAACCTTCTGGTCAGTGGTGTAGACAACGCAGAGCGCTTTAGGCCACTTCTGCTGGGTAGCACGGACGGCTGACCAAAGGACTCTTTCGCCTCCGCCTCCAGCGTTGCTGTAGTCTGTTAGCCGCCGGTTTAGGTACGCAGAGTGCTCGTCTAAGAGTAGGTTGCTACGCACCAGAAAGGGTGGAAGAAGCCAACGATGCCGCTCCAATCTTCTACCTTGTCAATGTTGATAATTCCCTTAGGGGTCGTGATCCCCTTTTCTTTATAGGTGTTCTCTTCAGCGGCCATGGCCTTGATCAACTGGGCGCGCCTGCCTTCAGTCTTGGTGCGGAGGTAGCTGCCTGCAACAGCACCAAGACCTCTCGCGAGAAGAGGAATGACGAACAAGGCGAGAATGGGTAGGGCAGCTACCACAGTCACAGCCCAGAGGACGGTCGAGTGGCCCGATGTCGAGGTATCGGGCGAGGCAGAGTGCCCCGCCTCAGAGGTGTCCGCCATCGCGGGGACGGCGGTGGGTGGTGTCGGAGCTTTGGTGGATTCTACTGTATTGCGGCCGCGGCCGTGAGGTAAACTGTGTGGATTATGAAGAGATCTCAAGCTTCGTCGAGGCGGGTAATGGCGGGCAAGAAGGAGAGGTGGTGTTGTGAACCGGTCAGCCGGTGAAGGTAGGAAGAAGATCGTCGGACGCACTAAGCTGCACCTCCAGAGCCGTTGACGTCGTTGCACCTGCCCTCCAGTGAACAAGGACAAGTGGTACTTCCTGCTGCCACGGGGGGTTACCTTCAGCAGGGGGGGAAGGGTCTTGAGGGTCCTTTGGCGCACACTCCACCCCTGAGGGTGCCTGACTTTCACTGCGGTACGTACTACACTGACAAGGCCCGTGCACCCGTCCTAATGGCTTGAAGCTTGCATGTGAGCTTGCCATCATCACACACATTCATGCCCTGTCACTTGGTCTCGACATCTGACCCATCGAGAGGCTGCTTTCGCATGGCTCAGAATGCTTCCAACTAGAGGCGCCTTTCGTCTTCTGACATGGTCAACGGGGTCCTCTTCGGCCCTCAGCATCACGAGACAACCTTGTCTATCGCCATCTCGCCCAAAGACTCGGCATGAACTTCTGGTCTCATCGTTTCTCACCAGGCATGAGACGCGACAACTTTCCTTTGGCACCGCTGTGAACAGCTCTGTGCAACTCGCACAAGATGCCCTCATTTCACTTCACTCCACTATCGGTCTCCCCTGGTGGCTTGCCATTCCTGCCTTCGCTCTAGGCTTCACACTCACCCTGCGTCTTCCTCTGCAGATTTACAGCAGGAAAATCATCCTCGGCCAGAGAAAACTATTACCCTTTACTTCTTCCTGGAGGGCTCGGCATCTCAACGTTCATAAGGGGCCCTATGTCGCAATACAGCAAGGCAAGACCCTACGACGTATCTACCGAGAGCGAGGCGTGCAGAGTTGGAAGATCTGGGTAACTCTGTTCAGCATTCCACCATGGCTCCTCGTCCCTGAAGCCATTCGCCGACTGAGTGGCGCGAGTGGAGGTATCTTATCTCTCATCACTGGAAACTACAAGAACGGACACCCCGAGTTGGCCACTGCGCCCGCTCAGCAAGCAGTCATTGCTGCACCAGGTGAATCAGACAATTTCACAGCTGAGCCTGTTCTCGGCAGCTTGGGGGACGCACCATCGACAGGCGTCCTTGAGTCTTTGCAGACAGCTGCTACCCAGATCGAGCCAAGTATGACGACAGGCGGTATCTTGTGGTTCCCGGATCTGTCAGCGCCCGACCCATATGGTCTGCTCCCTATGGCAATGGCGGGCCTGCTCTGTTATACCTGGATCCCCAAGACTGCGGCTGGGCGAGCTGCCATGTTCAACCTTTCCAACAAGCTGTCGTCCTCTCTTGAAACGTCAGGTTGGCGGTGGCGACTGCGAAGAACAGCCTTTGTCGCTTCACTTCTGTTACCCATGGCGGCGATGAACCTCCCATCTGGCATGTTTGTCTACTGGGTATCGTCAGCGACCTTTGGCCACATCAATGCGGCACTTGTCGAGCGTTACATGCCGCTGGATAAACACCAAGCCCCGGCACGGCGGAAGGATGTCCCGCGGAAGGCGTAAGCCAGCGCTAAATTCTGTAAGATAAAAAACACAGCATTTAGGAACATGTGTATGTAGAATAAGGCCCTGCTGTACCACAATGTAAACACCTATGAACGCCAGCAGAAAAGCAAAAGTCCAATCCCTCGAGCCATGACATCGCCAGACGACAGGCTATGCTAATCCAAGAAAATTGCAAGTAGTACAATAAGCAAGATGATCGACAGAATGAGCATCAGACAGCAGCCCTTGTTCCTCGCCGCCTTCTGATGCCTCGAGGCCTGCGCCAGCTCAACCTGCGCGCCGTGTGTGTCATCCCGGACGTTGACAATGTTGTCCTCGATGGACGTCAACTGTTCGCCTTGCTCGCCGACAATCTGCGCTACCTGGCGGAACAGTACGTTGAGGTCGCCGACACCCTGCTCGATGTTGCGAATCTCGTCCTCGCGCTCAATGATGAGCGCCTCCTGGAAATCGACCTCGTCTTGCGACGCCAGGCGCACAAGCTCCTGCTGCTGCTGCTGCTCGAGCTGACCCTCCTGCGGCGCACCGGAGCCGTCGGCGTTGTCGTCGTGAGCGGCACGGGCGGCCGTGACCGAGGCGCGCTCCTTCTCGAGAGCCCGGCGCTGGACGTCTTGAAACTCTTGAAGGGCGTTTTGGAAATCGGTTGAGACGCGGGACTGGTCGTACTTCTGTTGTTTCTGCAGATTGTGTGTTAGCCGGTTGTACGCACGACCCAGATACATAGCGCAACGTACCGTAAGATCGTCCCAGGTCTGCAGCTTCTTCACGCCCTGTCCGATGTCCTTGCACAACTCCCTCGACTTCTCGAGCAGTTCATGGACCCGCTCCCTGACCCGCGGGGTGTCACGCTTCGTGCCGAGGAGATCAATGTCAGAGCTGAGCTTGGAAATATTGCGCCGGAGGCTGTGGAGCTTGTTCATCAACTCGGACTGGAGCTGCTTGAACTCGGGATCATCGGTGTAATTCCCCCGGCGACCCGAGCCAGACTCGAGCGATGAGAGCTGGTCGAACGACATGGTGTTGAAGACCGATCGTCAGGCGATGTTTTGTGTAGCGGAAAAAAGGCAATGCGCTCAGGCTTGTAAACAAACGACAGTCGCTGATAGTGGTGATGCAACAAACTGGTAGTTGGATCAATCGTAAACTGGCTGCCTTGATGGTGTCAGGTGAGGCGATAAGGTACGTAACTGCGGAGATCGAGCCAGGAACAGGCACCACGGCGCATCACATCCCACCGCTATCGCCACGTGACTAAGCTCTTGTGGACCCCCGAATCTGTACCTGGCGTCGTCGCGCTGCGACCAGGTTATGCAGCACTGGGAGCTGGTACCTACCGCACCTGTTGCTGTTTCGGTGGTTGCTAGGATATTTTTATTGACAACCTCGAACCCCATCAACGGCGAGCCACCGCCTCTCGACTCCCTCCACCAACCCTCCCCCTGAGGATGCCCAGTCGCCATGGCTGCTGCCATCGTGAGGAGAGCTCCTTATAAGGACTTTTTGCAGCCTGCACTGCACAGGCGATTTTCCACAACCTCGACTCTTCTTTTGGCCCTTGTCTACATCCAGGCTATCCTCTTGGGCCAGTGGAATTCTTGTAAGCTTTGCAGGAAAAGCTCCCAATGCTGACTACAACTAACATTGTGATAGTTCTGTGGTCTTGGTTTCCCATCGGCCCCGTGGGCATACGAACACTCTTCCTCTTCGCCTCTGCACTCACTGTCATTATCCTTCGCATATCGCAATACCATGTTGGCACGCGCGCCTCTACATCCGCCATCAGTGGCGCTCTTCCCAATTTGGTCACGATCCAAGCTCTCGAAGCATGGGTCGCGTATACCATTTCGAGCGCCCTCTTCGGCCTCGTCTTTCTCTGGTCGGCATCGGCGGACTCGAAACTGAACTGGATCTCGACTATGAGTGGCGACCGGGGACGACTTAACGAGCGGCCCGTCTTCCTCTCCTTCTACCTCCTCGTGGCCGCCACCTTCCAGGCGATCATGCATATCATCTGCGACACTGATCGTATTACAATCGACGTCAACAAAGCGAGGAAGAGTCCTGTCACCAACGGCGGCGCCAATTCAACCACGCCACTGACCGTTCTCCTGACCAAGCTACCCGGTGTCGTTGCCAATGCCGTCATGCGCGCCATCGGCGTGTACGCCCTCGCCGTGACACTGTACAGCACCATCTTCCGTGGAGCTGCGTGGAGCTGGGCCATGACGTTCTTCCGCCCCTTCAACAACCTCCCCAAGTCCAACATGCTGCCCGTCGACTGGCCCTGGTTCAAAGGCTCAACGCTCATGCAGTGTCTGTGGGCTGGCGTCCTCCTGTCTTGCACATGGGAAATCGGAAACTATGCGTTTTCAAGGTTCATGGTTAAGGCGCCCCTGAAGAACGGCAACCCTTTGACAAACGAGTCGAAGGACCCCAACGGTAGCCTGCTGAACGGTCTTAAGAGCAAGAAGATGCCCATCAGGGTACGTTACGTTCTCCGCTTAGCTGGTGGACTTCCAACTGACTTGTGGTATAGTGCTTTGCTCTCTGGGAGCTTGCGCACATCGCGCGCGAATTTGAGCTTCGGCGAAAGGCGATTTTCGAAGACATTGACCGTAAAGATGGCCCCATGTGGTCACAGGTCTTTGTCATCTGCCTCGACATCGTCAAGGGACTGGAGCAGAGGGTAGATAACTATGGGAAGCCTCCCCCTGCCCCGGTTGCCCAGCCGGAACCTGTGGTGGAGCAAAAGCCCAGGATCCTTGCACCGCCGAAAGATGACCCTATCTTCCAGGCGAGGCCAGCGTCCAGATCTATGCGGGGTGAGATCGAAAAGACGCTGACCCAGGCCACACAGGCGCCGGGCCACTCGCCTGTTTCTCAGCTTAGCCCCATTGCCAAGAAGACATTCCGCAACGCTCGGGACAGGGTGCTCACAAAGGAGCAGCAAGAGGCATTGACTTCCCCGCAAGTCGTGGGTCAGTTCCAGGCTCTGGCGACTACAGTCCTCCGCGCCGATTACATTGGCTGGTGGTTCCGACAGGATTTCCGAAGGTTGTTGACAGCTGCCGTGTTGGGTTCTCCATACTCCGAACTGAGCCACCACCTCAACGCCATTGAGATCCTGAGCGCAATGGCTGTGCACAGTTTGACAGAGGACAAATTTGGCAACGTACACAAGGACATTGGTCCTATAGTGCGCACGTTCACTGCGGTGATCAAGAGACTTGAGGCCTTCAAGGCCAGCTTCCCAGTTCACTGGACTGATGTGGAAGGGAGTAAGAGCACTCCCGAGGTGGATGAGGTCATCAAGGCTCTCAAGGCCGGCCTGTCGCAGGTTGTGCAAGAATTTGAGCCGTACATCCGCGACTTGCGGTTGACGAGGACGGATATAAGGCTCGCGAAAGAAGCGATGGAGCCTACGGAGGGAGTACTGGCTAAAAAGGACGAGAAACCGGCGATGCGGGAAGTCCCCAAATGAGCGGGAAAGAGGACTGCATCTCAAAAGCATGCAAGGGTTCTGCTTGCTTCCGAATAATGTATTATGGCCTGTATCAAAAAGAGAAAACTACGTGATGAGCATTTCAAGGTTTGGGCCTGTGGTGTGGTTCAGGCCCTTTTCCGGTGCCTGAGTCGACCCTTGTTGCTTGAAGTTCGGGTGACGACGTTGAGCCCCACCTTCGTAAATGACATTGTCAAGCCCAAGCTCCCGCGAGCAGCTCGACCACCGTGACTTCTCCCACCTGCGCTAACCTCTTCAACCTCCTCTGTACAGTACCTTCGCCTCGCCTTGCGGCGCCATCTTCGAAACGCCCTTCATGTAATGTTTATCTTGCTGCGCAGACTACGCCCGAAGCTGTCTCATCAACCCTTGCGTCGCCCGATGCAGCCATGCGCTACACTCGACCAACGCCAGACCTTGAACGATTGAACCTATTTACCATTGCGACCTAGTTCTACGTAGACGACCGCCCGCTTCTGAATCGGCGCCCGACCCGGGTGCTGACACCTTGGAGAGATGGTGTCAGCTCGCGCCATCTTCCGATTCATTTACGGAAGTTTCTACTTCGTCCTCTGCACACTCCTCGTCTGCCTGCTTCTCGTCACCCCTGGCGACACAATCTATCAAGCCTACGAGAACAACCAATGGTACAACATCTGGTTCGTGGCTGCCGCCCTCGTCGGTATCCTCATAATTGTCTCCTTCATATACGCGCTACGACTGTACAACAATAAGACCATTCTTGCGTCAATACCGAAGTCATGGGTTCCGATTGAAAAGGGAGATGTGCCCAAACGGGTGTTCGAGATGGTCACGGCAGCGTTGGATCGCAGCGCCATTATTCAGTTCGAGTCAAGGCCGCGAATCATCCCCAAGGTCATGGATGATTCGCAGTCCGCAGTCTCGAACCTGTCGGAGAAGCGTGAAGAGTGTACCAAACAGGAGCTCCAGCTGCTGAAACTGCGCAAGAGAGAGGAGGTCGAAGAGACGCTCGGGGTATCTGTCGCGCCGCGACTGCCTGTCTGGGGCGAGATCGAGCATCGGGGGTGGTCGTCGCCGGAATCCCCCGACCTCCCCGATTTGCAGTACAGCACTGTGTTGTCCGAGCTGCCAAACCTCATCGAGGCGAAAGCGCTCACGCTTGCGCCGCCGATTCCTGAGTCCACAGCCGAGCCGCCCATGCTCGACCCTGATGCCATGGCTCTTCTTGAACGGCCCTACAACCTAGGTCTACGACAATACCTTAATCACCTCTCTGAACTAGGCGTCTTATCGATGGACGCCACGACAGTCGAATTCCTTACCCTGTACGAATATGCGCGGTTCTCCAATCGCCCCTTGACGAATTCGCAGTTCCGTGACACGATGCAACTCTTTGCGCAGCTCCTTCGCAGCATGAGGTTGTTCGATCCCTCGATTCTTGACCCTGAACAGGAACCTGACGAGAATGCGCGAGCCGCCTCCGAGAGCGACATTGGGAATGATGACCCTCCCATCACAAACCTCTCAACGCCACGAAGCACCTCGTCGCGCACCACGTCTAGCTCACGATTGCGTGTGAATTTGCCACCACGGAATTCTTCGGCCGTCACGTGGCA